CTGTGCTTTTAATAAGCTGGGAGGTACACCTTGCGATAGCCAAGGGGGACAACACTCACAAGTAATCCACACCGTGGGTTTGACCTCTCTGCATTGCCCAACATGCCCCAGCTCTCCAGTGCCCTCTTCCACATCCCCACCATCAGGCTGCCTTGGCTCACTCTTCTCCTGGAATCCTCTTCTCTTCCTCTCTAACTTTCCCTTACCAAATGCTCAGAGTCTAGCTGTGTTGCCAGAATGTGTCCCAGTATCTCATTCAGGCAGCCTGTCTGTAGTCCATTGGAGCTTGTCAGCCCATTTCTGTGCAGTTAATTATAGAATTCTCACATTGTGTTTTCATTTTTGTTCTGTGTCTCTCTCCCAGTAGACTCAGAGCCTTGAGGACAGGGACCATTTTATTTCTCCATTACCATCTTGCTTAGATTCTGGAACATGGTAGGGGTTCATGAATGCTTGTTGAAAGAATAAAAAGGAGAGAGGGAGGCTGGAAAGAACTCTTGAATTGTACTAGGAGGCATAAAGTTGTTCTTTGGAGCCCTGATGTGTCTCAGGGACAGGTGGCGGTTAGGAGGGAGGCCTAAGTAGGGAGGATTCCTGCTCCTGTCCCTTCTCTTTGCCTCTGATTGAACCAAAGTAGCTCTATTATTAAATTTTTCATGTGTTGGTGAATAGTGTAAGGTCTTGTTGAAAAGAAGGGAAAAGTTGGTACTAAAAATAAATTTGAAAGCCGCAGCATTGATTTACCTTAATGAAATCCCTTTATGCATCTCTACTCTCTGTGATTTAGAATGAAGTGGGAAAACTTGAAGAACTTGAGAAATAAAGCCAAGGATCTAAATTGGAAACTGCGACTGTGAGGCAGGATTAGAGATTTCCTAATCTGTTGGGTTGTGCCATGTAGTATGGCCTTGGGGCCACTTGCTGCTTTCAAGCACCTGGAGAGTTATCACGAGAGAGATGCTAAGTGGTTGGCATCCATTTCCACAGAGGCCAATGTGAAGAAGTGTGAAGATTACATTGAAAGAGCTGTGAGAATTCCTCTGAATTTATTTGAGGTGTGTGCTTGTATTTCCAAAGCAGAGTCTTCAGGAAATAGCCTCCCTAAGGAATGAGACTTTGTCCCTGCCTCAGCACCTGGCACAGCTACCACCTCATTGTTGGTCATCAGACACTTGCTGTGGGGATGCACGCATTACCATCAATGGAGAAGAGTATGGCATGCACTGCCACCCAGGAATTAGGACGCTCATAAAAGCAAATGATCTTAAAATTAAGACTCTATTAGACTTGCCACAGATTCAAATTATGGATTTCATTTGTAAGAACTTGCTCAATAATATGAAATTAATGTAGCTTAATATACTGTTCATGCATAGCTCATCATAAAGACAAGTAAATGTAGAACAGTTCTCTCATAACATTGCTTATTAAAGAATCAGAATGTAACCATCTCTATTTTTTTTCCTCTGGAAAGAATTAAGAGTTTTTTTACCCAGAGAAAACTGACCTATCGCTCTCATATAGAGGTGTGGATGTTTGTAAAGTCTCCTAAATACATATTACTCTTTTGGCCACAGTTCCTTTCCCACTTTTAGGATATATGAGGAGTTGTGCCTCTCGTTGGCAAATAGATTCACTCAGCGTTTATCAAATTGTATCCATACAGATTCCATGGTCTTATGCAGAGGCAGGTTGTGGGGTCAGAGGTCATCTGGCCCATTGATATTTCAACACATAATAGCATTTCAGGACTCTGAGAAGTCCTGGGGGACAGAAACCTAACTGTGTTTAATGCCATATGTCCCAGCAGTATTGACCACTTCTTTTGCCAAATTAGGAAACATTGGATAGATATTTGCCTTCAGATAGTTTGAATGTTAACAGAAAGCACCATTTATCTATCATACCCATTGGTGAAATCAGCAAAACAGGAAATAATCTGATTTATACCTAGGGCTCTTTGAAATGAAAAAAAAAAGTCATTTTGACTGTCACAAATTGTGAAGATACATTATTTTCTCATGGTTAAATAATAACCCAATGTATGGATATACCTACCATGTTTTATTCAGCCATTCATTTGTTGGTAGATATTTTGGTTGTTTTCATCTTTTGGCTATTATGAAAACTGCTGCTATGAATGTTCATGTAGCTTTTTGTGTGGCCATATATTTTCATTTCTCTTGTAAATATATACTGAGAAGTGGAATTGGTAGATCCTATGTTAAACTATATGTAATCTTTTGAGAAACCACCAGACTGTTTTCCAGAGTGGCTATATCATTTTACATTCCCACTAGCATTATATGATGGTTCCAGTTTCTCCATCTTCTTGCCAACACTTGCTATTACCTGTCTGATTAAAGTCATTCTAGTAGAAGTGAAATAATGCCCTCATTGTGGTTTTAATTTGCATTTCCCTAATGGCTAATAATGTTGGACACCTTTTCATATCTTTATTGGCTCTTTGTTCATCTTCTAAACAGAAATGTCTATTTATTTTATTATTGAGTTGTAAGAGTTCTTTATAAATTCTGTCTACAAGTTCCTTATCAGATATATTATTTGAAAATATTTGCTTTCATTCAGTGAATTATCTTTCCCTTTCTTGATGGTGTCCTTTTTAAAAAAATTTAAGTTATTTATTTATTTATTTTTGGCTGCACTGGGTTTTTGCTGTTGGTAACACGGGCTTTCTCTAGTTGCAGCAAGTGGGGGCTACTCTCTAGTTGTGGTCCATGGGTTTCTCATTGCAGTGGCTTCTGTTGTGGTTCCCAGGCTCTAGAGCACAGACTCAGTAGTTATGACATGCAGGCTTAGTTACTCCGCAACATGTGGAGTCTTCCTGGACCAGGGATCCATGTCCCCTGCTTCTTTTGAGCTTATTTGCCATCCTTGTATATTCTTTGATGAAAGGTATGTTCAGATTTTTTGTCCATCTTTGAGATGTTACTTATTGAGTTCTGAGATTACTTTATATGTTCTCAATAGAGTCCTTTCTTAGAATAGTTTGTAAATATTTTTGCCCAGTCTATAGCTTGTCTTTTCATGTTCTTAGCAATGTCTTTCAAAGGGAAGATGGTTTTAACTTTGGTTAAGTCCAATTTATTATTTTGTTTTGATGCATAATATTGCTTAATAATCTAAGATCACAAAGATCTTTCTACTGTTTGCTCAATGTAGAAAAACAAATGTGAACAAGATACACAAAGGTACTTGTCTCATTTTTCTTGTGTGTATTCTTATAGTTTTTAGCTCTTAATACGTAGGTCTATGATAAATTCAAGTTAATATCTTGTAGGCAGGGATCATGGTTCAGTTTTTTTATATGGATTGTTCAGCACCATTTGTTGAAACTGCTGTTCTCCCTCACTGAATTTTGAGACTGAAAATTAATTGAATATATATGTGAGTTACCACATTTTTAAACAAAGGTCTCCCTCACCTCACATGCCCATTTAACTGAAAGCTTATCACTTCCACATCTTCATCTCTTCCAAGAGTGGTCTAGACTCACTGTTTCTGCTTCCTTCTTTCTTACTCTCACACTGATCCTCTTTATCATTCCACAAAAAGGATTCTTGCCAGAATCACCAGTTATCTCTGTTATGACATCCAGTGGATATTGTTTTTTTGTTGTCTCATGTGATTCTCAGCGTTCTTGGGCCTCAGTGATCCCCCCCTCCTCTTTCAGACACTTTTTTCCCTAACTAATACAGCATCCCACCACTCTTCTTATTTTTCTTTTTGATCCCACATGTCTACTCTGCAAGTTCTTCTTCTTCTACCTATTTCTTTTATGTCAGTGTCTCTCAGGATTGTCCAGAGCCCCTTTTCCCTCTCATTCTGTGCATGCAACCTGCTATTCCCATCTAATTCCCTGGCTTAAGAATCTCAAATTTACATCTGGCCCAGATCTTTTCTGAACTTCATGTCTGCCCATTTAGCTGCCTACCAGGACCATGACCTCTAGGAAGAAAAGTGCCCTGTATACATTGTGTTCATATTTGTATTCCTGTGTTTAGCACAGAGAACTTAATGACTATTCATTGGCCAAATGAGCAAATGAATAAATAAACAAATTAAGCCATCTGTGCATTTGATATAGCATATCTTTTAATTCTAGTCTGATACTTAAGTTTTGGCCCTTTTACTGATACCTGATACATTCAATGAATACATGATGCTGGGCACAGGAGAAGCAAATTACTTTCAGAAGCACATACTTTGTGTTTGCCATGACTTGGTTTTCCTGCCACAGTTGGTAGAGAACCTTGGGATGCTGAGATAGGAATGAGACCCTAGCACGGGCAGGAAAGAGGTAAGAGAGCAGGGAGACATTTCTCCAGATGTTGCAAACACTGTTTCTAACATTTTTCAGTTCAATAATTTCCTTCAAGAATTAACTTATATTGTTTGAGAAATAAAATATATTAATGGCCCTATTGAATTCTGAGTACATCTTTATAATTACCATACATTATTTCTTTTTTACTTTTCACCCAAGCTTTTCCAAGTCCCTGTAACATTTTTTCTTGGCTCTAAAATGATTCTCAAAAAGTTACGCAGTAAGATGTAAACTGGATAATGTAGACTCTTTCAAACCTAGCGTTATGAATATTTTTTGATGATCTGAGTGTTCACATCAAAAAATGTGTTTGCTTCTTATGGGCTTATTATTATGCCAGAGCTTTGAGGGTATTTGGGAAGAATACAAGACACAGTCCTCATTACTGCCCTCGGGGAACACACACCTTTAGGGAGATAAAAGCCATAACTGACAAGCAGACAGCAGCATCTCTGACGCAGTTTGTTGTGTCTATTGCATGTTACTTGGCAAGAAAGATGGTCTCCTGCCACTAGACATGTACTTTTGGCTTTGCTTATCTCTAATGGGCTGTCCTGAAAGTGTCTAGGGTCTCTTTATGAATGCCCTTTTTATTTGTTCTGGAGCATGCAGTCCCTTACATTTCTCTGTCTCTCTCTCTCCTACATTTCAGTGAGCGGTTTCTGGTGAGACTGAACAAGAATGGTGGGCCAAGGAACCCAGAGAAGATAGAACGAATGTGTGCCCTTTTTACAGTATGTGCAAACTCTCTTTCCCTTCTCTGCTGTTGATTCTAACTAGGGTCCTGCTATGTGGATGTTGTTGCCCTGGAAACAGCACTAATTCTTTCTTCCCCACACCCTGGTGAGAACAGAGTTTGATTTATGTGTCTATCAGGTTTTAATGAGATATTTAAGAAAACTGAAGTAAGCTGCAGCTTTTAATTGAATTTATTTAAAAAAATACAATAAGTACCTTTTACTTATGTACATTTTAGATGCAATTTAATATAATAGACACTTAAAACTTGAAAACAGTCTTTCTTTCTATTCTTCTTCAAGGCCACTGGGGATTTCTCTGATGTGTAAGTATAGTTTCTCTCAAGGCATCCACCAAACTTACAGCTTTGCAGGTTTTTTTATGAGTTTATAAAAAGAGAGACAGACTAAATAGCCCTCCTCTTTCATACACCAAACAAAGTCTTTTCATGCCATGATCCATACTTTAGTTTTCTCTAAATAACCATGCTGTTATTTGTGCTCTCTGAGATCATGGATCCATCAGCTCAGAGAAGGCTTGGTAACCTGCTTATTGAAAAGTATTAAGCCTCACAATACCATATTGTCTTTTGTATTCTTCAAGTTGATTCTGATTTACTAATTTTTTTACCCAGTTATGAAACTTAACTGCCCAGCCTTATTTATTTCAGTTAATTTATTTGCTTGAGAAGAAAAGACTGTCACAATTTTCAACTACTTTTGACTGTCATAGATTATTTGATCTGTTTCAGTGATACTGAGAATACATCAAAACTCGTTGAGTGCAGAGAGGTTTGATGGTGTCACAGTGCCACTGCCCTCGTGTGTGGTGCATGGTTGATGGTTGGGTGACAGTCAGATGTCTCACACCTTAGCAGTGTACCTCAAACACAAATGGGATTTATCTAGGACTCTGATATGTGACTTTCTCTGGGAGATAAAATTGGATTTGTTTGTCTGACTTTTTTGTTCATTTACTACAACATTACTGCAGAATCAAAAGCCACTCTACAGGGATAACTTGTATTGAAAGTACTCCAGATGTACAGAAGGATTTATAAATCTAGCTAAGCTAAAATGAAGTTTTGTACATTCTTGAACTCAGCATTCAAAGCTTAGGAGATAGTACAGGAAGAGAAAGCAAGAAAAGCAGACCCATGAAGATGGCTAAGGGAACTGAGACCTTTTAGCCTGGAAAGATCAGTGCTCTGTCTTCAGTAGGAGAAGAACAAGGGAAAGAGTCCCAGTTGCAGGTAACGGGATGTAGGTTAGAATATTGGAGGAGAGAGTGTGAAGTGAGAGCACCTGAACACGGAGCTGGTTCTCTGGGGCCGCCTGTCTGAAACAGGATTAGGATGAGATGAGACACCCATCTGTCTAGAATGTCTCAGTAACCTTGGGAGTCTTTTTTAGATCCTGATTCTCCAGTATTGTTTGGTTAAAGCCGCAAAAGAAATTGGCGATTCCTTGTTCTTTGGCATTGTGGGAACAGAGGGGTGTGTGTGTGTGTGTGTGTGTGTGTGTGTGTGTGCTGTCCTTGAATATGATGAGTGCAGTCCTTGTCTCTTGAAAAATGAACTTAATTATGAAGATATTTGAATGTAATTACAGTAAATCAAAATTTTCATTTAGCAGCATTTTAATTATCTGTATGGGCCCAGAGGCCTAAGCTGTAGCTCCAGCTTTATAAATCAGAGATGCACGTAACACATAGGATGTGCTCTTACTCTGCCACAATGGGAAGGCGCAAGGTTGCTAAAAATATCTACTTTTATACTTCCCTTTGCAGTACAGCCCTGGATTTTTTTTTTTCAAGATACAAAAAAAAAAAAAATGATTTGAGGAATTTTTTTCAAAGCACAGAAGAGTTTTGAGCAAGATTGTCCCAACCAGGGTTTTCATGTTTTACTTTAAGCTTATATGAAATAATAATTTTGACAGAAACCATTTTCTGATTATCCAAGGCTTGAGTTCCTCCTGTGTGCCAAAGGAGTTTTCCAGATTGGCATATGTGTTAACAGAGTTTCAGAGGCAACGCAAGAAAATGCAGCTACATCTGTGGTCCATGCCGACCTGTTCGCTTACTTTAACATTAGGAAAAGGGAATCGTGCAAATGGAGCACTTTGGCAGGATTACTCAAGGTTACCTCAGAGCCATATTACAGACAGTCATGTTTTTCCATACAGTCTTGCTCTTGGTAAATCCTCTATTTTTCTGACCACATTAGATTTTAGAGCTTCCTGTGCAGGGAGAATTTTATCCAAGAAGGGAAGTGCTTCATGCATTTATGATTGTCTAATACAATGAAGACTTTGATGACTTTCATGATTAACAGTGGCTGTGTGGTATGAGCACAAGAGAGCATGTCTGTGTATTTATTCCACAACCCCATGGACTGTAGTCTGCTAGGCTCCTCTGTCCGTGGGATTCTCCAGGCAAGAATACTGGAGTGGGTTGCCATTTCCTCCTCCAGGGGATCTTCCCACCCAGGGATCAAACCCGCATCTCTTACATCTCCTGCATTGGCAAACGGGTTCTTTACCACTAGCACCACCTGGGAAGCTCAGATACCCAGTGCCTCACACACAGTGCCTGGCAAATACTAATCATTTGTTACATAAATAAATTAATAATGCTTATTTTCTATTATATTTTGAGTGACCAACTCAGAGAATGAACTTGTATTGTTTTCCCTGCATTAGTTGGCATTACATTTTTTCCATTTATTTATGCTCTTTCACATTTCAAAATAGAATTTTAGGTAGTGATTTCTTGTAATTAAAAATGGACTTAATTATTAGCATAGTAACATCATTTATTAAAATATTACCTCCTTTTATGCAGCATAAGAATGAATGAATTGGCTGTGTTTTATATTTGTAAATCCCATTGTCTCTTCAGAAAAAGGGCAGTCCAGGCATAGGAAAGTGAATTGACTTTTCCATGTTTCAAATGGAACCTTAGTAACTGAGCCAAGATGCTGATCCCTGAGTCACTGTTGTTTATACCCACCAGGTGGTTGGGAGCCAGCTATTTAGTTATGTAGGATTGGAGGATATGATCCAGTGAGTATATCTAAATTCAAACTCTGCTCACCAGATGAATGGTGGATGAGTCACCTCTCTTCCTATCTTGGTTTTACAGATCTTGTGATATGGATAGCCATACTTGGTACTTAGTATCAAGAGAGTGTATGTTTAGTATCAGAGAGTATATGTTTGTTAACTTTATGATAATGTGTTTAACCTTGCTCTTATGTTTAATATGGTAGCTGTTAATGTTGAATTTTGACAATGAAATTATGTGGAACTCAGCAAATAATTATACCTAAAATATTTTCTGATACTAATTATTATCATTTTATTTTTATTGACCTCAAATAAATACCACAGAGAGTTCTGAGTACCATGTACAAAATGGCCAGAAAGAACCCCTACCCAGCCACTCAGAAAATACCATAAATTATATTTTAGGCTTCTTTCTTTTCTTCACCTGAACAGAATCAAGGGAGAGGTCCCATGCTCTTGGGTACAACCTGTCTGGTCAGTGTTTGATCATCTTTGGTAACTGGCTTGAATTCTCTAAGTATATTGAGATTTATAATTAGACCAGTTATTTGATAGTTTGGATTAATAAAATCCAGGCTGTGTAGAAGGTCGGTTTACTTTGAAATGTGATCTTTTAGTAATAGGTATGTTTCAATTCCCATAAAATGGTAATTTATTTTTTAATTTCATTATTTGTTATTTAGTAGCCATCTTAATATTTGTCATTTAGTAGCCATCTTAATATTTGTCAAAATATGTAGTACTGTTTTGAAGATATCACTTTTAATTAAAGGAGTTATTAAGATGGAGCTTGAAACATCATTTTTCAACATCAAAAGATAACTTTCATGCAAAAATATATCTTTGTGATTCCAGAGATACCAATTTATGTTGAATTGTTTTGTAACCCATTTCAGTGTAAGTGTATTTCATTATTTCATCAAGAATTTGGCAGATTATGACCATCTAAAACCTAAAAGTTTCAGTTTCACCATTACATGTTACTTTCTAAGGCCTCCTTTTCTTTCGTATGTTCAGGACCACTCTACAGGGCAGAGCTGGGATTATGCTGAGGCAAGCAAAGCACAGGATCCTGAGAAGGAGACCTTCTTAAATTTTGTCACTTAGGTGCCTTGCTTGCCTCAGCATAGACCTAACTGCCACAGGGTATAAACATACAGCAAACATGGCAGTTCTGGATTCAGAGCTCATTCACAGTCATGACTAGTTTGTTTTACTCTTTTCCTGAAAAGAGAGAAGCATCTGGGACTAATCAAAGGATGAAAGATGGGAAGGAAGTGGAACTAAGGGAACTTTTCATGGAAGCAAAAGGGAAATCATGGGAAACTGTCCCATTAAAATAGAGGTTACTCCTTCAGTCATCATTAATAACAATGGCTTGGAGTGAGCAGTGAGTTAATAACCTGGTGAAAGTCATAAACAATGTATATTAAGTGAAGCTTTATTACTTCAAGTATAATGTGTTAAAGTGTAAAAATACTCTATTTCAAAATGTGTTCTCAACATAAATAATGCATAAAATTATTTTTATTAATGTAACTCCAGTTTTAAAAGTATCTAATTAAAAGAAGCCCTTAAAATTTTCCAGATAAAATTCCTTTCACTTTATACTTCAGCATAAATTGTATATATCTAAACTTAGAAACGGGAGATCTAATTATTGAGGTTTCACTAAAACCAAAGCAATCTCTTTTCAAGGGAACATATCTAGTGTGTGGACAACAGAATGAATGTACAATTAATAGAGAGTAAACTTTAGAATTTGTCATTAATGAGCCTTTTGGTGTTTTCCCTTTTTTTTCTACACTGGGAATTTCTTTTGTTACAAACTATTCTTACATGATTTTAGAATAACCATGGATAAGCCAATGTCATGAAGATTTCTAATGTGAGAACTTTTAGAGATCGGTGGTCTAAATAAGAGCTGAAAAAATACTGTCAATATAATAAACTTCCAAAGACATTTAAGATGTCCAAATTTTCACTATAGGAATCTTATAAACACTTAGCTTCTTTGTGCTTAAACCCCTTCCCCCACCGATAACATAGGCTAAAAGCAACAAAAGCAATCATTATGAGGTTCAAAGTTTAATTTTAATTATTTTCTGTGTATTCATTGTCTTACTTTACTTACTTTTTCTCTTTTCTTAGGATCTGAGCAGCAAGGATATGAAGAGAGATTTATATATAGTTGCCCATGTGATACGAATAGGTACGGTCTGCTTTATCCAGTCACCTGACTGAGACCAGCCCAACTTGGGATAAGTATCTACTGTTTGACCTCTGTCTTCTCCTGAGCGCTTACCTTTTAATTCAGGTCTCAGGATTAACTCCAGCTTGTATTGTAGCTGCATCTTAAGTTTAGCTGCTAGTAATGGCTGAACTTGATAGAAATGAAACCATTTTCAGCTCCCTGTTTGTTCTTGGACCCATACTTTTTATTTGAAGTGGTCTCTTTTTTTAAACATTTGCTCCATCTAATGTTCTGCTTCTGATCAGCCCTCTACCTCAGGGATCTTATAATAGGTTGCCAGTTTAACAGGTAGTGAATAGCCTGTGCTGTGTTTTGTATCCGAAAGTATGTGCCTATGCTATTTTTTCACAAAATTAGAGTTACCATCATTACTATATGAGACGGATGGTATCTGCCTTCTACCCGATCCAAGATTTTTGCTACCTGTGGTTTGTTTGCCCAGTCTTATTTCAAGTTTATGACATAATCTGGGGCCAGTGCCTGACCAACTCTTCCTTCATAGGTTTGAGGTCTGGCATGTCTTGTCCAGCCAACAAAAGTACAGCTCTTTTGCTGTACTTCTGCTTTTTGTTTTGCTGTATTTTGCCTTTTGTTTTGCTGTGTATAATAAAGCATCTGTTGAGGTTCTAGTTGTGCATTTGCAAGTCCTCTTGCCACTGTAAGCACAGCCTTGGTAGGCAGGACAAGCAAGCTCCATCTGCTTTCTGAGACAGCTCTTGCTCCTGCAGTGGTTCAGGAGCAGCTTTAGATGGAAGAACAGTATATTGTCCTCCTTACCTGTGTACACATAGCTTTTACCTGGCAGCTACAACACTAAATTGTGTATCCTTAATATACCCAAGAAGTTTAAATCTGTTAGCACTTTGGTTTTTCTAAGAAATTCATGAGATCACTGTTTCATTCTCATATGATTAATAGATGGACTGTTAGTGTTGAGACAGGTAGTAAGGCATGTGGTGCAGGGGAGAAGCACTGGCCAAGGGCCTGTTTGTCATTCCTCTACATGAATATTCTCGCATCCTTGGATGGCTCCCTTCATCTTTAGTCTTCCAATTTAGAGGCTCTCTAAGGTGCCTGTAGCTCCGGCACCCTTGGATGGCAGTTGAGTGGTGCCTTGGAGGAGCTCGGAGTCCCGGTCTTGACTGGTGTTTTCTGCTGCCCCAGGCCGGATGCTCCTGAACGACTCCAAGAAGGGCCCCGCTCACCTGCACTACCGGCGACCATACGGCTGTGCGGTCCTCAGCGTCCTGGATGTCCTGCAGTCACTCACAGAGTTAAAGGAAGAAAAGGATTTTGTTCTTAAGGTTTACACGTGAGTAATGAGCATCAGAAATATTGATGATCTGCAGCATAAGACATCCCAGCATTGCCCCTGAGAGCAGAAGCTCTCAAGCTTTGCTGGACACAAACTCATCAGGATATGTAGGACAGGGAGTTTTTGGAAAATGCAAAGATTTCCATCTAACGTTTGGGGTGGGCGCAGGCAACTGCATTTTTAATAAGCTCCTTGGGTGCTTCTGAAGCAGCTGAACTTGGAACTTTCTGTCCTGAAGTAAAAGTCTGATACACTTTTCCTCTTCTGCCCGGGACTAGCCAGCCTTAGTATGTGTTTACAGGAAGCTGATAATCTAATTTCTCCTGTGTTTCGGCTGTTAAAGACTCCTCTGTGTCTAATGCTTGCCCACCAGCTGTTGTAACTGAACTGACTGCTGATGTAAATTGCTTCAGAGAATGATCACGAGTCAGGTTGCACTGTCCTAGAAGAAAAACCAGTTTCTCTGAGGAGCTGAGGCTTTACTCTTCATTTTTGCCACTACTGATCTGTAAGTCACCAGCCAGACATGGCATTATTTTCAGTGTTTAGCAGCCAAGGGCTCTGCCTTACAGAAGCAGTGCATCTCCTCCTGACTCTTATTAAGCACTATAAAATAAAAACAAAGAAGAGTAATACAGAATCCAAGCATCTCTCTTTGCTTATAAAGACTTAGGCATGAATCACGGGCTTCCCTGGTGGCGCTAGCGGCAAAAAAACCCACCTTCCAATGCAGGAGACATAAGAGATACGGGTTTGATCCCTGGGTCTACATGATTTCCTGGAGGAGGGCTTGGCAACCCACCCTGGTATTCTTGCCTAGAGAATCCAATGGACAAAAAAGCCTGGTGGGCTACAGTCCATGGGGTCGCGAAAAGCCGGACATGACTGAAGCGACTTAGCACACATGCAGGCATGAATCAGAGTACTGAAAACATGATCAGTGGTGGGTTTAGTGAGTTTCTTTTCCTCCCAAAATGTAAATATTTTTATTAAGTAAATGGAAACATAACCAGAGTAGGGAAAAGCATTTTTTAAAATTAATTTTTATTGGAGTATAGTTGCTTTACAGTGTTGTGTTAGTTTCTGCTGTGAAGCAGCAAAGTGAATCAGTTCCATTCATTTTTAGATTTCCTTCCCATTTAGGTCACCACAGAGCATTGAGTAGAATTCCCTGTGCTATACAGTAGGTTTCCATTAGTTACCTGTTTTTTACACTGTAGTGTATATATGTCTATCCCAGTCTCCCAATCATCCCACTCCCCTTCTCCTCTCGATATTCATAAATTTGTTCTCTACATTTGTATCTCTATATCTGCTTTGCAAATAAGTTCACCTATACCATTTTTCTAGATTCCACACATAATTGATATTATACAATATTTGTTTTTCTTTCCTTGACTTACTTTAATCTGTATAACAGTCTCTAGGTCTGTCTGCATGCATGCCCAGTCACTTCAGTCGTGTCCAATTCTTTGCAACCCTATGGACCATAGCCCACCAGGCTCCTCTGTCCCTGGAATTCTCCAGGCAGGAATACTGGAGTGGGTTGCCATCCCCTACTCCAGGGGATCTTCCTCACCCAGGGATCAAATTTGCATCTCCTGCATTGCAGGTGGATTCTTTACCCACTGAGCCACCTGGGAAGCCCCCTAGGTCTATCTACAGCTCTGTAAATGGCACTATTTCACCCCTTTTATGGCTGAGTAATATTCCATTTTATATATGTGTACCACATCTTCTTTATCCATTCCTCTGTTGATAGACATTTAGATTGCTTCCATGTCACTATTGTAAAGAGTGCTGCAGTGAACATTAGAGTCCATATATCTTTTTGAATTATGGTTTTCTCTGGGTATTTGCCCAGGAGTGGGATTGCTGGGTCATAGGCAAATCTATTTTTAATTTTTCAAGGAACCTCCATACTTTTCTCCATGGTGCTTGTGCCAATTTACATTCCCACCAACAATGTAAGAGGGTTCCCTTTTCTCCATACTCTCTCCAGCATTTATTGTTTGTAGATTTTTTGATGATTGCCATTCTGACCAGTGTGAGGTGATACCTCATTGTAGTTTTGATTTGCATTTCTCTGATAATTAAATGATGTTAAGCATATTTTCACGTGTTTGTTGGCTATATGTATCTGTTCTTTTTTTTTTTTAATGTATCTATTCTTTAGAGAAATGTCTGTTTGTATTTTCCATCCATTTTTTTCATTGGGATGTTTGTTTTTTTAATATTGAGCTGCATGAGCTGTTTGTATATTTTGGAGATTAATCTCTCATTGGTTGCTTCATTTGCAAATATTTTCTCCCATTCTGAGGGTTATCTTTTCATTTTATTTATGGTTTCCTCTGTTGTGCATAAGCTTTTAAGTTTAATTAGGTCCCATTTGTTTATTGTGTTTTTATTTTCATTACTGTAGGAGGTCTGTCAAAAAAGATCTTGCTGCAATTTTATGTCAAAGTGAGTTTTAAAAGCAGGTGTATTTCTGTGAAAAGTTTTTTTAAAAAACTCCTCTTTTGGTTTTAACCCAATATTATTTTTCAAATTAAATCTAATATTGTCAATCAACAGGTTAATATATCTTAACCATATTTGTGGGAATTTTTCCGTACTATCTATTGTATCTGAATCAGGCATGAAGTGAACTTAATTCACAATTCCCCTTAATTTGGGCCTCTGTATAATTAACTACAGCTTATTAATTTGAAAATAAAAGCCCAGATACCCTTATTACCTGTTTGCCTTAAGCTGTGTTTTGTTCAGTGTTGTGTACTTGATGGGATGAGGCTCTTCCTCTGAAATAACTTACAAAGGAAATTTTGGTGGGTTTTCTCTTCTGTTCATGCATCAGTCACAGCCTTTCTCCATTTACAAAATATCTTCATTGATGGGTAGTGGGATCTGCTTCTTGGTAAAACTTCCTTCCTTTGACAAGGACTAAACATTAATCCAAAATCATCATCATTATCATCTTACTCCACCCTGTCCAAGGGCAGGGAGTTTATAGATAGCACTCCAGAGTTGCATCTCTTTGCATGTATCAGCTGTTCCTTGCTTCCGTGCAAATTTTCATTGTTGAAAGGGGCTTGCACAGCACTTCTCTTGAAATCATGCTGTCAAGCTTAATTGGCCTAATTCCTTCAAAAACAAGAGCTTTCAGTACCAACATGTCACTTTTCAAGAAGTGGGATTCTTGTGTAACTTATTCTTAGCTCCTTGCTCTGAGCTGTGCCTATTATATCAGTTCTAAAAAGCCAAAGAAAGATGGCTTTTTTTGTAACAGGGAAGATAGTTTTTTAATAAATTTTTGAAGGAGTAATAGAGTTAAAATGTAGGATAGTTTTTACACTTGACAGTGTTAACAGACTTTCAAAGACATGTCCATGTTTGTGAAATAATCGATTTTGTGCACAGTATGGAATTCCTCTAGGATTAGTGTTTTAAATCCACATGAGCAGAGTGAATTCAGCCCTCAGGAGAAGTACTATTTTCCAGTAAGTTTTAGAGGACATATTTGGTAGACTGAATTGGAAGCTTTAAGGTTTTACTGATACTGATTGTGCTTTAGCTTTTGCTAGGACTGAAGTTTGCAAGGATTAAAAAAAAAAAAAAAACCTCTTGTATAGTTTTAATCAGTGAATTGGCAAAATATATCATTAGTTGCTGACATTCTCATCATTTCCTATATTATTCAGAGTCCACCTCAAGCCCTGTACTTCTTTTGCCATGATCACTGCTCTGGCTTTATAGATGTTTGATATCATGTGTGTTAGGAAGGCGACACATCCTTTAAAAAAAATCAGAACAAGAAGCTGAGGTGTAAAAACTAGGTCACTTTTCAATGAACTAGAAACCTTAAAAATCACAAATGAATAATCACTGTGTGAAGTTTATTCTGATACAGACATCATGTTTCCTCCTATTCAGAAGGGCAGGAGTTGCAGGGTTACAAGGGTTGCAAGTTACAAGGGTTGCTGAATTTGGAGCCTGGGACCGGGAAGGAGAGAATGCCAAGGAGCATTGAGATGGGGTGGAGGTTGTCCGTAGCTAGTACATTTGATCTACCTAGGACACCTCTAAATATGTGATGACCACTCTCCAACTTCACAATGAAAGAAGTTCAGACATGTTTAGGCCAACTTTAATGAAATAAATAACTACTTCAATAAAATATTAAATTTATCACTTTAGTTATATTTTAAATCATATAAAATGTATATTACATATTATATGCTCAATCACAGATGTAAAATTGAGGAGTATTACTATTACTTATTCCCTGGGGCTTCCCAGGTGGCGCTAGTGTTAAAGAACCCATCTACCAATGCAGGAGACCTAAGAGAAGTGAGTTTGATCCCTGAGTCAGGAAGATCCCCTGAAGGCATGGCAACCCACTCCAATATTCTTGCCTGGAGAATCCCATGGACAGAGGAGCCTGGCAGGCTATTGTCCATAGGGTTGCGAAGAATTAGACTGAAGTGACTTAGTACAGCACGCACACTTACTCCCCACTCACATTTTATGAGTTGTTTTTTTTTAACTTTATTTTATATTGAAGTATAGCTGATTAACAATGCTGTGATAGTTTCAGGTGGACAACAGAGCAGCTCAGCTATATATGCACATGTATCCCTTCTTTCCCAAACTCCCCTCATGTCCTGGCTGCCATGTAACATTGAGCAGAGTTCCCTGTGCTATACAATAGGTCCTTGTTGATTATATATTTAAATATAGCAATGTGTCCATGCCAATACCAAACTCCCTAACTGTCGTTTCCTCCCACCCTTCCCCCAGTAACTGGAAGTTCATTCTCTAAATCTGTGAGTCTGTTTGTATTTCATAAATGAGTTCACTTCTTTTTAGATTCTGCATATAAGCAATAGCATAATGATATTTCTCTTTCTCTGACTTATTTCAATTAATATAATAATAATCTCTGGGTAGATTTGTATTGCTGCAAATGACATTATTTTATTCTTTTTGATGGCTTAGTAATTGTGTGTGTGTGTACACACCATATATGTACCACATCTTCTTTATCCATTCATCTATTGATGGACATGTAGGTTGCTTCCATGTCTTGGCTATTGTTAAGAGTGCTGCTGTAAACATTGGGCTGCATGTATCTTTTCGAGTTAGAGCTCTCCTAAGGCATATGCCCAGGTGTGGGATTGCAGGATCATATGGAAGCTGTATTTTTTGTTTCTTAAGGAACCTCCATACTGTTTTCCATAACGACTGTACCAATTTACACTCCCACCAACAGTGTAGGAAGATTCTCTTTTCTCTTCACCCTCTCCAACATTTATTGTTTGTAGAGTTTTTGATGATGGCAGTTCTGTCCAGTGTGAGGTGATACCTCCCTGTAGTTTTGCTTTGCATGTCTTTAATAATTAGTGACATTGAGCATCTTTTCACGTTCCTGTTGGCCATCAGTAAAATTCCTGCAAGTGTAGTGGTGAAGTGCCGCGTCATTGTCTGTGCTGGTTATTTCCTCTGTGGGGAAGGTATACCACAGAGGCACACAGACTTCTTTTAGATTACAGTCCCTTGTGTGTTTTATGATTGAGGACAAATCATCAACATCAGTAATCGTGCTTTAAATATTAATTTGATTGGATACAACATAATGATGCTTCATTATAATCATAACTCATTTGGTTAATAAATGCTTACATTTATTTTTTTCCTTAGAGAATATCCCAGTGATTGGTTAAAATATGCTGATGACACTGCATCCACTGAGTTTCAGATGATTTGAGTAGCTCCCTTGGCGTTCTAGAAAGGAAAAGAGTTGAAAGGCCAGTTAAGAGGTGACTACAATGGTCTGAAAGAGAGATGATAATGGCTGAACCAGGGCCATGAAGAAGAGAGGTCATTTGTGAAAGATTTTAAGAAAGCTTCATGAGCTAGTGGGTTCTACTCAGAAGCAGTCTCTCAGAGTAGACAGGTGGATAGGAAATGTCAAGCTGTCTTATGGCCATGTAGGTCAAAAGTTTAGCAAGGTGTCTGGGCTAGAGACACTGCGTTGGGTCTTGGCAGCTTTTGGTGGTGGTCAAAACCATGAAAGCAGGTGAGATAACCCAGAAAGCTTATATGGTAGGAAGGAAATGGGCTTCAAATGTAGAGCTCTGAAGGTCACTGATAGTTAAGGGGTGTACAAAGGGAGAAGAATATGAGGGGCAAGCCATCAAGTGTCTAGCATCTGAATTGTGTGTATTGACTGGAAAGGTAGATGTCAGTGAAGTAATACACTTTGTCACTATTGATGTGGTTGGTAAAGCTTTGTATACTGCCAAATAACTGGTGAGTGTTTTATTGAAGAAGCACTGAAATTATACCACCCATTGAGAGAGGAAGTTAATTTACAAGACTCTTTTTGTTCTTTTGGTTTTATTTATAGGAATTCTTTTGTATTTGTGTGTGTATTTTATACCTGTACATTTGAGATGTATAATGTATTACTTTGATACATTTATATTTTGTAATATGTTTGCCAGTCAAGCAATATTTATCATGTTGCATTATTATAGTACAATATTATTATCTGTATTCGTTATACTGTGCATTAGTCAGGACTTACTTTGAAGTGAGGTGGGGGAGTACACTGTTTATGACGAACTGTAGTCAGATTTCTGTTAAAGAAAGGACTACTGATCTTGTAAACCTAGAAAGTGACAGGAGTCTGACTGCGAGACTAGTCTGAGTCCTCACCAGCTGGGCACTTCTCTGGTGTGGTGACTGGTTGGAAGAGATGCAATCATGTGCATGTCAGACAGGGAGGGCGAGGTGTGCTGCTGCCAGCACCTCTCACTTCTGACTTCCAACTGAGTTGTTAATCACAAGTGATCATTTTAAAGAACACTGTCTCCCTTCCTCTCCTTGGAAGGAATTCTGTGAGCAGAAGTTATCCTCACAGCTCTGGACTGTGAGAACCTTGTCTCTCACACTTTTTTGCAACATCTCTGAGCAAGTGAGGCTTGTTTATACTGACTGAGAAGTCAGAAGAGCTACTGATTAGAAAAAAATTAGTCTAGTGACCAACCTCCTTTATCTCTGAATGGTCTCTATACAAAGCCTTTTATTTAGAAACCAGTTGTGCTTCATTCACACTGCTGGATGGCACGTGATAGAACTCTTGCTGGAGTCTCTGCTTGGGCGTGGCTGTGCCGGACTACACACTTCTAAGTAACCATGGAAAGATCTTGTGGGTTTTCCTTTGTGCATGAGCTCTGTTTTCTGGAGTCAGTGGTTCTCCCTGTCCAACAGGAGAAAGGAGGGGCTGAGGCTATGAAGACTCCCAGTGTCTCATGGAATTTTCAAGAGATGGCCCTAATCTCATTTCAGTCGTTTCATCAGCATGTCTACTTTCAGATGAGAAATTCCTTCCTAGTCTCTGTTCCTAAGCTGTACCAAATAGTTGTATGACTGCAGCTTTCTTGGAATTGTTCTTTAGAGGGGAAGACTCTAAAAATGTCAGAAATTAGCAGAGGTGCAGGTCCGTTGCTCCATTCTCTCTTTTCTTCCACTCCTGAAATTCCTAGGAAAGAACTTTATTCTTATGTATTTAGGCATCCAGACTTCTCTAAGCCCTCCTTCCCTTTGACTACAGAAGATTTCACAGCAAACCAAGCCCACTACTCTCCCAAACTTTTCTTCTTAGCTTGATCTAGCTAAAATACAACCACAGGCAAATATGCACATTGCCCTGAGGTTAGCAGGACTTTTCTCTGAGGCCATTATAGTGACAGTTGAATGACAGTATAAAGCCAGTGCAAGACATGGAAGTTTCTAAACAGCAGTACTTGTTGAGAGGAACTGTTGTTTTCCTCTGTTGGGAACTTTCCTCTAGTGCCTAGTTGCAAGTATGTGTAAGGAACTAAAAAAGAAAAAAATTGTCACACGGGAAAGTACTACTTCAGACAAAAGGATATTTTGCCACTTAGAGATATTTGCAGAGGTTCATTTTAGAGTTTCTACTCTTTCCCCAAATGTGAATCTTCTGTGTGCCTTCCAAGAAAACAAGCCTTGTCTAATTTAGTAAAATGTAAGTTCATTTCTTTAGGAAAGTGTTGTTGCACTTTGAACATTAGACCAGATGTTTAAAACTCTTGACTGTCATGATGCCTGTCCTTCTGTTACAGATGCAACAATGAGAGTGAGTGGTCCCAGATCCATGAGAATATCATCCGCAAGTCCAGCGCCAAGTACTCTGCCCCCAGTGCCAGTCATGGTAAGGTGCTTCTCTGGCTAGAAGACTTTGTGTTACATTTGCAGTTGCTCATCATACACACCTTAAGTTTATTTGTGCTGATCACTTGCCAGATATAAAGTTATTTCCTACAGACATTTATTCTCCTTTTCAGGCAGTTTCTATTTCTTTCTGTGATGATTTGAAACCTTCCCTAATTATTAATACTTCCTTTAAAAAATTTTTTACTGGAGTATACTTGATTTACAGTGTTGTGTTAATTTTAGGTGTGCAGCAAAGTGAATCAGTTGTACATATACATATATGCACTCTTTTCCCATATAGGTCATTACAGAGTATTGGATAGAGTTCCTTATGCTATATAGAAGGTCCTTATTGGATGTGTATGTCAATCCCAATCTTTCCTTTCTCTCCTAGGATCCATGTTTGTTTTCTACATCTGTGACTCTATTTCTGTTTTGTAAATAAGTTCATTTGTATCATTTTTTTAGTCTCTACATATATGTAGTATTATATAATATTTGTCTTTCTCTGTCTGACTTATTTCACTTGGTATGGTAAGCTCTAGGTTTATTCATGTTGCTGTAAGTGGCATAATTTTATTCTTCTTTTGACTGAGTAATATTCCATTATATATATGTACCAAACTTTTCTATCCATTCCTCTGTCAATGGACACTGAAATTGCTTACATGTCTTGGCTGTTGTAAACAGTGCTGTAGTGAACATTTGGGAGCATGTATCCTTTCAGATTATGTTTTTCTCCGGATATATGCCCAGGAGTGGGATTGCTAGACCGATAGTCCTATTTTTTAGTTTTTTAAGGAACTTCCATATTGTTCTCCACAATGACTATATCAATTTACATTCCCATCAACAGTACAGGAGGGCTTTATTTTTTCCACACCCTCTCCAGTGTTTGTAGACTTTTTGATGATGGCCATTCTGACTGGTGTGAGTGATAAATACCTTGTTGTAGTTTTGATTTGCATTTCTCAGATAATTAGTGATGTTGAGCATCTTTTCATGTGCTTTTTGGCCATTACTTCTGACCAAAATGCGTTTTCTGCTCTTTCTGTGGTGAATTCCTTGTGCTTTGATAGGTAACTTGAGTTCCAGTTCGAATCCAGAGCAAACAAAAGTGTTGCAGGGTTTGTCACATTGTGAAGTCTGTGTTTTCCTGAACAAAGACTACATACCCAGCCCTCCCAACAAAAGACACATACTAATATCACTTTTTCTAGTCCTTTTCAGTGTTAGCATCACCGAGAAAGCCTGACACTAATGAGAATCAATGTCTGCCATTATCAGTCATTTGGAAACTGAAATAGAAAATCTCTATTTCAAAGCAGCTTTCATCTTAGCTCAACTTCTTTTTTTCCTGCTTTTATTTTAAAACTATGTTTAAAAATCTACAAGCAATAAATGCTGGAGAGGGTGTGGAGAAAAGGGAACCCTCTTACACTGTTGGTGGGAATGCAAACTAGTACAGCCACTATGGAGAACAATGTGGAGATTCCTTAAAAAACTGGAAATGGAACTGCCATATGACTCAGCAGTCCCACTCCTGGGTGTACACACTGAGGAAACCAGATCTGAAAGAGACACGTGCACCCCAATGTTCATCGCAGCACTGTTTATAATAGCCAGGACATGGAAGCAACCTAGATGCCCATTAGCAGACGAATGGATAAGAAAGCTATGGTACATATACACAATGGACTATTACTCAGCCATTAAAAAGAATTCATTTGAATCAGATCTAATGAGATGGATGAAACTGGAGCCCATTATACAGAGCGAAGTAAGCCAGAAAGATAAACACCAATACAGTATACTAACGCATAATATGTGGAATTTAGAAAGATGGTAATGATAACCTTATATGCAAGACAGAAAAAGAGACACAGATGTATAGAACAGACTTTTGGACTCTATGGGAGAAGGCGAGGGTGGGATGATCTGAGAGAATAGCATTGAAACATGTATATTATCAAGTGTGAAACAGATCGCCAGTCCAGGTTGGATGCATGAGATAAGTGCTCAGGGCTGGTGCACTGGGATGACCCAGAGGGATGGGATGGGGAGGGAGGTGGGAGGGGGGTTCAGGATGGGGAACACATGTAAATCCATAGCTGATTCATGTCAATGTATGGCAAAAACCACTACAATATTGTAAAGTAATTAGCCTCTAACTAATAAAAATAAAGGGGGGAAAAAGTATAAAAAAATAAAATAAAACTATGTTTAATATGTGTCTAAATCTTGGTGTAATTGTACATGTTAGCATTAACTCTTAACTGAATATGAAATGTTTGATTAAATTAGAAGCACTGTTTAAAAATCTCTAAGACCTCCTGAATAGATGTTTTTCCAAAGAAGACATACAGATGGCCAACAGACACATGAAAAGATGCTCAATATTATTAATCATCAGGGAAATGCAGATTAAAATCACAATGATATATCACCTCAAACCTGTCAAAATGGCTGTCATCAAAAAGGACACAAATAACAAATGTTAGCAAGGCTGTGGAGAAAATGGAACCCTCATATCCTGTTGATATGAATGTAAATTGGTGTAGCCACTGTGGAAAACAGTATGGAGGATTCTCAAAAAACTGAAAACAGAACCACCATATGACCCCACAGTTTCACTGCTGTGTATATATCTGAAAAAAATTTAAATGCTATTTTGAAAAGATGCTTGCACCCCAGTGTTCATAGAAGCATTATTTATAATTACCGAAGTATGAAAGCAACCTGTGTCCATCACCAGATGAATGGATAAAGAAGCTGTAGTGTATATGTACAATAGAATAGTACTCAACCTTAAAAAAGAATGAAATTTTGCCATTTGCAGCTACATAGGTGGGGTTGAAGGGTATTATGCTAAGTGACATAAGTTAGAGAAAGACACAATACTTATGATATCACTTATATGTGGAATCTAAAATGTAAAACAAACTAGCAAATATAACAAAAAAGAAACAGACTCAGATACAGAGCAAGGTCTTGCTTTCCAGTGGGGAGAGGGATATGGGGAGAGGCAAGGGACTAAGAGGAACAAACCACTATGTATCAAATAAACACACTACAACTATATAACAACACAGGGAATATAGCCAATATTTTATAATAACTACAAAAAGAACATACCTTTGAAAGTTGAGAATAACTGTTGTACACTTAATACTTATATAATATTATACATCTACTGTACCTCAATTAACATATAAATAAAAGCCTGTGAACTTTTAATATACTCTTGAAGATAACTATCAAATTTACATAGAACCATGTTTCTCCAGATAATTTTTACCTTGAAACTATTTCATAACCTCTTTTATATAACCTTCTTTGTTTTAGTGTTATAAACCTGTTGTAAATACAGAGTTGCCCTTGAAAGTGAAAGTCAGTTAGTGGTGTCTGACTCTTTGTGACCCCATGGGCTATACAGTCCATGGAATTCTCTAGACCAGAATACTGGAGTGAGTAGCCTTTCCCTTCTCCAGGGGATCTTCCCAACCCAGGGATCGAACCCAGGTCTCCCGCATTGTGGGCGGATTCTTTACCAGCTGAGCCACAAGGGAAGCCCAAGAACACTGGAGTGGGTAGCCTATCCCTTCTCCAGAGGATCTTCCTGACCCAGGAATCAAACCGGGGTCTCCTGCATTGCAGGCAGATTCTTTATCAACTGAGCTATCAGGGAATCCCCCAAGTTGCTCTTAAATGATGGTGTAAAGCCACTGCAAGGCATGGCAATTCTGAGTTGTCGAGAAGAACCTCTATCAAGATCAGCATGTTTTCAACTAGGAGGGTCCTCAGAGCAGTTCCAACCCAGAGGCTATGAAGTTTGAGATGCTCAGCTGGGAGTACTTGAATTCTCTAAAACTCTGTAGCATGGGGCTCCTCAGGGCCTCTCTCACTGGTTTTAAGAGCCTGTTTTTCCTCATATGTGCCTGAATGCCAAGGAGCTACGTACACATAGTGTGCTGGAAGGTGAAGGGAGTTCACATCCCTCACCTAAAGCTGGACTAAAGCAAGAACCTTACTCTTTAACAAGTTGCAATTTGGAAGACTGTTCATGCCAATATTTATAGTGTTCTTTGCTGTATTTATGTATTTTATTTATAAAGAGCTACCCTTGGCTACAAGTTCTGAAGCTATGGTGTGTTTAAAACTTGGAAGACATTTTAAAAGAGGGATAGTGGTAATAATACATTAAAAGAAAAAATCAAAAAGCAGTTTCCATCATCTCCTAACAGGGTTAGAATGCTGGATTTTGTCTTACTTCCCAGAATGACCAAAGGTCCATGCCATTGTCAGTGTCTTATGATTTTTGTCTGTGACTCACAGACACTGGCCACTTAAACAGTGTTAGAAAAGCACCCTTCCCTCTGTGCTGGGAGCACCATAGACTTCAGAGAGCCTCAGTTAGGATGGCCCTACTGAGGGCAGGTCTTCGTGCACTTGTGGGAAACCCAGGAGGAGAAATAGGCTGCTTTTCTTTGGAGTGTGTGTCTGACTGCCTCTTGGCCAGGCTTAACTTGAAGCTGTTTGGAAATCATGTTTCAACTCCCTCATTGAACAAATGAAGAAACTGGAGCTCGATCAGGTACTTTAGTGGCTAAACCAGGGAGCCCAGTTTTCGGGATGCTGGGGAACAGAGAGGAGGGCAACTTAATTTCCCCGACCTCAGTCTGAGTTTTAATAGAATAGTCCTCTGGGTTTTTGAGAAGATTTTGACTTAGATTCTTTTAGCTTTCTAGAATATCTCTTCAGGATAATGTATACTTTCTGCCTCAAAACTTTTCTCAAGAAAAATGCTGAATTTTTCACATTTTTCTCTGGGGAAAAAAAAAAAGATCTTTTCTGTGTTTTCTAGGGTAGAAGAGTGATTCTGAGTTTAAAAAAAAAATGCTTTTGTTTTTGCAGGTCTTATCATCTCTCTGCAACTTCTTCGTGGAGACATGGAACAGATTAGGAGAGAAAATCCCATGATATTTAATAGGGGATTGGCAATTACAAGAAAATTGGGATTTCCTGATGTCATCATGCCAGGTAGGCAGAACCTCTTGGGGCTGGGGTGGGAGAAGGGTTAGGAGAACGGAGTTTGGTGCTCCCCTTGTGCGCAGGTGGCAAACCACACTATGGAGGAGCCCCACAGCCATTGACAGCCTCTGCAGCGAGAGTCAGGTTGCTGACTGCAGTCTGCAGCCAGTGTCTCCTTTGGCTCTTGTTGGCATTTGTTCTTTTCTAGAAGCCCCCACATACCTTCACCAGGGCAGCACAGCAGTCTGGCACTTGAACCTTTTTGTCTCCTGTGGAGACTAGATATTAGGAATCAACACAGAGCTCCTCACAGGGATGCCTTTTTTATACTCTTCTCTTCAGTTACATATCTTAGAAGAGAAGCCCCTCATAAGAACATCCTCTTTAAGGAAAATAATGCCTGTAATGTCAGTGAATCCCAGTTCATATAGGAGTAGCAGATATATCTGTATCAGAAAAATGAATCATAACAATGAAAACACCATACCATATCAGGAAGACAGGTTGGCAAATGGTATAGGTTAGGCAGTGTGAATAGTACTACCTGGCCAGTTTCTCAGAAATTGTCTTAACCCCTTTCACCTGATGCCTGATGGAGAGCTAGGGCAGAAAGTGGGAATGCACTGGCTCTCAAGTGTGATTCCAGCAGGTTAATCTAAAGCTCGTGTTTCCTAGTGAGACAGATGCGGGTCAAGCTAGAGCAGTAAATCCAAATAGGCCATCAGAACCAGGGGGCTGTGGGGAATGAGGGAAGGATAGAGGCGTGGCTCTGATGGATGGGAGGCAGTCTGGAACCAGAGAAGATGGGAACAAGGAGAAGGAAGGAAGAACAAGGAAATAGTTCCTTGTCTGGATGAATTACAGGAGGTGTGACCCTACCTTTTCCATTAAGTTTCATTCAGTGTTCCGCTAAAAGCTTATTTGCTTTTGTTTAGAAGAGCCAAGCCAGGCTAGACTAAACTGATAGTGACCACTCTAAATAATCTCCTCTTTGGAATTCTCCATGGTGCTGAAAACTTCTCTTATTGGAAATATATGCCAGCATATACCCGGGGGAGAGTATGGCCTGAGCATACAGAAGGCCTTGTGATGGATTCCAGCTGTTCTTCTGCTCCCCACATTATGCCCAGACTTATTTTCTATCTCTTTTACTCTCTCTCCATAGACACTGTGACTGCAGAGCAAGCTGCTGTGAACAGCCTTTGTCTCTTGCTCATGCACACAGGAGGATCTTTTAAATGACAGTCCTAGGCCATTTAATCAATTCCTTGTCAATTTTGTGTTTATCTTTAAATGTTTAGAAGACTCCATGCTTATGAAAGGCCCTCATCTAGCTGTTGTGGAGGGTGATGTCCTCCACAGGACATGTCTCCCATCCTGTCCTGACAGTGTTTCCGAGCCCTCTGTGACCCTAGTGATCAGGAGAAGAGCCCAGACATCATCCCTAGCTTCTTGGCAACATGTCACTGAAGAAATAATTGGTGATTACCAAAACTGGTCTGATGATCATTTTTAAATGCGCTATCCAGGCTCATGATATGGAGTCATATATTCTGAAAGATATGCTTGAAGTCCTTTCTCCCTTTTAAGAACTAGTTTGTCTAAGATTTGGACATTGCTTTCCTCTTAGCCCTCACACAGTCATAGAATCAAAACAAAGTGAACAGAGACTAGAAAGAAACAAGCTTCAGTCAAAAATCTTTAAGCAGACTTTAAATTCAAGAGTTACAGCATCCACACCTCACCTGTGGAAAGAGATCTTTTTGTGAGCACTCTGAATCTCTTTGTGTCATTGGCACACAGGTTGATAAAGGACTTCTGAGAAGGTTGGACCTGACCTTGGAAGTAAGCAGTATCAGTATCATTGGTGAGGCAAGCGGAGTGTCAGGATCATTTCCTCCACTGGGCAGCTGCGACGTTATCGTCTGATTTGCCCCACAAGGCAGAGACACTGGCAGTCCTAGGGTGTCCAGACTGGGGCTGTGAATGTGCTCTTTGCTGGATTGTCTGCCCTTGAAGTATTGAGTACTGGAGCTGAAAGTGAGGATTGATTCACAGGCAGGAGGCAGTCCCCTATGTGTCTCCCCTCTTTTACCTTACCTCCTCTCGAGGAAAGAATTTTTTGCACAGATTGCCCCTCTCCAGATTGTGTGCTAACAACTGACAGTGCCTTTAATGCCCCCACAAGATATCATCAGAGTGGGTTTGCCCTCCTTGGGCGAGGTGGTAGGGCTGGCCCTAAAGGTTCTGCTAGAGCAGCAGGAAAAGTGTGCAGCAGTGTTTTCAGTTGTGGTCCATCGGTCCTGGGAAACTATGGCTGTGACAGGAAGTCCCTTTGTGAGGTCACCCTCCACCTACAGCTGGTCCAGTCTTCACCTGTGGGAATATCGGATCTGGGCTGCAATGGTCCCTCGGCCCTCATGGTGCTGGTATGACCGAGTTGCAAGAAATTGCAGCTTCTTGACACATGGTCATAAGAGAAATGAACAATGAAATGAATTATGTTAGTAACTGTGAGCATTTCAACACTGAAGTCTGAGAAATTAGAATACATGGAAAAATTAGAATGGTTCCTATACTATGGCTCTTCTCTTGAAACTACCAGCATTTGGGAGAAACTACTAGATATTCATTTGGAGAGGTCCTTTATGTCAGATGGCCCAGACAGGTCCTTGTCAAAGCATATTGACAGAGCTTACAGCTCTAAGTTATAGCATTTAGACAAGTTCTGACCACACCAGTATCTGACACACGATTTCAGAAAAGGACTTTTCAGTGGTCTCCTGTTGCTTTCCATGAGTGTGTAAGATACACCACATGACTGCTGTGAACAGGAGATGTCCTATTCTTTCCCACAGCCAAGGCCCTGACTGCATAGGCATCCAGCTGTGTTCATGACTCATAGTGAGCGCGAGGCAAGACCACCGTTGCTGGTGGTATTCTGGGAGTCGCAGAGAAGGCACATAAACCAAGTCCATCCAAGTCCATCCAAGATTGTAGAAGAATGAACCGATATGGGAACTTAAGCCTGATTTTGAAACTGAACACCTAACAGCCTTTTGTTGGTTTATCGTCATATTTCTGTGGGTAGTTCTTCCTTCCCTACCAACTCATTTTAGTTCATTACAGAAGCTAATAACTCTACAACGCACGTTTACTCTGAGATTTTTTTCAAGAAAATGGAAAGGAAATACTGGAGCAGGGCAGACATTTCAGGTGAATGAGTTTTCTGTGACTCACTTGTCAGCATTAGCCCAATTAGAACTTTCAAGAAAACTGTCAGGCAAAAGACTGTAAACTGAAAGGGAATGATTTAAAATCTCTTGCTCAAGAGTGGTCTGTACACTCCTCCAAACCTCGTCTAAGCCAGCAGGGGTGTGCCAGCAGCTTCTGTGCAGTTTTCTAAGTGTCAGGGTTCTAGGAGAGTCTATTCCCTGGCGTCGGTAGGAGTGCAGAGCTGTCATGGTTCTGTGGGAAAGAAACCTTTTAACTTGTTTTCTAAGCCTTGAATTTGTAAGGTTATCATTTACTGTGGGCATTATGGGCCAAGTTTCATATTAGTTAAATGAGCTTCTCTTTTGTCCAAAGAAATCTGCCCTGTGATTGTAATATATTCTAGTTGATGGCTAAGTTTTTTTTTTTTTCCTAAGCCAGTATTCCTCTAACTTTAGTATGTATCAGAATCACCTGCAGGGCTTGGAAAAACACATTGCTAAACCCACCCCAAGAGTTTCTGATACAGTAGGATTGGGGTGGGACCTGAGCATTTGTATTCCTCACAGGCTATCAGGTGATGGTTTAGGGCCCCATTTGAGAACCGTGTCCTAAAGAGTACTCTGCTTTAGGGATGCTTTGCCCCTCTCTGAATCAGTCCTGGTACAAGCTCCTCTCTGGGTTGCCCTGACCTTGACCTTTAGAAGGCAGCTATGCTGGCATGGCAGCCCTCAAGGGGGCCCCCCGACTCTTGCCCTTGTGCTCAGAAGTACACTCTGTCCTTTGCTTTAACCCCTGATATAAAGTGCATGCTTCATCACCAACCTGCAAGTGATGTCTTTTTCTCTTTTCCTGTTTGTCTTAATTGTTCTTGTTTCTCTCTGTGCTGTCCCCTCATTCTCGCCCCTTTCTTTCTGGTGCAGAGATGAAGATAGTTGGGTGTAAGTTCCTGCTTTTGTGTCTCCTGTCTGCTTTTGCCTGCTTTGTCTCCATCTTCATTTGTTTCATGGAATGTTGCAATACTGGGGTGGGGTATCATTTTCATTATTAATCCTTCATCAGCCTCACCTTTTGGGATAACTGACAAAATGTTAGAGAAGCTACCAGCCCAACCTAGAGACTGTGTATTACTTTAGGTGTTCATTAAGATCAGAGAAAACTAAGGACATGTTGGAATATTTATAAAACCTTACAAAGCCCTAGGTGAGTAGATACAGGAAAGGATTTTTATGAGACAGATCAGCTATTCTCATTGAAAAGAAAATGAGTAATGCTTATCCCAAGCTGCAAAGAATCAGAAAGGCAGAAAGCTGCTCTTTTCAGCTCTGCTGGACACATCTCATGACTTTTGAAAGAAAAGTTCTCCTCAACAGAGTGATGACAGTATTTACCACAAGTAGATTCAGAGGACTGTGGTCAGTCTGAGTGTCACATGAAGCTTTGACCGTATCTCTAAGGGATGGTTTAGGAATGATCACATCTGGTCCCACAATGGGTTGGAATATCCCCACATCCCTGACCCAAGAAAGGAATAATCATACACAGTGATGTCACACCATGCCATTCCTGTCATTTTGTTTGAGCAGAGAGTGTCACTGACTTTGTAGCAATAGAAACCAATAGAAGTGTGACACCAAAGACTTGGTTAGAAAAACAAAGAACCTGTCTTCCCTGGGTACTCTGAAGAAATCTTGCCAAGAGCCTTTTTTTTTTAAGTCTCTTCCTCAGAATGAGAGCTACTCCATCATATAAAATGTTGGTCACATGTCTGAAACTGTCCATACAGGATGGTAGTTAACATCTCCACATCTCCGTGAATGCTGTCAGGAGACTCCTGTTCTGCCAAGAGATAGAATTGGCACCATTCCGAGCAGGCTGCAGTGTCTCCCGGGAGAAGATGTGTTCTAGTTTTCCGTGGTCTTAAGGGAAATAAAACACTATCCACAGAAGCTCTTCCTAATCCTGTCTCGAATTGGACAAGTTCTAAATAATGTAGTAGTTAACACTATTATTCTTGAACCCAGAGCCTCACACATGGTGTGAGTCATTTGTACAGAAGGGACATGAATTTAATAAAGAATCCAAGCAAGATATAGTGTCCCCCAAATTCCAAGTAAGGCTGGCGTGTCTGGCAAGAGACAATCTTGCTAACAGAGGCTCTGGTGCCTGAGCTGAACCTCGAAGACTCTGAAACTCTGTGGAGACTGCTTTCAGTGGAAACATGCAAACATGGGATGAGCTGTTTCTCCAAAGTCGCACTAGGATGCAGGTCTTTGGATGATCAGGCCTGGCCACTGAAGCACACGCTGTTCTCTCTGCTGGATGCAGCTCTGTCCCAGTGCTCCCCAGCCCCCTAGGACTCCGGTAGCTGCAAAGCACTGCTTCCTTCTGAGACCTCTGTCTCTAAGGACCCTAGAATGTCTCAGGCTAATCCCTGACATCATCAGTCGGCTTCAGGTCCCTGACCTGGCTCCCTCCCCAGCAGCTGTTTTGTGTTGACTTCTAGGAATCTGGAGTGTTGCCGGGTAGTGACGCTGCTCTGGACAGTTGAACACTGTATCAGCAAACTATAGCCCATAGGCTAAATCCAGAAGCCTTTCATACTGTCCGCCAACTCAGAATGGTTTTTTACGTTTTAAAAGGGTTGTAAAAACAAAGAACATGTGGCCCACAAAGCCTGAAAGGTACTTACTATCTGGCCTCTTCCAGAAAAAGTTTGCTGGCCTCTTCCAGAAAAACTTTGCCAGCCTCTGCCGACTCTTAAGTCCCTAGTTTTCTGACATGCAGCTGTACCAACAGCTTTCACTGCCTGCTGTGTGAAACTGCAAAAGGGACAAAGATTATTTATGCTGAAGCCCTCTTACAAGAACAGTCTCATTCATTCATCTCCCCATTCAAGAAACTCTGTTGCGTGTCAACTGAGCACCAAGCATTCAGAGATGTAAGGCATTGCTGATGCTCTTAGAGGCTCTGCCAATCTTAGGAAGCAGAGGACACCTAGCAAATGGAATCAGGGCTGCCCTCCACAATACACACTCCCACTGGCCTCCAAAAAGCCTCCCCCCTCCATACCCGTCTCATCAATCCTCCACGCTGCCTAAGAGCTGCCCAGTTCCACACCCTCAGCCAGACTTCACTAGCATCTTCCCAGCAGACCCACACTTTATGGTCCCCTGATGTTAAACCCTGGAGAGCATCGGAGTCACCTGATGCTTTTTAAAGATACAAGTACACAAGCCCCACCCAAGACCCACTGGAATCTCTAAGGGGTGAATATTAGAAATCTAGTTCTAACAAGCTCCCTAGATGATTTCAGAAAAACGCAGTGGTCTCCAAACTAATCACAGAAACTGCTGCTCAGGCCTTCTCTCTCCCATCCTTATTGTAAGGTGCCTGTCCTCATGCCTCTCCTGGTGATATTTCCAGGTCACTGGTGCTAAAGTTTACACAAGCCTCCTGGAGACAGTGTTAACCCATGATCCTACTAGTAGTCTTTGTAAACATGTAACATGCGATCAGGATAGCTGTGAACAGCAGGAACCCTGGGAGGCTCTCTGTAAGGCAGGCCTGGCTCATTACATCCTGGAGCTCTTCACATTTGTTCCTTCTAGTTCCTTGAGAATTAGTGGAGAGTTCAATTTAAATGATCCTCCAGAGAGCTTTTGAGGAGAAGGCCCCAGCTACATTAGCTGTTACAAAGAGCTGTTTCCAAAATTGAGACCATAATTTACAAAATTGCAACTCTTCTGACTGAGAATGGCCTTGGTTCTCGGCAGATCTGTCCTCTAAATAAAGAGGAAAGATCTGATGAAATCAAGCTGCTTCAGTGTGTGACTCAGAGGGTACAGTTATGTGTATTTACACATTTTCTAGGTGATCACCAAAGGCATTCTATTTAAATAGAAAATTTTAAAAGAATGAAACCTGTAGGAATATCTAGCTCAGTTCTTTCATTTGAAATTGGCATTCTAGTTTAAAACACCCTGGAGAAGCTGCCCAGAAACTATGAGCTCACTCTATAAAACCAAAACAGACCGAATTCTGTCATTATCCATCTGCAGGATGATGTCCAGTTTGATATTAGTATTTTATATCATACTATGCTTGGAAAAGTTTGAAATGTTCCATTTAGGGACATACTTATTGTAATATGGTTACCTTTTGTATAGAGCCACAGAAATTTAAAATGTTTGTACAAGCTAGAATACCGTTGCTGGTAGCCAACATCTGCTTTGAAGAGTCACATGAATTGTCTTGAGAATAACTTCCAGAGAGTGCTGATTTAAACCAAGGTAATTTTAAACAAAGCACCTATTCTTTAGATATTAAAATTCTCTATTCACTTTATGCCAAATTATTCAAGAAATTGAATAATTACTTAAGTTCCATAGAAAAGTTAATGTGTAACTAAAACACTATTATCAGGAGAAAGCTCTGAGGTGTCTGTTCCAATTTTTAAAAATTTAAGGTGTAACCAACTCTGATTTTCCCCATTATAATGGCAATAACCTATAGTTAAGTTCCCAGTAATTTTGAATTTTACTTTCAGGGATGATTTTTTTCATCCTCTGTTCTGACAGTAGCAAACTGATGAATTTGAGTTTTCCTTCTCCTCCTGCTTGCCTTCCCCACCCTACCTGCACACGTGAGTGCTCTTTTTAATGACCTGGTAGGAGGACCCAAGTAGGATTGTTCAAAAGAGGAAGATTAAAGTTCCAGATTCATCAGAATTCAAAGTAGAGGTTCTGCTCAGCCCAGGAGGAAAGTCTGTACAGACTGCAAGGATGGACCCCCTGAAGTCGGTCCCACCTTCCCGGCAGTTGCATTTGCATGTGATTTTCAAGAACACATTTTCCTCTTCCCTTCATGGAGCCTCAGGGCTATTTTGTTTAGGGAAATAGCTTTCACATGTTAAAATTCTCTGCATTGTCAGAGAATTACCGTTTCTCATGGACTGCTCTTTTGAGAGTATTATGTGACCAAAAAACCATGACGGTACTCGTAGGGTAGGAAGGCAACATGAAGAATAGAAGGTTTGGACATGAAGACCCCCAAAGCCCAAGATATGGGCCAGTCATAGTCTATCACTGTTTCATGTGTAAGAGACACTCAGACACCCACAGTTAGAGAAGTGGGCAGTGCGGAAAAGAGGCTCTCATTAAGTACCTGGCCAAACCAGAAAGCTTGGTTGCTCACCAAAAACAAAGCCTCTTTATGTCATTGTGATTCCAAGTAATGAACAGACTTAGATGTGCCAGTTTTTCTAGAAACTGAAGTAGAAAGACTTTGATTTCTGAATTGGTTTCCTTTGCAAGTTAGTGAATTGTTCCATTAACTTTCAGTTGATTTCTTCAGGCTGCCAACACATCGTCACTTTGGCCTCACCTGGTTTCCCTTGTCATTTTCTTCCTTTGAAGATTCCCCCCCTACCACAGGCTTTACTTTTTTTTTTTTTTTGCAAGTCAAAAGCCCTTCTTTAGTTTGTGTTAAGTAAAATTGGTCACTTTGTGGGTTTAGAAGCTTCAGTTCAGTTCAGTCACTCAGTCATGTCTGACTCTTTGCGACCCCATGAACCGCAGCACGCCAGGCCTCCCTGAGGAGAAGGGAGAAGCTTAGAGCAGCCCATATAAGCTCCTTTTATACATGAAGAGACAATTCCATCCCCCCTTAAAGAAAAAGGCATTTGAGACTTAGGTCATTTAGACTTGCAGCTGGCTCTGCTCCTGCCCACTCTAAAGCAGCTGGTGTGGGCTGCACGGGCTGGACTCAGAGCACAGGGCCATAAGAGGAGCACGGCACTGTCGCCCCAGTGCTCTGGCACCTGTGCTCTTGGGGAGTCACCTGCTCCCAGAGCACTGGCAACTAAAAGAAGAAAACCTGACCATCCAGTGACCGCTGCTGGCACCCCAGCAGGGAATGGAACTGGGTAAGCCTCCAGAAGGAGGGAGCAGTGTGTCCTCCAGGCAAACTCAGAAAGATTGAGGGTTGCCAAAAGAAAAGCTAGAAAGAGAGGGAAGGGAGAGGAATTAGTGGTGAAGACATAGATATGATTAAAGGAAGTGCTATTCCTTTTGATTATAAAACCTTTCCCCTTTTGTAGGATTAGATTACAGCCATTCTCTTGGAGGGGAGAGAGGCTGAGCAGTCTCCCGCAGTCTGCCTTTTCCCACCCTAGCCAAGCTGAGGTGAACACCCCTAAGATTCAGACTTAGAGGGCACATGACTAACCCACCTGAGTACTGCCGCGCTGATGCTGGTGGAACGTCCACTGTTATTAACCAAGCTTGGAATGCCCTGAGCCCTGCCCTGAGCCCTGGAGGGTCCAGATGCTAGCCTTGTCCTCCATGAACATGGGGCATAGTGGCTTCTGCGGTCATGAATACGTGACACTTCTTTCCCTGCAGGTGATATCCGCAATGACCTGTACCTCACCCTGGAGAAGGGGGATTTTGAGAGAGGGGGAAAGAGCGTACAAAAGAATATTGAAGTGACCATGTATGTGCTTTACGCAGATGGTGAAATCTTGAAGGTAAGGTTTGCCGGTCAATTTAGAATGACAGCTAATCCTGTAATAATTTTAGTGTTTCTGTGGACTTCGTCCAGAGACCCATCCTCCTCAAGAGGGACTGAATTCAAATCACTTTCTGAGACTCTTCTCCACCTTAACTTCTCTTCAGGGAAACCCTGCAGTATGCTCTGATAATGACTTCCAGGGTCATACAGCCTTTTCAGAAATTCTTCCTGGTGTCTGACCCGAATCCCTCCTGTCCTCATTTAGACCTATTCCCTCCAGTCTGTCCTACATGTTACTTTTTCAACCACCTGTCTATTATCCATCTGCTTAGTTTTGGTAACTGTTATTAGGTCCCACTCTTTTGGACCTGTTACTAGGTCCTAGAGCTAATATAGAATGTTACATTTGCTCTTTAGTAAATAGGTATACCCACTTCCTGTTACCAGGTTATGTGACAAGGAACAGCAGACTCAGGCCCCCAAAGGTGATTTCCAGCCAGTGCAGCACAAGGACCCTCTGACAGTCTTGATTAAAAGAGAAGATCTGGACTGCTGTTTTTCTACTTTCATTATGTCAGTTTTTCCCTCAGTCAAGCCATGGTCAAGTCCTTGGCAAGTGAGAAGGCATTGTTGCATGCCACATGGTAGAAGGCAAATCAGTCTTTTACAAACCTTCCTTCTGTGTGTTGACAACAGCCTCATAAGGTAGGCAGAACAGCAATGATCATCCACATTTTACAGAAGGAAAAAGGTAAAGTTAGTCACAGTCATCTGTCAAAGCTATTTAATAGAAAGAAATGGAGGGTAGTGTAGATGTGGTGGTAGAAACAGAGATATGTATGTCATTTAAAAAACCCACCTCAAGGACTAAGGCAATTCTTGTTTGCATGAATAACGTGGGGGTCAGCAGAGCTCTCAGCTGTTCACTCTGCCCTGTTTGAACAGGGAGCTGCTCCGGAATGTATTGCCTGCAGCTTCCCGGGGGGCATAGGACTGCATCTTCACAGTAATATTTGGAAACTGGGTTCAAGTTAAATATGGTCTACCTTGGTTATGTCCACGAACAGTCAGCCACAGGCAACATAAAATGCCAGTGCACCTTTGGGCTGAAGATTAGAAAACCGGTTCTCTCCGTTTTATTATTTAATTATTTTTCTGATCTGGAAAGCTCTGTGTATGGTTGACTTCTCTGAGTCCATTTCTTTCTTAATGAGGATGAAGAGTCTACCTTAGTGATTCAGATGGCACCACTCAGCTTCCTTCAGGTAAACTGAACGGTGTGTGCAATTACCTCTGCTCCAAGGAAAACTGGAGCACTGTGACTGCTGGCTCCTTACACCATCTTCACAGTTGTCCCCCAGAGTACTGAATTTCAGTCACCTGATAAGATTTGGCCTGATGGAAAAAATGAGACCCACACAAAGGAAGAAGTGAAATGTCTGAGTAACAGAGAAATCCAAGGGACCCGTCCAGTAGGGTGGCACATTGCCCTGCTTCTCTCTTCCAGGACTGCATCAGCTTGGGTTCAGGAGAGCCCAACAGGAGTTCCTACCACTCCTTCGTCCTCTACCACAGCAACAGTCCTCGCTGGGGAGAGATTATCAAATTGCCCATCCCCATCGACCGGTTCCGGGGCTCCCACCTGCGCTTCGAGTTCAGACACTGTTCCAGTGAGTAAGATTTCTCTCTCCACATTGCTTTGAGAATATGAATATAACTCTTCCTTCTCTGGGACAGAAATAAGAGTTCTTACTAGTATCAGGGCAAGAAAATGAGGAGTTGTGTATTCAAAGATGGGATGTTATTAGAGACTGTTCTTTGGACAGTGATCCAAAAACGTGGGATCTGGGGACTTCCTGGTGGTCCAGCAGTTAAGACTTCACCTCCAGTTCCAGGGTTGTGGGTTTGATCCCTGGTTGGGGAGTTAAGATCCCAAAAAACCAAACTATGGTTTTTGTGACCTTGTGGCCAAAAAACCAAACTATAAAACAAAAGCACTATTGTAACAAATTCAATGATGACTTTAAAAATGGTCCACATCAAAAAGAAATATTTTTTAAAAAATGAGATCTGATGTTGTTGCCCTTTTGTAGTGTCTGATTTGGACAGTGGATAATTGGCAGGGTCATTCCTCTTTTGGGGTTTCCTTTGTATATAGTAAACTCCTCCTTAAAGAGCCCCTGGTTTATCGAGGCTAGCCATGTAGTTTCTGTTTGGTTCTAGGTAGCCTGTGTACCTTGCAATGTAAATGGACACTCAGCCTAGTACATTTCTGATCCTTCTTGCCATCAGGTTGCTCCCCATTCAATGAACAAAGTAAGGGACAGAGAAGTGAAGCACACAAGGTGATAGGGGAAGGGGATGTCTGTTGGAAAGGGAAGTGTGAGGCAGAGCAACTCATGCTCGGCTCTGATTGCAGCAAAAGACAAAGGGGAAAAGAAGCTCTTCGGCTTTGCATTCTCACCCCTGATGCGGGACGATGGCACCACCCTCTCCGATGACATCCATGAGCTCTACGTGTACAAGGTACGGAACCCGAGTCTGTCCCCTGCTCAGACCACTCTCACGCCTGGTTCTTGGTCAGGTGGTTCCCCCTGAGTGGGCCAGAGGATCTGGGGTGGGGTGCAGGTGGAGACAGCAGGACATCTGTGGGCAGGCTTTTGTCTTTTCCCACAGATCACACCAGCAGGGCCTTTGTTTCCAACCTCCCACTCCACTAGTTGTGGAAATCTATTATTCAGCCCTTCTGTGCCATTATGGCCTTGGCTCGTACATTTGGAGACCTGCCATTTGAGGCTCTGATTCTGTCAGCTATCACAGCATAGCCGGTACCCAAAGTTTCCTGCACAACAGGTAGAGACCATGAGCTTTGCCATGTTTTCTTTTAAAGGCCTGTGAGCCATTCTGGGGGAAGAAATGAAAAACACTTTTAAAGTGCTTAGGAAGCACTCTTCTAACAGGACCTGAGGTCCAGGGTCCAGCCTCAAGAACCCCAAAATCCCCAGGACCTGATGTTTTACACGTGGCATGGTTCCAGAAATATTCTGTGTTCTCTACTTACGCCTGCAGTGTGATGAGAATAGCACGTTTAACAACCACGCTCTTTACCTGGGCCTGCCCTGCTGCAAAGAGGACTACAATGGCTGCCCTAACATCCCCTCCAGCCTCATCTTCCAGCGCAGCACCAAAGAATCTTTCTTCATTTCCACACAGCTCTCCTCCACTAAGCTCACCCAGAACGGTAGGCCAGGGTGCCCACAGGGTTGAGCCCTCCACTGTCCCCACTTGCTGCTTCGTGTTGCTGAGATTTGTCAAGAGACAGAAATTGTTGCTTCTGCTTTTTCATGCCACAGTGAGGGGATTCTTCTCATTCGAAGTTGAAGGACTCACTTGGTAATAGCAAGCTATGGGGTTTTCCATGGTTTTACAGATGTGTCTGTAGCCTTGATCGCAGCACTCTGGATGCTGTTTCGCTGCTTCCAGCTATTTCTGTCTCTCTAGATCCCACCCACCCTCAGCAGGGAGAGTCTAGGCTTCACTTGCCCATGACATAGCCAGGGTTCACCATCTCTGGGGCTTGCTTCCTAGTGGACCTCCTTGCTCTGCTGAAATGGAAGGCCTTTCCAGACCGGATCATGGACATCCTTGGGCGGCTGCGGCATGTTAGTGGGGAGGAAATTGTTAAGGTATGACTTTCACTTAATTCACACATGCTAGCTGAGCAAGGAATCTGGGCAAAGGGCCTTACTTCCCCTTGATTTCTGCCTATAAGCCTCTGAGACCACTTTTTAAGGTATATAGTTAAGTGAGTAGAGATAAAGTTATTTTTCTTTTTTTCAATTAGCTTCTTTCTTTAAAGTAGGTATCACATCAGGTTTATTACCTTTTAGAAACTATATTTAAGTTTTAAACCCTATTTTCTGGCTTGTTTTTCTTCCCAGAAAGTAAAGTGATAATTAAAGGGCAGCCTTTCAGAAACAATCCCAGTGTGGGCTGCCGCCTGCATGCCTCTAGGTTTCCACTCGCTTCCTCTCTTCGCTTACTCTGTAAACCTCTACCACAAACCCAGCCTTGTGTCCTCCTGGCCCCACCCTCTGGATTATCTACAGGAACTCTAAATATATTCTCCATGAACTGGAACTCCTGATTTTGCCCAGTCTCTCACTTAAGAGTCCAGACCAGGGAACTCTACCCTCCTCTCTGCCTCAACGGCTTTCTCATGTGCTTTTGTGACATGTGCCCGTCTAATGGCCTGAGCAAACTGACAGCAGCGTGGCCCAACCCCAGTTGTTACCCTTAGGGCTTCTCCACACTGTGTAGAAGCCGGGTGTTTGCCCCCCTGACTTTAGCTCAAGAAGAACCCCAGGCATTTTCCGATGGTGAAAACCTGGTCGGCAGATTCTGCACAATGGACTGAACTCAACTAAGGAGAATGGACGTGCTTGATCAGCAAGAGCAGTGGAATGTAGGCTAGAGATTGAATTTCAAAAAGGCACCTTGTCCATCAGTGGACATTCTTGGCTCCATCATTGCAAGGATCAAATCTGTTATCACTGCATTGTCTGTACTTTCATTTTACAGCTCCATTGACTCAATAATACACAACATGGTGTCTCCAAATGAGGAGTAATTTTAAAGTCTGTGTATTTCTTTGTACTTTTATGAAGTCTTGTATGAATTTTGTGTTAATTGATCAGAGAATCATAAATTTTTAAAAGAACTTTTTATACTAACAAGCTTTTCAAACTTTATACAAACTAGTTTTGAAACTTAAATTTACACTCAGGGCATTTTTTCCTTCTAAACATATTAAAAAATTCACCAGTAGAACAGACCACATACTATGAAAGCTCTGTGATCTTTTGAAGGATGAGTTGTTACATTCCTGACAAGAGAACATCCTACCAGCATTTCTGGTTTTAGCATCAATATTTGTCTCAAGCCAGCCAGGAGAGAATGTAAAGGGAATATGCTAGCATTTTAATTATTTTTACTTTTTATTGGAAAATTTCAAGCATCCAAAGATGCAGACAACGGTTAGGGTCACTCTTGCCTGTGCTCAAACCGAGTCTTGGTCTTATACATGAGATTCGGTTAGGTAGGGTCAGAGCTGGAAAATAAGCGTGTCCAACCTAATTTTTGGAGGTCTCGTGAGATTGAACAAGACCAAAAAAAAAAAAACAAAGATGCAGACAGAATAAATAACCCTACATGTCGCTGTCATTCATCCCTGACTGTCACCAACCCCTGGCCAGTCCTGCCCACAAATCCCTCATCCATGCCTTCTACCTTAGGTTGTTTTGAAACAAGTTGTAAACATTATTATCATTAAATTACATTTTGACCGACAGAGTATTAGGTTTGATTTTTGAAGACTGGGAGCATCCATGAATATTTATTATTCTCTCCCTGGACTTTTGCATCTTAGAAAGAAAAATGTTGTCTCCAAATCTTTTACCCTCTTTGACAGCCCTCATCAGCTGCATTCTCTCTTCTCCTGGGATACTAATTTCTAGACCAAAAAATAAGTTTCTGTAGGTAAGGCCTAGCTTGTCACATCCTTATCCAGATGTCCTCTACAGAGTTAGGTCATAATAGACAATAAGAGAGTACTGAATTTTGGGGTCCCAGGAAAGTAAACACTTTCTCTCAAAATGAATTTGGCATCCAAATCACTTAGATTGTCTTCATTTCAAGATTGCTGTTCTTCATGGGTGGTTTAAATTTTCTAGGTAATTGCTCTTTCCTTATAAGTTTAGCACTTACCCAATGGGAAGAGCCTCTCTAGGTCTCTCTTAGGGCCCTTTGGGCTACAATCAAACACCCAAAGTCCACCTAGTTATTTCTTAGCTAGGTGGAGATGGAATACCAGGTTATTTTTAAGTGGTAGTTTGAGGTCTTAGGAGATTTTTGATTTTGTTTGTTTGGGAGATAAATTCATTGGTGTTTGAATGTTTGACTGTGTGTCCACAGTCCTGAGACCTGAGCCCTCTGGTTTTTATGCTGTTGCAGTTTCTGCAGGACATCTTAGATACACTGTTTGTGATTTTGGATGATAACACAGAGAAATATGGCCTGCTGGTATTTCAGTCTTTGGTAAGTCTTACCTTTCCTGATTTTTATTGATTATTCCTGTCACATACTTTTTAAAAATCTGAGGAAAGCAGTTTATTTGAGTGAGTCAGCATAAGATGTAGATGTTCCCAACAGGAAAGGGACTGATGAGTGTCACCAAGGAAGACCACCAACCTGCCTACCTGGAACATCTCTACATGATCAAATCTGGACCTCTGCTTTGTGGTTTTGATACTCAGTCTCACCGCTATCGCAGGGTTGCCTCACCCCTGAAATAGTGACCTACACCAGCAAAAGGCCCAGAGACCAATAAAGGAAACAAGACAGCTCATTTTCCACTTACAAAGTAGGATACAGAAATTTTTCTGGTGGTCCAGTGGTTAAGACTGCACTCCCAATGCAAGGGGCCTGATTTCAATACCTGTTCAAGGAACTAGATCCCACATACCACAACTAAAGATCCTGTGTGCCACAACTAAGACCCAGCACAGCCAAGTAAATAAATATTAAAAGCAAAAACAAAGGATATAACCACCAGGAAAAGCAGACTCTCTGTGCTGGTCTGAGTGTCACACCCTCTCCCTGTAAGCAGTTGTCTGGGAACCAGAGTCTCAGAAGGTTGCTCAGTGAGAAAAGACAGTGATCTGAATATTTAGTGCATTTTGTTGAATATGTCCAGTCCTCCAGGAGGGCTGTGTGTTCAAGGACAACCAGATACTTTAAAGTCTGTATGATAGATGAGCAGCTGAGGCAAGAATTAGAGTGGTATTTTGCAAAGTTTGTTTCTCTGACTTTTCTTCTTGCCTCCCTGGCCAACCAACCCTAATTTCTGAAGGGTGCAACCTTCCGTAGCTCAGAGGACAATATTTTTTTCTCTCTTTTCCAAGTTTTTGGGACATCTTAATGTTTGTGCCACCATCACAGATATTGTTTTGTCTTTACTTGGTCTATATTGTACCACTGAGCATTATTGTGAAGAGAGAAGGTCAGAGTCACTGGTGTTGACCAATGAGTCCCAAGTTTGGAATGGGAGGCCAGGGTTGTTAGCAATAGAACAAACATTACAAAAATACATACCCAGAATGGCAGTCTTACATTCACTGGAAACACTGGAGAAAACACTTGTAGTTTGCCATTCCTTGAAGAATCAAGAGTTGTTTCCTTCTGGGGGTAGGTTTGAGACCTCTGCTGAATTCTGCTACACCTTGTCTCTCCCAGGTATTCATCATCAACCTGCTCCGAGACATCAAATATTTCCACTTCCGACCTGTAATGGATACATACATCCAGAAGCACTTTGCTGGAGCCCTGGCATACAAGTAAGTTGCATTTGGCATCATCATTAGGATTTGTGTTTGACTAGAAAGATAGGCTTTTACCAATGAGAATGATGTTAGCTGTGGGCTTTCTGCTGACATTTTATACTATAGTTTATTGCATAGTTTTCATACTTTTCCTTCTAAGAAATGATGGAAGAGCTGCTGAAAATGTCTTGTTTCTTCAGTGAGAAGCATGTGAATAGCTAAATATAGCATCCACAAATAAATATCAAAGGAAAGAAAAGACAGTCAGTAAAAGAGATAAAACAAAGAGTAAACATGGGCAGCACTCACAGTTTATCTAAAGTCATTAGAGCAATTTTAAAAGTCGCCATGTTATTCTATGGAATGAACATAAGTTTTGAAGAGATTAAACCTGAAGGGTGGTGAAGCTTTGGAATCACTGGACTCTGATAATTTGAGAGAGAGAGAGCAGGCACTGTGCTATAGATTTTACATGTGTCATCTCATTAGAATTCACAGTAATTTGAGATGTACTATTGTTTCCTATATTTTAAGTGAAAAGAGTGAGGACAGAGAGCTCACATAACTTGCTCAAGGATGCAGAGCTCGAGACTCATACGCCCCAGATGTGAACCCTGCTGTCTGCAGAGGGCGTGTTCTCTTGACCTCTGAATTCTTTGGCCATGTATATGTGCAGACCTTCTGACCCTGTAGTCCCATGCCACTCAGTTAACTTGGTCCTAGGGAAATAAGATGATTGGGATGGCAAGGAGGGGCACATGGGACCATACACGTTTACTCAGAGTCTGCTATTTACTAGTCATTGTTGTATATTCTGGAGACTTAGCAGTTTTCAACAAAGAAAACACATCCAGTCCATGACTTTGGGAAAACTTTATTGTAATCAAAAGAAATGTGTCTCAGGGGAAGTGGGAAAGAATGACTCCAACTGCTGATTGAAATGTGGCATCTCTTGGTCAGGAGTGTTGTCTGGTCTCAGGTGGTCTAAAGATTCCATAGCTGTAATGAATCCATCGCTCCGTTCTAGTTTGTCAGCACTATATTATTTCCTCTATGGCTAATTTAGGACTGCAGGTATTTCAGGCTGCATTGCTTTTGGAATAAAGTGGGGTTTCTGGGACTGTTCTTTTTCCCAGGGAGCTAATCCGCTGTTTGAAGTGGTACATGGACTGCTCAGCAGAACTGATTCGGCAGGACCACATTCAGGAAGCCATGCGGGTAATGTCCTGAGAAGGGCCCACCCCTGCAGAACTTTGCAAGTAACCTCCGAGGAGTAGAGTGCGGGACAAGTGTAGACAGCGTGGAATGACTGCCCTGATCCACCTGACTGCCCTTTCCTCCCTCAGGTTTTGCCCTAAAAGGTCTTTATTCCTCATAATTTTATCTGAGAGCAGCAGGGAGAGATGATGTACATGTGACTCGTGGTCATCCCCACTGCCTTGTTTCTGCCCTTAGTGCCAGTCTTTGCTTCCACTGGCTAAAGTATCGTATCTCCTTCTAAGCCAGTGTTGGTTAGCAATAAGCCAACATTGATTAGAAATAAGATTATCTAATACTTTCCCCTTCTTCAGTATTTACTGAACATTGTATTTTATATAACTGTTTTAAGTAAAAAGAACTGAGTGAATGCACTGTGTGTGGATATGTTGAGAAGGTAATCTTAAAACCAGGATCAGGCAGCCCTTTGCAGTGCTGGACAGCTCCCCTTTGCAGGGGACTGCCCTCACTGTGAGTTAACTACACTTTCTGTTAACTCGTTTTCTCATGACTGCTGCTTCTACTGTAGAGAACCACCTATGAGAATGTTGATTCCTCTCTTGCTTAGCAGTTCTCCATATTAACTATTTTTTTTAAAAAACTCATATCCTCTGAGAACTCACTTAAAGCAAGTTTATGTTTTCTTTCTTTCCTTTCATCCCTGTCTTTTCTTGTTCTTGAGTCACTTTTTTTAAGATGCTTTTTAACCGTGTCTTTCCCACCCTTTCTAGTTAGTAATAAAAGAAGAATAGCAGCAAAGTAGTTCTGCTTTTTCTCTGTCCTCTTTAAATATCTCATCATCTTCTCTTAAGTACTAGTGGGCCTATGCTTGTGTTATTCGTGTGGTAACAGTTCAAACATATATTTTCCTAAGCATCATCAGTTTAAAGAGGCAAAATCAAATCATAAATCTGTATTTTCCCTGCCTGTTCTCAGCACATTCTGTAAAAACCTGAGGCCACAAGTCTCACTTCTTACCTTCATGCAATACATGTTGGCTGAGCAACCAGCATGTCATGGCTGCTGAGATGCAGAGAGGAGTAAGACTGCCTTCTTCCCTGGAAGAACACATCCCCTGTGTCCTAAAGGGAATCAGACTCAAACACAAGTGTAGAACAGAGTGCCAAGTGTGATGTGAGGGTAGGGCCTGGGTTCTGTTCTTCTCTGAACCCCAGCACCTGTGAGGTTCCCTGCATAATTGAGGGGTACACATGGAGTTAAATGCAAAAAGTTCTGTGTAAGTTCAGAAATTAATTGCTTAAGGCATTGGAGATGGTATCTTAGTTTTCTTCTAAGAGTCATTCATCCAGCCAATATTGCTTGAAACCTGCCATGTGTCAGACATTGTGTTACCCACTAGGGATTCAGCAGGAACCCTCACAGAAAGGTTCGGCCTTGATAGCACCTCCATTCAAGTGGGGAAAAGGCAGACAATAAACATGTCCAAGAGATAAACCACACAAAGATAAACATACAAAGTCAGTGAGGGAAAAAAGTAATTATGCCATTAAAGAAATAAATAGGATCTTGGCATAGAATGGCTGGAGAGGAGGTTTTACTTCACATCAAGAGTTTAGGGAAAGCTTCTTTGAAGAGGTGGCCAGAGCTCCATATTTTATCCTTGGATAAGTTTTTCCTCAATGCTCCATGACTCTGCCTTTCCAGTGTCTGGGAGATCTTTAGCCTTTCTTTGATTAGAATGTATATAATCTTGAATTCGCTTAAAAGAGAATTACTCAGCTCATAAGCATGGGCCAACCTCCAGGAGCTCCTCAGAATCAGATTCTGCTCTCAACACATGCTATGGGAGTTTTGTCTCCTGTCTTGTTCATAAACTGTTGATGGCAGGTGTCCTGGTCCAGGAGAGGATGGTGAATGGGTGTGTTGGGTCTGCCAGCTTCTGTGCAACTAGAGACCGATTTTCTCCAAACTGGACCCCTGGTGAGATGGCTGGCACATGTCAAGACGCCAGCTGTTTCTCAAAGATGCAGAAGGCTTCTTAAAGTACTCTTCCTTCTTGGAATAAATTTAAGAGAGGTTCTTATATCATTGCCTTTGTAGCCTTTTATTTCTAGACCTGAGAAAAATGAGAGAAATTTAATTTTCTTTTGATCCGGTATCTTCTTGAATTCAGCTGCTTCCATAATAGTCTGTGGTTATTCACTTCCACAGCTACATGAAATAATTTGGTGATTCTCTGAGTACATAGATACTTGCTGCTCAAGGACCATCTGGACTTTTGAGGAAAGGTTTTAAAAATTAAAGTAAAAAACATTTTTCTAATTTAAAAAAATTAAAGTACGTCCCTACTATGTATAAAAGAGATAAGTAATAATAGCCTGCTGTATAGCACAGGGAACTCTACTTAATACTCTGTAATGGCCAACGTGGGAAAAGAATCTTAAAAAAAAGAATATATATGTATATAAACTGAGTCACTTTGCTATATACCTGAAACTAGCACAACACAACATTGTAAATCAACCATATGCCAATAAAAATTATAAAAGCTATTAAAGTGCTTATCTCCAAAGTTGGAAATGTCCATCTCTCGATTTTAGTATATAATTTGCTGGTACTCTACCCTTCACTCCTTCATATATTAGTTCCTGACCATCTTTATATGCTAAGTTGTTTCAGCTGTGTCTAACTCTTTGCGACCCTATAGACCATAGCCTGCCAGGCTCCTCTGACTATGGGATTCTCCAGGCAAGAATATTAGAGTGGGTTGCCATGCGCTCCTCCAGGGGAATCTTCCCGACGCAGGGATTGAAACCACATCTCTTATGTCTCCTGCATTGGCAGGCAGGTTCTTTACCACTAGTGCCACCTGGGAAGCCCATCTTTAACACCTCTCTACCCCTCTTTCTCCCACACCTCCAGGCGTTGGAGTACCTTTTCAAGTTTATCGTGCAGTCAAGGATCTTGTACTCACGTGCCACCTGTGGAATGGAAGAGGAACAGTTCCGGTCCAGCATCCAAGAGCTTTTCCAGTCCATCCGGTTTGTGCTCAGTCTGGACAGCAGAAATTCAGAAACACTGCTTTTCACTCAGGTCTGTGAGCTACAGGAAAGTTTTGCTGCTGGATTCTTATCTGTCTTAGCAGGTGGTTTCTTTGTCCTCTGGCTTCCAGAGTCAAAGCCCTGCCAGGTTTCTATGTTTCGGGTAAGGGTTGAGGTATAAGGAAATACCTGCTAGAATAAAATGCTGTTTTTACTTCAAAGCCAACTGTGTCCCAGCTTCCAAATATGAAACAGCCCTGTGTCTCTGGTGGAGAAGAAGCTCAACTTTGCCCTCTTTTGACCAGATTTATTTAGCTACCATACTGTTAGTTGTACATGAACATCTTATTTATAAAGGATATTCAGAATGCATAGAGAATTTTATTTCCTAGTCAACTTGATGAATTTTAACAACCTCAGGTTAGTATTGGTCCATTCTAGCAGTTAAGAGTGAAATAGGTTGAAAACAGCAGAAATAACTAGAAAACTTTGGCTAAGACTTAGGATTAGATTCTATTAGAAATAGTACTGTGGAAAGGAAGTTTGCTTCCTTATATTAAATATGTCTGGTCAGTTAATCAGTTACCTTTCCCACGTACCCATACACTAGAAGGGATCAAGGGTATTGTTCATTACCCCAGTCACAAAGAGGTTATTTTTTTTCTTCCAGATAAATGTCAAGATTGTATATAATGAATTACACTTCTTTGATTTTTTGAAGGCAATTATTACATCAAAACTTATGAACAGAGACTAGATAGCCTCTCTCACATCCATTCATTTAGTCACTGCTACGTCTGTTAGCACAAATATATGTTTAAATATCTCCTTTAAGATTAGAATAGTCCAATTTTTTTTTGTTTTCCACTTGCTCCTATGTTGCCTCTAGATTCCAGTTGCCCATAGACCCCTTGGCCCAGAGAACAAAAGAGCAACTGGGAGATAGCCTCTATAAAAGTGGAATACATCAAGGTCACCAGGTATCTCTATAAGAAAGCCTCCTTCCATGGTCTCCCCTCCTGAATACCCCAGGCCAGTCATCTCTCTCCCCTAGTCTATCAGTTCCTGCCAGCCAAGGCCCAGGACACCTACTCATCTCTGAGCCTGTGGAGATCTAGGGAGCTCAGAGGTAGCTAGCAGAGCAGGGCAGATTTGCTTTCTGAGAGCTCAGCAATGCCCTGTTCTCAATAGCATGTCCCTCCCACATCGGGATAAAAAGCTTAGATCTATTCTCAGCTTAGACCTGAGTCAGAATCAGACCTGCTGCTTTGGTACCAGGCTCATGTTTCATGAGTTGCAGAACCCTCAGCAAGTATACAATTCAGTCAGACTTTATGTCTTTGATTCTGACCACTAGGAGATGTTACAGTGCAAGTGTCCTTCTGTCCTGGTGCCATGAGATTAGAAAATTTCACCATTTAAGAGGGCAAATCAGTTACTGTTTGTCGTTGATTGTGAAATATCACCTACTTTTCCAGGAATTCCCTAACAGTCCAGTGGTTAGGACTTGGCACTTTCATTAACATGGCCCCTGGTTTCAGTACCAATCCCTGGTCAAGGAACTGAGGTCCCGCAAGGTTTGTGATGCAGCCAGAAGAAATACCTGCTTCCTCCCTTTGTCTTTGTATCTAGTTTTTATGCTGGTTCTCATTACTGAAAAATGGTCTCCTTGATATCTCAGGGAGTTATAAATCTGCAGATAGAATTCACAGAAATTCAGTCATGGTCCCGGCCTGAACATAGAGTGCAGTGTGACAGACCTGTTGCCCCATATAAATTTTCACTCAGTCAATGACAGTGTCTTACTGCCTGATGAAACAATCAGGAAAAACAGCTCCCCTCCCCTAACCTGCCACTTAGAAAGAGTACACTCTCACCTCATCTCAAGGTGACACTCCATTTCCCTTTGTAAATCTTGGGTTAATAATCCAAGAGGACTGAGCAGTGTGAAGAGCCTCCTTCATGCTATTTCCATTTAGACGAGAGATTGAACAAGAGCCAGCATTTATTGAAGGCCTGGTACGTGTGCCAGGCAGTCTACTGGAAATTAACCTGGTGCACCTAAACAACTTCTTCATACCAGTATGAGGAGATAAGTGATAGCCTCATCTCCATTTTATAGATGAGAAAAAGGAGGACTAGGCAGTAACTCACCCAGGGTTATGTGGCAGATAGGTGGTAATGCTGGGATTTAAACTCCTGTCTGTCCAATTTCAAAACCCATTCTCTTTCTCCTAAACTACTCTGCCTCCCAGAGGCTCTGATTATTCTCAAGAAGCCACCTCATGGTCTCCCAGAACTGAGATCCTAGAAGAGAAGTCTCCATATACACACAGACCACTTGTCTAGTCCATCAAGGTCATTGAACTCTAGGCCAACATCATCAGCAGTCTTCAGGATTTCATGGCTGACTAAATCCACACATTCTCCCTCCTTTTTGGACTTACACTTGAGACTGCCAGGCATCACATGTGAAGGAAATAATTTACAAAGTCTTCAGATTTCATGGTTTCAAATAAATGTCACTATTCTGGGGAAATGGTCCAGTTTTCAGAGCTGGGCTGCTGGCTGCAGGACTGTGAATGGAGTTCACCTACTGCTGCTTGATGGCGCTCAGTTCTGTTTGACCTCCTTTCTTTGAGAGTTTCCTGGCTTGAATTTGGGGCTGAAATTGGAAAGTCAAGAACTTGATCATAGCGACAGACAAATAAGTTAAATCCATTTTATGAGCAAAAACAGCTATGGATGTTAAGCTATAGAGTTAATTTCTCTATATAAAATTCCTTCTCTTGCCAACAAATGCCTTGGCAAGTTCTAAAGCTTCTAGTGGCCTGGATCCCAGTAAATTTTCTTGTTTTGGTTTCCTTTTTGGTTCTCCTGCTTCAGCCCCCCAACTGCTACGGGGATGGATGGAGTCACAGGCCAGGGAGGAGCCCATTCAAGACAGGGGTGCTGCAGTTACCTCTCAGCCTCTCACCACTGTGTGTCATTGTCTAAGCACACAGATAGATGCAGACCTAACTCTGAGCTAACCAGACCTTCACGTGCTTCTGCAGGCTGCACTCCTCAACTCCTTCCCAACCATCTTTGATGAGCTCCTGCAGATGTTCACTGTGCAGGAGGTGGCCGAGTTTGTGAGAGGGACTCTGGGGAGCATGCCCAGCACTGTACACATTGGGCAGTCAATGGATGTGGTGAAGCTGCAGTCCATCGCCAGAACTGTGGATAGCCGCCTATTTTCTTTCTCAGGTAAATCAAGTTTCTTTCTCAGGTAGATCAAGCTGGGATGAGAGTCAGACTCACCTTTATTCCTTATCAGGGTATTGGCCAAGTAGTAAGCAAAGGATCAGTTTTACCAGCCATCATGTGAGAGGTCAGTGGACCTTAAAATGCAGAGTTTTTGGTAAACTCTGTTAGAGAATGCAGCTGAAACCTAGGCCTACTGCCTCCCTCACAGCTTATTTCTAGGGACCCACATGAGGTGGCCTGCAGAGCAACCTCCAGGCCCAGAAATCTAGCCAGCTGCCAAGAAAGGGGTCTGCCACAGCCCCAGTAGGATGAAAAAGCAGAGGGAAAGGAAGGGGAGCAAGAGAGAAGGGTCTATCCCAAGAAGGTAGGATGAGTCAAGGGAAGAAAAGAAACCCTGAAAGGAGGCCCTGAGGACCCACTGCACTTTGTTTCCTTGCCTTGCAGGACAGATAGATTCCTTTTCCTCTCTTTGGAGGAGCCTCTAAAGGTTAGATAAAGAGATAGATAGGGAGCCCTCCACACTCTAAATAGTGGTAAAGAACCTGCCTGCTAATGCAGGAGATGTAAGAGATGCAGGTTCAATCACTGGCAAGGGAAGTTCCCCTGGAGGGGGAAATGGCAACCCACGCCAGTATTCTTGCCTGGGAAATCCCACATCCAGAGGATCCTGGCAGGCTACAGTTCATGGCACTGGTGGCAGGGAGTTGGAAACTACTGAGCAACTGAGCACACCACACTCCAAAAGAGATCAGGAAAGCCTAACAAACAAAATACTATCAGGGAGTTTCCTGCTGGTGGTCCAGTGGCTAAGACTCCACACTCCCAATGCAGGGGGTTGGGGTTCAATCCCTGGTCTGGGAACTAGATCCCACATGCCACAACTAAGATCCAGTACAGTCAGAAAAATAAAAAAAATACTAGGAAAAAAAATGGCAATATAATAAAATCAGCAGCCTAGACTGTCTTTCAGAAGGAACCTCTGGATTCATACCTGAAACCACATTGAACATGATGAAATATTTGGTAGTCACATGTTACAATCAGCATGAGCCTGGTCTTTTAAGCAGAATATCACACAGTGGAATAAACTTCTAGGGCACAGAAATACACCTAAAATGCTAACAAAGCAATTTATTAGAATGTTTATAATTAGAACTTCTTGGTGGTCAAATTTTTTTAAGTTTGACTTTCAAAGTATGAGATCAATCATTTCTCAGCCCAGAGCCACACACATCTGCAGTATAAAACAAATACCTGCTTTAGCTTAACACTGCCTGTGTAAGGAATTACTGAGACTAAAGCCGCAGCCAAGAAATTCAGCTTTTCTCCACCTGTAACTGTTCATGGTAAGCACTTCTCTCTTCACCACTTCCTGGACTGAAGATAAAATCAGTGGTTTGCACAGACTTTCACGGAAGCCACTGCATTCACTCAAGCTGTGAGCACTGCTTCAAGCAGGTGCTTTCTTTCTTTTTTTTTTTTTTTTAATTGAAGGATAATTGCTTTACAGAACTTTGCTGTTTTCTGTCAAACCTCAACATGAATCAGCCATAGGTATACATATATCCCCTCCCTTTTGAACCCCCCTCCCACTTCCCTCTCCATCCCACCCCTCTAGGTTGATAGAGAGCCTCTATTTGAGTTTCCTGAGCCATACAGAAAATTCCTGTTGGGTATCTCTTTTACATATGGTAATGTAAGTTTCCATGTTACTCTTCCCATACATCTCACCCTCTCCTCCCCTCTCCCCATGTCCATAAGTCTATTCTCTATGTCTGTTTCTCCACTGCTGCCCTATAAGTAAATTCTTCAGTACCATTTTTCTAGATTCCATATATATGTGTTAGAATACAATATTTACCTTTCTCTTTCTGACTCACTTCACTCTGTTTAATAGGTTCTAGGTTCACCCACCTCATTAGAACTGACTCAAATGTGTTCCTTTTATGGCTGAGTAATATTCCATTGTGTATATGTACCAAAACTTCTTTATCCATTCATCTCTCGATGGACATCTAAGTTGCTTTCATGTTCTAGCTATTGTAAATAGTGCTGCAGTGAACAATGGGATACATGTGTCTCTTTCAGTTTTGGTTTCCTCAGGGTGTATGCCTAGGAGTGGATTGCTGGGTCATGTGGTGGTTTTATTCCTAGTTTTTTAAGGAATCTCCATACCGTCTTCCATAGTGGCTGTATCAATTTATATTCCTACCAACAGTGCAAGAGTGTTCCCTTTTCTCCACACTCTTTCCAGCATTTATTGTTAGTAGACTTTTGGATGAGGGCCGTTCTGACCAGTATGAGGTGATTTCTCATTGTGGTTTTGATTTGCATTTCTGTAATAGTGAACAGTGTTGAGCATCTTTTCATGTGTTTGTTAGCCATCTGTATGTCTTCTTTGGAGAAATGTCTGTTTAGGTCTTTTTCCCACTTTTTGATTGGGTTGTTTATTTTTCTGGTATTGAGTTGTATGAGCTGCTTGTATATTTTGGAAATTAATCCTTTGTCAGTTATTTCATTTGCTATTATTTTCTCCCGTTCTGAGGATTGTCTTTTCACCTTGCTTATAGTTTCCTTTGCTGTGCAAAAGCTTTAAGTTTAATCAGGTCTCACTTGTTTACTTTTGTTTTTATTTCCGTTACTCTAGGAGGTGGGTCATAGAGGATCTTGCTTTGATTTATGTCATCGAGTGTTCTGCTTGTGTTTTCCTCAAAGAGTTTTATAGTTTCTGGTCTTACATGTAGGTCTTTAATCCATTTTGAGTTTATCTTTGTGTATGGTGTTAGGAAGTGTTCTAATTTCATTCTTTCATGTGTAGCTGTCCAGTTTTCCCAACACCATTTATGAAGAGGCTGTCTTTGCCCCATTGTATATTCTTGCCTTCTTTGTCAAAAATAAGGTACCCATAGGTGCATGGGTTTATTTATGGGCTTTCTGTCTTGTTCCATTGGTCTGTATTTCTGTTTTTGTGCCAGTACCATACTGTCTTGATGACTGTAGCTTTGTAGTATAACCTGAAGTCAGGAAGCTTAATTCCTCCAGCCCCAGTCTTCTTTCTCAAGACTGCTTTGGCTATTCATGGTCTTTTGTGTTTCCATATGAATTGTGAAATTTTTTGTTGTAGTTCTGTGAAAAATACCACTGGTAATTTGATCTGCATTGCATTAAATCTGTAGATTGCATTTGGTAGTATAGTCATTTTTGCAATATTGATTCTTCCTCCCCAGGAACATGGAATATCTCTCCATCTGTTTATGTCATCTGATTGCTTTCATTAGTGTCTTATAATTTTCTGTGTACAGTTCTTTCATCTCCTTAGGTAAGTTTATTCCTAGATATTTTAATTCTTTTTGCTGCAATGGTGAATGGGATTGATTCTTTAATTGCATTTTCTGATTTTTCATTATTAGTGTATAGAAATGCAAGTGATTTCTGTGTATTGATTTTGTATCCTGCAACTTTGCTAAATTCACTGACTAGCTCTAGTAATTTTCTGATACTATCTTTAGGGTTTTCTATGTACAGTATCATGTCATCTGCAAACAGTGAGAGCTTTACCTCTTCTTTTCTGATCTGGATTCCTTTTATTTCTTTTTCTTCTCTGATTGCTGTAGCTAGTACTTCCAGAACTATGTTGAATAATAGTGGTGAAAGTAGACACCCTTGTCATGTTCCTGATCTTAGGGGGAATGCTTTCAGTTTCTTACCGTTGAGAATAATGTTTGCTATAGGTTTATTGTATATGACTTTTACTGTGTTGAGGTAGGTTCCTTCTGTGCCTATTTTTTGAAGAGTTTTAATCATAAATAGGTGCTGGATTTTGTCAAAGGCTTTTTCTGCATCTGTTGAAATGATCATATAGTTTTTATCTTTCAGTTTGTTAATATGGTGTATCACATTGATCGATTTCCATATATTGAAGAATCCTTGCATCCCTGGAATAAACCCAACTTGATCATGGTGTATGAGCTTTTTGATGTGTTGCTGAATTCTGTTTGCTAAAATTTTTTTGAGTATTTTTGCATCTGTGTTCATCAGTGATATTGGCCTGTAGTTTTCTTTTTTTGTATTGTCTTTGTCTGGTTTTGGTATCAGGATGATGGTGGCCTCGTAGAATGAATTCGAAAGTGTTCCTTCCTCTGCAAGTTTTTGAAAGAGTTTTGGAAGGATAGGCATTAGCTCTTCTCTAAATGTTTGATAGGATTCTCCTGTGAAGCCGTCTGGTCCTGGGCTTTTGTTTTTGGGGAGATTTTTTATGACAGCTTCTATTTCAGTGCGTATAGTTGGGTTGTTCATAATTTCTATTTCTTCCTGGTTTAATCTTGGAAGATTGAACTTTTCTAAATTCTGTCCATTTCTTCCAGGCTATCTATTTTATTGCCGTATAGTTGTTCATAATAGTCTCTTATAATCCTTCATATTTCTGCATTTTCTGTTGTAACCTCTCCTTTTCATCTCTAATTTTGTTGATTTGATTCTTCTCTCTTTTTTTTCTTGATGAGTCTGGCTAAAGGTTTGTCAAGTTTATCTTCTCAAAGAACCAGCTTTTAGTTTTATTAATCTTTACAATTGTTTCTTTCATTTCTTTTTCATTTATTTCTGCTCAGATCTTTATGATTTCTTTCCTTCTACTAATTTTGGGGGGGTTTTGTTCTTTTTCCAGTTGTTTTAGGTGTAAAGTTAGGTTGTATATTCGATATTTTTCTTATTTCTTGAGGTAGGATTGTATTGCTGTAAACTTCCCTCTTAGAACTGCTTTTGCTGCATCCCATAGGTTTTGAGTTGTCATGTTTTCATTGTTATTTGTTTCTAGAAAGTCTTTGATTTCCCTTTTGATTTCTTCAGTAACCTGTTGGTTATTTAGAAACATGTTGTTTAATCTCCAGGTGTTTGTGTTTCTTACAGTTTTTTTCTTGTAATTGATAACTAGTCTCATAGCTTTGTGGTCAAAGAAGATGCTTGATATGATTTCAGTTTTCTTAAATTTACTGAGATTTGATTTGTGACCCAAGATGTGGTCTATCCTGGAGAATGTTCCATGTGCACTTGAGAAGAAGGTGTTTTCTTCTGCATTTGGATGGAATGTCCTGAAGAGATCAATGAGATGCATCTCATCTAATGTATCATTTGAGACTTGTGTTTCCTTATTAATTTTCTGTTTTGATGATCTGTCCATTGGTGTGAGTGGGGTGTTAAAGTCTCCTACTATTATTGTGTTACTGTCATTTTTTCCTTTTATGTTTGTTAGTGTTTATCTTATGTATTTAGGTGCTTCTATGTTGGGCAAACAGGTTCTTTCTGGGTGTATGGGAAGGCGGACAGCAGACTGCCCTCAATGACATCTGTTCAGTTTAGTCACTCAGTCGTGTCCAACTGTTTGTGACCCCATGAACCACAGCACGCCAGGCCTCCCTATCCATCACCAACTTCCAGAGTCCACCCAAACCCATGTCCATTGTGTCGGTGGTGCCATCCAACCATCTCATCCTCTGTCGTCCCCTTCTCCTCCTGCCCTCAATCTTTCCCAGCATCAGGGTCTTTTCAAATGAGTCAGCTCTCTGCATCAGGTGGCCAAAATACTAGAGTTTCAGCTTCAACATCAGTCTCCCCAGTGAACACCCAGGACCGATCTCCTTTAGGATGGACTGGTTGGACCTCCTTGCAGTCCGAGGGACTTTCAAGAGTCTTCTCCAACACCACAGTTCAAAAACATCAGTTCTTCTGCACTCAGCTTTCTTTATAGTCCAGCTCTCACATCCATACATGACTACTGGAAAAACCATAGCCTTGACTAGACGGACCTTTATTGACAAAGTAATGTCTCTGCTTTTTAATATGCTGTCTAGGTTGGTCATAACTTTCCTTCCAAGGAGTAAGCGTCTTTTAATTTCATGACTGCAATCACCATCTACAGTGATTTTGGAGCCCAGAAAAATAAAGTCAGCCACTGTTTCCCCATATATTTGCCATGAAATGATGGGACTGGATGCCATGATCTTAGTTTTCTGAATGTTGAGCTTTAAGCCAATTTTTTCACTCTCCTCTTTCACTTCACTTTCATCAAGAGGTTCTTTAGTTCTTCTTCACTTTCTGCCATAAAGGTGGTGTCATCTGCATATCTGAGGTTGTTGGTATTTCTCCCAGCAATCTTGATTCCAGCTTATGCTTCTTCCAGCCCAGCGTTTCTCATGATGTACTCTGCATACAAGTTAAATAAGCAGGATGACGATATACAGCCTTGATGTACTCCTTTTCCTATTTGGAACCAGTCTGTTGTTCCATGTCCAGTTCCATGTCTAGTTCATGTCCTCACTGACATACTTTATTTCTAATACTTTTGCATGTACTTGCTGCTTCTCATAATCACTTAAGAAAAATTGTCTTTATGTGGCTGGAACTATGTAATTGGATTTTGCGATAACAAGCCACCACCAAATTTTCACTTGCATCTCACGTTCATTGAATGCCTGAGCTGCAGCATCTTTCCTGAGGCAAAAGGACTTTTACCAGTGATGTCTTGAAACCAACCCTTACATTTCTCAGAGCATATCAGTTTGATTTCTTCATCAGCAGATTCCAATAACAAAATGCTATTTTGTCTGCAAGCAGCTATTGGTTGTTACAAATCCTGCTCTGTTGGCATTTTGGTCTACAAAAGACAGTAGGTGCTCCTCTTTTATCCAAGCATTCTTTTAAACATATAATAGTTGTCACTCCATTTTATTTCAACAGATTCTAAGTATTTGACAAGGCAGTCCCCCAGATCTCCTGTATATCATGTAATTTGTCATTTGCCGATAAAGATGTTCATTCTGAATTTCATCTTGAGTACTTATCTATGGTCAAATATGAACAGCAAATCCAAAATACTGTGACTTGTTTGTGTTACTGGTAGGCTGACTGAATCATGCTCACTGGCTGTAATGCCACTTTAGTCACACAGTCATTGACCACATAGGAGTGCAAGACACCAGAATCATGTCCACACTTATATTTCACCTTGTCTTCTCGCCACACCTATGAAGTAAATGCAGAAGGGGCTGTTAGCACCTCATTGTATAGATGGGAGAAATCAAACCTGTAGAAGGAATCAACCTGCCTAAGGCCTTAGAGTGAATTGATAAAAGAGCTTGATTTAGTATTTAACCTTCCTGAATTCGGAGGTCTAAGTATAGTCACTCCCTGATGAAGATACTTTTTTGGCAGCATTGAAGAAGCAAGAAAAGAAAAATATTTTAATGTATGCAGGAGGACTGGCAAGGAAGTTTAGCTAATTATCAAAGGCTTATGACAAAGGTGAAAGTCCTCCTTCTGTCCCTTTCATTACTGTGGATTCACACAGCATCCCACAGGCCAGAGGGGGAAAGTACAGTAAAGGCTTACGAGAGTGGAAGTGCTTGGCTGCCATCAGGGCATCATGAAGAGGGACCATTTATAATCCATATCAAGTCTGCTAGTTAGTTCCATCAGCATAGTTCATAGAACTAAGTGTATCATTTAAATGGAGTTTAATTTAGAGTCTAGTCAATAAAGAGATTTCATTTGGAAGCAGACTCCTAACATACATCCTGCATAAAAGGCCCTAGATAATCGAGGCCTGAGATGTGAAAAAAGAAAAGAGAGATAGAAGGAAAATGCTGTGACATGTCTTCAGATGTCTGGGAAGTGGGCTGTTAGACCTGCCCACAGGCAGGTACTGATTTCCAGCGTAGCTGCAGTCCCAGCCCCACCTGCCTGGAGACCAGCTGCATCCTGTGTTGCCCCTGGCTTCCAAAGGTAGCTGGTTCTTCTCCAAAGGGCTGCTTCACCTTTGTGTTTTCTCCCTCAGAATCCCGCCGCATCCTGCTTCCAGTGGTTCTCCATCATATCCACCTTCACCTGAGGCAGCAGAAGGAGCTGCTCATCTGCTCAGGGATTCTCGGCAGCATCTTCTCCATCGTCAAGACCAGCTCTCTGGTAGTGACCCTAGACCTGTGCCTCCCCGGCCCTAAGCTCTGTCCCTGTCCTATGTCACTTTAGCCAGAGGCAGACCAACAAAGATCGTTTTGTTCACTTCCCAGTCAGAGAAGCTTTCATCAGTGACAGGAAGGTGCCCAAGTGAATGGAGGCCTGCCTATGTGTGCCCAGCAGGCTTCTCAACACAACACAGTCTTGCTATGTAAAAAAAACAAAGTACTGCCATAAATACACCCAGAAACATAGTTATCTGTAGTACCAGAAAACCCCATCCCATACTGCTTGCTCTGTTTCTATCAAAAGACATTACTTCTGTATTCCTGGGAGTGTTCTGAGGATACTCAGGCACGAATGAGCACAAGGAGGCAGGCCTAGGCTGAGAGGCAGCTTGCTCATTCAGACTTTTCTGTCAGCTTCCTGGCAGCTTGATTCCACCCATATGGCATTCCTATACCATGCCAGATGAGACAGGGTGTACGAGCGATACATGTTGCCCACAATAGTTCTCAGCCTCATGGGATGCTGGAATGGTACTTGAGGGCTCAGGTTTCAGCTGGTAGTGCTTTTGCCTATTTTCTTTCTTCTTTATTTTTAGTTTTTTAGAAGAGACCTGTGTTAGAAGGGAGGGGAGCTAAGGAAGGCAGAAAAACATGTATCAGGCATGGATAAGGGTAGGAATTTATTTTAATTATCTTTATATGTTTATACTATGGAAGAAATGAGTTTTTTTTTTTTTTTAGAAAACTTGAAAACTATAGGAAAGTATAAACAAATTTAAAATAAGACTGAATCTTTATTTACACAGTCTTCCTAAGCTGAGATAAGGTTTCTGGAGAATAAAATTTCAAATGCATTTAAAACAAATACCAGGAACCAAGTGATACAAACATAGGAGGTTAGGTTGTCTGTGAAGATAGCATGGGAGAGGTACAGAGAATAAAAAATGTGCTTGGTTTGAACAGGATGCAAGGACTCAATAGGGTGCTCTGGTATCTGGTATCCAGACTTAAAGGACCATCTGGTGATGGCGGCCCTCCTTGGCAGAGTGACGACAATGGCTGTAGTGGCCCTTTTGTTTGCTCTTGGCTCCAGGCAAGACCTGGCAGCTCGCCTTCCCACCAGGCCTCAGAGAAGCAACACCAGGCACATAGGTGTACTGGTGACCCAGCATCAGCTTGAGGGGTTGGGAGGCTGGTTACTACAGGAAAGAGATAAATTGCAGGGGAATAGCAAGGGGAGGGGAGGGATGAAAGAGGAATGGGAACAAGTGAAAATCTGAAGGAGGTGATCTGGTTGTATTTGTGGGGTTAGACCCTAACCCCACAGCTACTCAAAGAGCCATCACAGGTTTTAAACGTGTTATTAGTTCAACAAATGAGGAAGAAGACTGTGGTCCCAAGAGCCTCTCAAATCTTTCTTGTGGAATGGGACTCAGTAAAACTACATTGAATGGACAGCTGGGGTGGGGGGTGGATGAAATTTAAGCTCCACTAAAGCAGACATCTTACCTTTCTTGATGACTTGTGTATGCTCAGGTTTTCAAACAGTTACTGGCCCATGGTAGATACTTGGTGAATGGTGGATTGATAGATGGATGGACATTTGGACCAGAAATAGTGTAAAGGGACCGGAGAAGAGGCAACGGGAATCTCTTTGTGAGATCATGAAAATCATACTGTAGGATTTGGATTGCATGTAAGAGGTCTATAAAAAGATAGCACAGGCTCTTCCTAAAGTCAGAACTTGCTGACTGGGAAGCAGCCCTCAATGAGGAAACATGCTCCATTGCTTCTGTGAGGCTGCCTAAGAGGGACACACCGAGACCAGGGTCTTTCTGGGAGACCAAGGAACGTGAGCAGGAATGCCAAGGAGCTAGAGGGAGCATGTCTGGGCAGCAGTCAGGCCTGGCAGAGAGTGAGGTCACTCACAGAGAAAATGGTCCTGAGGAAGACTGAGATACTTCTGTGTGCATTAGTAGTAGGGAAGGTGCTGCCTGCACACCCTGTGGTGTGAACTCTTTACTGTTTTCTCAGAGTGTTAGTCAGCAGTGTTGTGCTCTCTCCTGACTTTTCTAGGAACATCAGAGAAAACATTTAACTTAGGATCTTCGCTTCGTCCTTGTGTATCAAGATTAATATATCTGCCTGAGGTTCAGAATTGCAGTTGTCAGGCTGTTGCTGTGTCAGGATCAGTCTCCAACCTCCAAACCAGGGCAACGTAGGCAGGTGTGCCTCCCCTCCTCTCAGAGCCGTTGTTCCAGGTTCCTTGACACTGCATGCCAGTGAGGCTGGGAGCTTGGTATTGAAAGTTAAGTCAGAAGACCATCCTGACCGTGGCTGATTTAGTAAGTACTGCCCACTGCGCGTCAGCCAGCCTGGCGCTAACCCTGTGCTCTCTCGCTGCTCGCTCCAGGAGGCAGATGTCATGGAGGAGGTAGAAATGATGGTGGAAAGCCTCTTGGATGTGCTCTTACAGACTCTGCTCACCATCATGAGCAAATCCCACGCTCAGGAGGCGGTAAGAGGGCAGCGGTGCCCGCAGTGCACAGCGGAGATCACTGTTAGTAACTAACATTCAGGTTTTCTTGCTTTCTTTTCTAACCTGGGGCTCCTCCACATGGAACCTCATCTCACATCACACCACCTTCATCTCAGCTTCCCTCCCTGCATGGTTGTCTGCATGCTGCCCTTTTCCCCTCTCCAGTCGAACTTCATCTCCACTCTGAAAGCTCTAGGTTCATCCTCAGAGGAGTGTACTTAGGGACAGACCCAGGGATGCTTGCTGTCCTGTTTTCCTGCACACAGTCTCCACTGGCCTTTGCCTTTGAGCCAGGTCACTTTCTGTAATGTGGAATAAAGCAGAGAATGAAGGTGACAGCTGTCGACTGTTCCTTCTAGGAGCAGGCTCTCAGTAGTGATGTGTGCACCACAGTAATTTTCTTACAATCTTCTTGTACTTACAGATTAGTTGCTTTTGCCTACAGTATTTGTATCTAAATGTCGAGCATCAGGGAAAACATGATGAGGTAGAATAGCACTGGTGTTGGACCGTGATCTCCCATGATCTAACTAGGAGAGAAACAGACTTGGAGAACCTCTCAGGAGAGGCAGAGAGATATCCCCAGACCTCCCCGCCGCACCCTCGCTCCTATGCAGTGTGCACTTCTTAGCCCTGATGTTGGGACATGATAAACAGCTTGCTGGGGATCTTCCTGTTGGCAGGTGGGAGACTACAGTGATCCCTTTGTAGAAAATCTCCTGTGGGAGCAAGTCAAGCTCCAGCACGTTAGGGAGAGCAGAGAGCAGATGTGTCCCTGAGCATATGGGCTTGGAGAGAATGTCTGCTCCCTTAGGAACTCCTGCGCAGGACACTCCCACTATAGGTAAGAACATATGCTCCCTGGCATGTCCTGGTAGCCCATCCTTCTAACTAGCAATGACACAGTGCTGGCTGTGGGCCAGACCCTGCTTTATGCACTTTACAAGCAGTAACTCACTAGCGATACTAAAGAAGTGATTTATTTCATATACATCTAATGAAGATAACAACAGTTTATTGAGCACTTCTTTATGTGCTGGCCTTTTTACCTAAATGCTTTATGTACATTAATGCATCTTATCCTCAAAACAAATTATGGCTTATGTCCATTTCTTCAGATAAAACTGAGGTTCATGTACCTGTATATATTTTGCTTACATATATGTGTAATAATTTCATGAGTCGCAAAAGGATTTGAGACTAAAATAGAGTTGTCATAGTCCCACAAACTTAAAAACATTTGAAAACTGCCCAAATGAAGTCATTTTTCCTCCATCTCTTCTGAGGAGGCAGCCTTGTAAGAGGAATCCGTGCTCAGCTGCCCCATGTCAGAAGTTTCTAAGAGATGGTAAAAGTCTTTGGAGTCCTTAAGCTAGGGTTTTCATCTGTGTACCCCCGTTGGAACTTGAGGAAATTTTAAAGACTCATTTTTTTTATTTTTAAATTTTTACTTAAAGCCATCAGCTCATCTTCTCAGAAAGGTCAGTTTTGACTCCTCTGCTTTCCTGAGGGTCATGTTGATCTACTGTGTTCCATCTCCAGCAATCACATGTCAGCTCTGGGAGTTCCCAGAGGAGATCCTTGCAGAAAGACTTCTCCAGCCCAGTGGATGGGCAGAGTCCAAATTCTGTCCAGAGAAGTCTGAGCTCCCTGTTCCCAGGGCCCCCTCCAGACTTTAGTATGGTGCCCTGGCAGCATATAATGACAAAGGATTATGCAGCCAAAAGTTGCCTAGGAAAAAAAACTTGAATATCTGTCTCATTTGGCAGTACTTCTTATCGGCTAAGATTTTTCAATTAGCCCTATGCTGCAAAAATCTTATTAAAACTCCCAAGCCCTCCAGGCACCCCTTTAGCAGAAAAGAAAATTCATTTTCAGGGCTAGAGTTGTCACCTTCCCTCTCATGATCATTGGGGCCATCTCAGACCCTTCCTTCTCTCCTTGCCCTCTGTGGATTGGGGGAATACAGCTCTTGTGATTGGCTTTGCTAAGTGTATTTTGGGTTGTTCCCCAGGGCGAGTATGTGTCCTGCCTTCTCTCACTGCTCCGCCAGATGTGTGATACACATTACCAGCACCTCCTGGACAACTTCCAGAGCAAAGATGAGCTCAAGGTAGGCCCAGAAACACTGACCTTTCACCCAGGAAAGGAAGCATGCAGCTAAGACTGCCTAGCAGTTTTCCCCCTGCCAGTAGAGAAGTGCAAGTGGACTGCCCTGCTGAGAGTGGAAGGTTTACCAGCCTCACTTTACCTACCGCTGACTGTATGGCTTCCAGAAGCAGATAGCCAGTGGTGTTCCCATACAGCCAGACCCCAGGAACACTGGCAGGTCTTTCCTGACTGATCGCAGCCCCGTGACCATGTGCCTCTAAGAGACACTTGTCTGGGCCACACTGATTATCAGCCAGCCAGGGCTCTTCCCTCTCTTATAAACACAGCAGTGAGTTGTAGGTTACCGATGAAACAGGCGTCACTGTTTAATAACTGTAGTGATAATAATGACAACTTTTCTTCAGTAAAACATATTTCTGAAAGATTCATATTTGTAAAGAGCAAATATGAACACTGTCCATTGGCTATCACTCTGGATCTAGAGCACTGAGGGGCAGATAGTCCAGAGAAATAGGCCCATGGTCCAGATGACAGGAGAGTATTCCCAAACTTGGAAGGGTGTCAGCTGCTGACAGACTTCAAGGGCTTGTGTGTTTGCTTAAGACCATGCTACTGAGTTCATCCCTGGATAAAGGAACTGTTGTAAACTTTATGTCTATGCTTTGCCCCCATTCAGAGTCAAGTCACTTGTCAGTATTTCACAGTAATGCACTATGCTGTTTTCCATTTGTGTAATCTTTATTAATCATATGAGTTAATCAGTATCACTTGTTACTTTCTGGTGTTTGATCTGGCCTACCTTTCCACAGATATGGGTCTCTGCAGATTGTTATCCCTCACTTACTGCAGTGAGGCCAGCCTATCTTCTCAGAGGGATGAAATTGACAGCCCTTGAAGTGAGCCATAAGTTAACCAGAGCCTGGAGCTCATATCCAGGTCAAGCAATGCTTGAACTGGTGTGTAGAGCTTGAAAATCCAGTCCTAACTGTTCTAAATCATTCTCACCGTGTGTGTGTTTGTGAGAGAGAAGGACACTAACCAATTCTCAATCAGAAGCATCATTCCCTTACTTTTTAATTAAATGTTTGTTTTTATTGCAGCAGTATGTATATACGATTTTAAAAGCCAAAGCATTTTACAAAGTGTGTGACATAAAACTGGTTCCTTGGCTCAACCTGACCACGTCTACCCACTACTCCTGCAAAGCAGCCACTTTGAACTCTTCTTTTGTTCTTCAAGTAGCTTCTACTGCCATTTAAATTTTTAAAATTTTTAGTTATTGTTTATTTTCTTCTTCCCACAGAAAATGAGGCTGATTCTCCTGAATCAGCAAGCCTTTCATTAACCAGTCTTTGCACTGTTCTCATTGCTTTCTTGAAGAAGCACATTTTTGGAGATCTTACTCATCTATCCCTGAAGTGCTTCTCCAGTCCATGTGTTCTTAACACCCAAGAAAACAAGTTCTTACAATCAGGTGCTCAGGGGCCAGCCCCCACAGATTGAGACTGGTGGACTCAGCTGGATGCCAGGTCTGCTGGACCGCCTGTGCTTGGGCCTTTAGACGCTGGGCTGAGCAGGCATAGCGCTACATCTCTTCTCCCCAGTTTGGGACTGGCCTGTGGCAGTGGCCAGATGTCACTCCCACGCAGCCCTCTAAGAGAGAAGCAACTCATGAAGGGAGCCAGAGCGTCACCCACTGGTCCCCTCCATTGTCATGATCTAGAGGTCAGAGAGCCTGTTGAGGAGGTATGTGCTGCAGTGGTAGAGGTGGCGTCTCACATCAGATTTTCCTCTCGGCCCAGGAATTCCTGCTGAAGATTTTCTGCGTGTTCCGGAACCTGATGAAGATGAGTGTCTTTCCTCGGGACTGGATGGTGATGAGACTTCTTACAAGCAAGTGAGTGTGGAAGGGCCCTGCACCAGCCTCCACGCAGCTGTCCCCAGACTATTACATGTGAGAGAAGAAGCGAGATGGAAACTTGTCAAGGTCAAAGCTGTGGGGCCAGAGAGGAGAGGGTTTAAATGTGAAAGTGTTTGAAAGCGCAGTCGGCAGGACTTTGCCATTTACCAAAGTTCAAGGAGGAGAAATAGTCAAAGATAGTTCAAAAGTGGAGTCAAAGTGCCTGGCAGATGATGTCATGCTAAGGGTAGGAAAGGAACTTTTATGAATGTGAACTGTGATACCAGAGGAAGGCTCCTGCTGGAGGAGGGCCTGATCATTGGCCTCTGTTGCTCTGCGGTTTCAGGCAGCATCCCAAGCCCTCCTCTTGATTTGATTTGTGTTGTCTGCCAGACACTGCTCGTCCCCCACAGCTAGTGCTAATTACCCACCCAAGACCTAGCTATGAGGCTCTGCCCACCTCTGCTGCTGGCCACAGAATTCACTCCAAGATTGATCTCCTTGTCTGCCCCATTCATATTTCTGCCCTGTGCTTCTCACTGGCAAGGAGAACAAGTCATGTGGGTGGTAGGGTGCTTGTTTGTCGGGTCCCCCTCTACTCAGGAGAAGGCCACTTGGCGTCCACTCTCTAGACTACTGCCTCCTCCCTCTGATCAGCCTTTTACATCGGCATTATGCAGAATGTAGTGAAGTTATTTGTGTTAGATTTATTAGCAGGGTGTCAGGATAGTCTTTCTACTCTGTACTTTTTATAGTGCTCTTGTTTTTGAAAACTGCAAACATTTCATACGGAACAGAAGAATGGTTATAAACAGTGTTGCAGAGATATTTCCTTAAATAGTGGATTTTCCGTTTGACCCCCTCTTGTTTCTGTCTCTTAGTTCTACTCAGAGTACTTCAGGCTCTCCAGCCCATTCTGCAGGAGCAAGCCTCTTCTTTCAAGGCTTTTACTTTTCAAATTTGTTTGCTGGTAATGAGTCTCTCTAATGCACTGTTTTTGCCTTGCCCCTCTTCTGCACCAAAACTTAGGTGGTCATTGTTAGGTGTAAGCTCCTTTGCCAGGCATCCAACGCCCTTGGTAATTAAACCCTTACTTGCCTGTCCCACTTCACTTTCTCTCTCCCTTAACCTGTGCTCTTGACTCTAGCAAGCCAGCCTCCCATTAACCCTTAAATATGCCTAAGCAAAAATTGAAAGTGATATTCTGGATCAAAGGCTGAAATCAAATGACTTACACATGAAAATAACAGTATATGATAAAAGTAGAGATTTAATAACTGTAAACCCCTGTTATCAAGTGGAGTAATAGAACAATACTCTAAGTCCTCTGTTGGTCATAATACAGGTTCATTTTCCTAAGATCCCCCAAATACTAGAATCACTCTTTGAACTGGAAGAAACCTGAGAGAACCATGAAACCTCACTCCCCTCCTTTTACAGGGAAACTGTGGCCAGAGAAAAGTAGAGCCAAGACCAGCTGTCAGCAGAGCTTGGTCGGGAACCCCCTGGCAGGGCCCTTCTCCACAGGGGTTTTATGGGGTTTGTGCCACGTGTCCCTCTCACTTGGGCTTCCAGGTGACTCAGGGCTAAAGAATCCACCTGCCAATGCAGGAGACATGGGTTCTATCTCTGGGTTGGGAGGATCCCCTGGAGAATGAAATGGCAGCCCCCTCCAGTATTCTTGCCTGGGAAATCCCGTAGGGAGAGGAGCCTGGTGGGCTATGGTCCATGGGGTCGCAAAGGGTCGGACACAGCTGAGCACGCACGCACATCCTTCTCCCTTAAAGTCACATCTTACACGAGAGCTACTTGTACTCAGAAAGCTTGCACTTGGGCCACAGACACAGGTGCTAAGCTGTAGGATGCCACTGTTGGTCCTTTAACGCTGCCAACGCCTTGTCCCCTTACTGCAGTATTATAGTCACTACTGTCCAGTACCTGTCTTCTGCGCTGCACAAGAATTTCACAGAGACAGACTTCGACTTTAAGGTAGGAGCTCCTAAAATTCGTCACTATCTTTGTAATAACTGTAGAAAGCCAAAACCAGACTCCCTGTTTTTATTTTTGTTTTTGTTTTACTTAAAACAGCTGTTTTATTTTGCTCACAGGTTTGCAGGTCAGGAATTTGAGAAGGATTCAGCTAAGTGTCTGATAGGTGGCAGGGGGCTTTCTTAATCTGTTCATAGTATCAAACAGTTTCCAGGCTTGATAATGATTAATGTATAACCTAGGAAACCCTTGTTGGAGGTGCTGGGAGCCAGAAACCCATGAGTTTGTTTTCCAGTCCAGAATCAACACTGTTGGTTTCAGAGAAGTCAAGAAAGCAGGGGAAAGTCCTGTTTGCAAAGATATTTTTCTAAAAATCAAGATCTTAACACTGAAATGAATTCTGCGCTACATGCATATATTTAGAATCTCTCCTTGCAAGGTTAAGAACTCAGGCTGTCACATATTTCCTCTTTCTCTCTCTCTCTCTCTAGGTGTGGAATTCTTATTTTAGCCTGGCAGTTCTGTTCATAAATCAGCCAAGCCTTCAGCTAGAAATCATTACTTCCACCAAGAGGAAGAAGATTCTGGATAAGTAAGACATATGTCTCTTATTCATCTTCCTACATGTGCCCAGATGGAGTTTTGTTTCCAGGAGGGGCTCCTAGAGATGTCCACAAGGTTTTCATCCAGGTGGCTTCCCAAGGAGCCAAGTATAAGAGTGCAACTGAGCGCACAATGACTTTGTCTTTTGGAAAGCGCTAGAAACAGAGCTGAAATGCTGGCCTCCTGTCTTCCTGAACCTTCTCGTGCTAATAGCTGGTTCCTGTGTTCTATTCCCAGGTATGGGGACATGCGTGTGATGATGGCTTATGAACTCTTCAGCATGTGGCAGAATTTGGGTAGGTCTCTTCTCCACACTCTTCCCTTACACATATTGCTTAGCCAAATAAGAAGTTACAAGACTAATTACTTCCCCTGGTTTTATGAATGTTAATTCAGACCCAAGAGATCGTCACATATCTTTAACATAACACCTCAGATGGATAGTATAGTGTAGCACATGTGCACAAAGCCCTTGGCAGAGAGAGTTAAGCTGAGAAATAAGACCCCAGTGATACATATGCACAGACCCTTTTTTGAGAACAAAAGTCGAAAGGAGAAAAAGAAGATGAGGCTGTAAGAATATAATGTCTGAGGCTGTCAGAGTATAAGATCCCCCTGGGCTGTCTGTATCCCAGTCCAGATGTCACAGGCCCAGAAGCCCAGTCAGCACATGAGCAAGGGCAACTGTTCTTTTTAGTAAAGATTGAAACCCTTCTCGGGTCTCTGGTATTCAGGCATCCAGACGAGGTTCCCGCTGCCAGCTACATGTACGAAGGGAACTGCTTCATCTAGGTGAGACTGATTTTAGTCTCCCTTCTTTTGAGAGCTTCTCTTTGCAGCTTCTCTAATATCCAGCACTTTGAATCTTGAAATTGTCAGGTTTTGGTGGAATCCTCGGGTTGCCCTTGTGACTAGGTGGGCCGTCCTTTGCTTCTGTCGGCTTCTTAGATAGGCCTGCCCTGGATGCCAGAGAAGCTGCTGCTGCTCTTCCCAGTGAGAACTGCTTTCAGCTAAGCTCATGACTCTGAAATCTTAGGAAGAATGGCCATAAAATCTCATAGTCCTCCATCAACCATCTAGTCACAACCCTAGAAGCAGCAAGCAAGATGCAAGGCATTTCTGCCAGCCCTGGGGCCTTCCATCCATGAGTGGGGCTGCATTTCCCCAAACCAGCTCTCTAGCTTCAGTGCTCATACCCTCTGCATCCAGCACAGTCCAGATATAAATGTTCGCCCTGAAGTTGATTCTGAAATTCCCAGAAACACAAGGGACCAGCACTATACCAAATACCAAGATTGGAATATGCAGAATCTGCCTCTAGGCTCACTAACACTTGCTCCTTAGGTAGGCTTTCAACATGGAAGAATTCAAAAACCATGTCATGTTTCCCCAAGAAAGCCAGTCCTACCTCATCGTTTTTGGTGGAAATGACATTTTCTAGTTCTCAGGAAGTGATTTTGCTTGACTGTAACAGTCACTACACAGGCCCACAGTTTGTTCCCGGAGTCTCTGAAGGACTGAAAACAGAGCTCTGGAAGATGGTTCACTCTGTTTCGCCTTTACAAGGAAGAGAAAAGTTCTGTCCCATAGTCTTCAAGACTGGCCCTGGATTCTGGGAACATGCCCCAACTGACAGGTTAGTCACAGGGAAATTCATACCACACTCTTCCCATGGAAAGACCTCATTAAGAAAATTGAGAGATGAGCCAAGCTGGTTTGAATAAATATAGTGCTACCATCAAAAATGCAATGTGAAGGCAAGGGGTGGGATCGGGGGTACACGTAGAGAGTCTCTCAGCCAGTCTGTCAAGGTACAGCTGTGCGGGAGGCTCCTGCTAACTCAAGAGGGGGACTCAGGCACATTTGAGCTCCAACGGTGAAGAGGCCTGTGGACTTTAGACCTCTAGTAGACTGAACGTCCTCATCACTTAAATGCCTCTGGGCTACAGACAGAAACCCCAGGGTCAGTGCATTGTGTTTAAGTGGAAATTGATGAATTTTCCTTGCTGAATAAATACTGTGAATAGACTATCGGAAACTATTGCAGGGTACTCAGAAATCCTATTCTATCTAGAGTAGTGCCTCTGCTCCTTGACCTCAGAATGATTTTCAGATAGTTTGTAGAACCTTCCAGCAAATTCTTTGGAAAGAACTTGTGCCTGTTGAATTTTCTTTCAACTGGACTGAGTCAATTTAGTCTGCAAACTCTTAAAAAGCCAAGAGAAGGGACTATCTCAGAAACCCATAGGGGAGAGCTTTCTGTGTTCTCTGATGCTCCCAGTGAAGGTCAGATCATGTGCTGTGGCCCTACTCGGGAAGCTTCTGTGGCTGGAGCATAAACTTCTGTCTGCTGGGTTGTGTTGTTCAGGTGAACATAAGATCCACTTCATTCCGGGAATGATCGGCCCATTCCTGGGTGTGACACTGGTCCCACAGCCTGAAGTGCGGAATATCATGATTCCCATCTTTCATGACATGATGGACTGGGAGCAGAGGAAAAACGGCAACTTCAAACAGGTGAGAGCTGCCCCCTCCCCAGAAGTGTTAGGGGGACTCTTCCCTGGAATGGACCCCCTTTTGCCCTGGCACATGATGCAGATGGCCATGCTGTAGTTCTAGTGTAGTTCTTGGCTGTCTTGAGTCCCATCCAAGGGTTTCCCTTCCTTGCTGGCCAGACGTGATTTGTGGATTTTCTTCATGAAGTGCTACCAGAGAAGTTAGAAGGACAGAGAAGAAGTTAGAGGTCAGAGAAGAATCAGAGGAAAGGAACCGAACATCACGTGAAAGGACTTTTCTGATCAAGGAGAGAGTGACTGAGACTGTAACCTCCCAACTTCACTCAGAAGGAGGTCCCAGGAGCATGTTGTCTTTTCTCTCTGGAGGTTCCCCAGTGTGTATGGTCCAGACATTTCTATGGCTAGAGCCCAGACCAGATAACTTCTCAGAGCTGAGAACTTCACAGACTCCTGCACAGAGGGCTGGGCCCATGAGCGATAAGTGCTTGGCTTCTGACGGAGTGGCTTCAGGCTGTGCCTCTGGGTGGTTCCTCTGCCACCCCTAAAGTGGAGGAGAGGGCCCCTGCCCTTGTATCTGTAGCTACAAGGAATAGGACTAGGAACAACAGATGGAAAACAGTGGTGGTAACACCAGTTTTAGCCAATAAAATAACGTGCTCACAAAAAGTTATTTGCTATAAGCTGGCCTGCTTTCAGAGATAAGGGAGCTCCTCTCTGTTGGTGGTTCTCAAACAGAAGCTCCCTGGAGTCCTCTAGGGGAGATTTCTCTGTTGCCTTGGGGACTGTAATCACTCCCCTCTAAGCTCCCCCCCAACTCTGTGGTTCTGGGATGAACCAGTGGTCTTAGAGTGAGTGATTCTAACACTGAGCAACAGACAGTGCAAACAGTAATTTTTAAATTTTTATTTATGTATTTTTATATTTACAAAGAGTAAAATTCACTCTTTGGGATTCACAGCTCTGTAAATTTGGGCAGACACAAAAAAGTCATGTAAACACCATCACAGTCAAGATTTTTAAAAAATTTTTAATTCCTAAAATTTCCATCTCGCTACCCCTTTATAGTCAAACCCTTCCCCTACCTTTAACCTGTGGCAACCATTGATCTATTCTCCATCACTGACAGTGTGCCTTTTCCAGAATGTCATGTAAAGGGAGTCATGTAGACTGTAGCCTTTTGAGGCTGACTTCTTTCACTTAGAACAGTATGATTGCATCAGTTATCTTTGTTGTTATTCAGTTGATCAGTCGTGTCCAACTCTTTGAGACCCCTTGGACTGCAGCACACCAGGCTTCCCTGTCCTTCACCATCTCCCAGAGCTTGCTCAAACTCATGCCCATTGAGTCAGTGATGCCATTCAACCATCTCGTCCTCTGTCATCCCCTTCTCCTCCTGCCCTCAATCTTTCCCAGCATCAGGGTCTTTTCTAATGAGTTGGCTCTTCACATCAGGTGGCCAAGGTATTGAAGCTTCAGCTTCAGCATCAGTCCTTCCAGTGAATATTCAGGATTGATTTCCTTTAGGATTGACTGGCTTGATCTTGCAGTCCACAGGACTCTTATGAATCTTCTCCAACACCACAGTTCAAAATCATCAATTCTTTGGTGCTCAGTCTTTTTTATGGTCCAACTCTGTCACTGTTTACACTTTTTCCCCATCTATTTGCCATAAAGTGATGGAACCAGACGTCATGATCTTAGTTTTTTGAATGTTGAGTTTTAAACCAGCTTTTTCACTCTCCTATTTCATCTTCATCAAGAGGATCTTTAATTCCTCTTTGCTTTCTGCCATAAGGGTGGTGTCATCTGTATATCCAGCAATCTTGATTCCAGCTTGTGCTTCATTCAACTGGCATTTCACATGATGTACTCTGCATATAAGTTAAATAAGCAGGGTGATAATATACAGCCTTGACATACTCCTTTCCCAATTTTGAACCAGTCCATTGTTCCATGTCCAGTACTAACTGCTGCTTCTTGACCTACATAGAGGTTTTGCAGGAGACAGGTAAGGTGGTCTGGTATTTCCATCTCTTTTTAAGAATTTTCCACAGTTTGTTGTGATCCATAGTCAAAGGCTTTAGCGTAGTCAATGCAGGAGCCAGGTAAGGTGGCCTGGTATTCCCGTCTCTTTTTAAGAATTTTTCACAGTCAAAGGCTTTAGAATAATCAATGAAGCAGAAATAGATGTTTTTCTGGAATTCTCTTTTTCTCTGATACAATGGATGTTGGCAATTTGATCTCTGGTTCCTCTGCCTTTTCTAAATCCAGCTTGAACATCTGAAAGTTCTTGATTCATGTACTGTTGAAGCCTTGCTTTTAGAATTTTGAGCATTAATTTGCTAGCATGTGAAACGAGTGCAATTGTGCAGTAGTTTGAACGTTCTTTAGCATTGCCCTTCTTTGGGATTGGAGTGAAAACTGACCTTTTCTTTTCAAGAATATTGGTTTGATAAAATAAAAGTAATTCCACAGACCTAAAATGGTCAATATTACCAATTATGACGTTATATTTGAAGACCTTAGTATTTTGTGTAACCTAGAGACATTGATTTTGCATACATTGATTTTTAGTGTCATGTTTTGGATTTTTGTTCCTCTTAGTAACTTCTCCCTTTATCAGCACTACAGGGAGTGAGGAAGTACTGTCCCTAAATCCTTCCCTCACCAGCTCCTTTGCCTAATGCAGAAGTTCTGACCCTGGAATAGGGCCCAGAACAACCTGAGGGCTTGTAAAAACACAGATTGCTGCCCCCCCACAACCCCTGAGTTTTTGATCCAGTGGAGCCTGGGAATTTGTGTGTCTAATAAGATCTCTGGGGACTTGTTGCTGCTGGCCAGGGAACCATTTTGAGAACTCCAGGAAACGGCTGTACCCATATTTGCACCGTTGTACCCTCTGCTGCTCCAGGTCCCCTCCCACTTTGCCCTGTTCTGGAAAGCACAACCTGTACCTGCGTGTGTGACGAGAGATTCCTCCCTGACTTTGCATGACCCCAGGCAAGTCCCTGCTGGCACCTTTTCTCTTCACAGAGAAAGGCAGATGAGCTCAATCCCAAGGACTGCAGACCTCAGACTTTGTGTGTCTTCTGAAAAGTATATTCAAGCAGCTGACTCATTAGGCCAAACGTAGATGTACAACCACCTCCACCCTGGCTGTAGCAAACTGCTATAAAAGGGCCATACTTTTTCATCCATTCTTATTTTCCACTGATAGGATTTCAAAAGCCGTAATTGCCTTCAATGACTTTTCTAATTCAGTTATTCTTTTACTACTTCATTGCCTTAGGACTCTGGCCCTGTGTGGAAGGAGAAAATGCCTTTTGTTATAGCTCATTATTAAAAGCCATGCCATTTTTTGTTGATATAAAATATACAAATAATCGCACAGGACCACATTTCAAAGGTTAATGAGCAGTTTAAAAGATTTTTTTTTATCTCATATCACTTTACAACTAATTTCTCACTTCAGAGTAAATGCATTGAGGCCTATTAGGAAAGTGACCGAGCACTGTTGAAAGCCTTGAAAATTAGTGGGTTAGGAATAGACGCAGTGTTGCTCCTCACAATTTAGGAATCCAGTAACAAGTGCAGGGGCCCTCATTGACAAGGCCACTGCAGGGGCGGCAGCTCCAAGGGCTCTAGGTGCTGTGAGGACAAAGAATGGAGCCTTTTCTCAAGGAGAATCTCTGAAGGAAACCCATCTCCCTCAGTGCAAATGAATGTCAGCCATTATGGTAAGGACCAAACCCCAGCAAGCGTCCTTTGTGACTGGCTGACCGAGGGTAAAGTTCTAACCAAGTATGTCTTATACATACGAATTCCCTTTAATGAGCATTTTTTAAGAAGGAAAACCAAAACTTGACAAAGGCGTCTTTTGGATCCAAAATACTTCTCTTTCCAGAGTCCTTGCCTTTTGCCCCTAGCCTGGAAAAAGAATATCTGAGACGTACTTATAAGTTCCAGCTCTTACTTAAACCCCTAGAGTGGGAGCCCTTCCTGATGGGGGAAGGCAGCATGGCTTCCCGGTGCTGTAGGTGAGATCCCACCTTCTTCAGGATTTCTTTGGTACGAGAACAAAAGCAGGAAGCAGTTTCCCAGCGTCCTCCCCCATCACAGAGGGCTGGATTTTGCATCCTTCCCCTGAGCTCATTTCGGGTTTACAAAATCTCTGCTTCCCTCTAGGTGGAGGCCGAGCTGATTGACAAGCTGGACAGCATGGTATCAGAAGGGAAAGGCGATGAGAGCTACAGGGAGCTCTTCGGCCTGCTGTAAGCTGCTTCAGCCCGAGGCACCCCACGTTGGGGTAGAGGGTGAAGTGGGCTAATGAAGGGTAGGGGTACAGCCTGTTCTGTGCAGGCTTCAGAGCGTGGGTATCAGGAGAGACCCGGGTTGTTGCTGGTGGCAGCAGTGCTCACCTTCTGTCAACAAGAAAGAGACGTCATGACAGCAGGCTCTCTCAGGGACTATCGTAGTTAACTGAAAGGTGTAGACACAGTAACTCTGAGCTCCTGGGTTCGCCAGTAGGAAAAGGATCATCATATGTCTTCATACCATGTACTGTATCCTAGTTGAGCAAACAGCTCATGGGGACTCAATGAGGGCTCAGCGCTAGCTTTTCTGGGGAGGGGAAGGGGTTTAAATCTCAGCTTTGTAAGATTGTACAGTCAGCTTGAAAAATACTACCATGAATTTTGTGACTTAAACAAGTTATACCCCCTTTCCAGACAAGTTTTCACTTGTGAAACAGGGTGGCTGTACTGACTGAATGTCAGGGGTCCCAGGTCCACCAGTATGGCTTCGGTCCTGAGTTGATGGGGCCACAAAACCTGACAGGACCCAGCTATAGGGCTCAGTCTAAAGGAGGGACTCGAGAGCCATGGTCCTCCCACATAGGCAGTAAATTGGGTATTTTATCTTCCTGAAAAGCAAAATGTGAACACATTTACAGCTTTAGTGCCCCCTCCCATCTCACTCATTGTTTCTAGCTGTGAGATTTTCTAGCTGTAGCATTTTGAAGATAAGCTTATAACATATTTTCTATTAGCTATACTGTACATTTGCTTAGAACTTACAGTGGACAAAATATGTTGACATTTCTGATTTAATCCTCACAATACATCTGTGAGGCGGGCAGGGCAGAGAGTATCCTGGTGAGTAAAAATAATGCAACTGAGCTTGGAGAGGTGGTGGCATTGCCCTCAGTTGCATGGCCACTAAGAAGCATGTCTGGGGATACCATCTAGACGTTCCAGTTTCAAGGGGGGGAAATCTTTCTCCTGTACCCTGCCTATGTAGTTTGTTCCTTGATGAGTCATGCAATAAAATGTGAATTCATTTGAAACTTAAGTAATTTTAATTTGTGAAAATGAATCCATCCTTAGGGATTTTCTTTTGGCCAAAGATGTTTCTAATTATGGAAATAAGGAAGTGAAGTCTCTTCCTAAGCCACTCACTGATGATTTTACTACAAAGGAAAAAGCACAAAAATAACTTGCAGTTAGTAATTACCTGACAAAGAAGTGTTTCACAAACTCTTCTGAGTCATGTCTAAGAACCGAAAGCCACTGATAACCGTGGAGCAGCATTTCCTAATTTGTGTTTAGGAGGAGATGTTTGTGTAGGTACACTGGGGGATGTAGATCATGGGCTAATCAGTTTAGAAAAGACTCAGTAAAAGAAAATTAAACAAACCTCTGTATTATAGAACTTCTCAAAGCCTTCAGTATGCAGAAAGGTGTGAAAAATCTCTGAAGAGGAAGGTGTAGTGACCCACCACTTTCATGCTTGTTTGCTCACAGAACACCTCTCTGTCCCCCAGGACAGCAGAGCTCTGTAGAACGCAGTTTGGGAAATGTGTACATAGTAGCTTTTCCCACATAGCTCAGAGGTGAGAACCAATGATCCTGCCATCTTGCTCTGGGAACATGGGTCACCTGGGAAACCCTCACTCTCCCAGAGGCCCCACCTCAGGTTAGATGCTCTGTGCAAGGAAGACAGTTGTCATCACTGCAGCATTAACAACAGTCAGGCTATGGGTGTGAGTCCCCACTGGTGGTCCCTGGCTGAGCCCTTCACTCTAGGGGACTGTCATGACCTCAGGGAGCTAGGGCCAGTGTACAAAGGGGTCAGCAGCAAGACCTGCACCTGGGATCATCAGTGGGAAGGTAGAGGATCTCAGAAACCAGGTTCTTTGGAGAAGTCAGAGCCTACCTGAAGATAATAGGAACACGGGTTGACAAGTGAGAAAGGGACCCAAGCATGTAGCTCTTGGCTCTGGCCATTTTCTGTGGAAGTCTCCTGTGACAGTGGAGATAACCGAGTATAACTCTTGGACTCACTGTCTGTCCTTCATGCTGGGCCCTCAAGACTGATTGCAGTCTTACCCTTGGTCTATGTGAAAAGGCTGGTCAGCGTGTTTGCTGAGGATGGTTCTGAGCAGTGATAGCCAGTCGGCAAAGCCAGGTCTCTTCCTCAGTGGACTGGTCCTCAGCTGCTTCCTCAGAACAGCTCTCACAGTGTGTACGCTGACAGGGGCTGGGGCTCTGAAGCTTCTCCCTCAGCTCAGTGGCGTCCTTAAGAGCTCACACAGGACAATGGAAGACATGTTCATTTGTTGCTGTCCATTCAGTAATTGCTTTGTCTTTGCTTTCTGCTGCATGGAGTAGAACCCAGCTGTTTGGGCCCTACCCCAGGTAAGACTGCCATGTGGTAAGTCTGCCGTCTCCAGATCTATCACAGGCCCCCCGGGCTCTGGGACCTTACGCTGGTGCCCCCGGGAGGCTCATGAATCATGCATTCTCTTTGCTTCTATCAATAGCCTGCTGGAGAAGGTTGAACAGGAAACATGGCGTGAGACCGGCATTTCCTTTGTAACCTCAGTCACCCGCCTCATGGAACGCCTCCTTGACTACAGGTATCTTCTCAGGAACTTACCTGACCGCTTCTCTGGTCACATCGTCTCCCCAGCAGGAGGATCCTCTGACCTTAAAATTGAGACCACGTGACCACAAGAGGCAGGGCTGTTCTGGTGTTGTGTGCCATCACCAGTCATTAGGGATCTCCTGATAGCCAAGGAGGAAGGGGTGAAAGCCTTCTCTCAGGCGTAATGCCAGGATTTCCTGGGCTTACCCCTGGTATGTGGCCACATCTACACTGGAGGTGTCCTAGGGACATGTAGCCATCTGGCTTTTCATCCAGAAAAGTCAAGACTCAGAGGGATGGGCACAGCAGAGAGGAGAAAGGCTGTCTCCAGAGTGAGGTGGGATCTTAGTGCAGACCTTCCTCAGAGCCATATGGCAGGTGGGCAGGGAAATATCACCCAATACAGGACTGTTGTACTTGTTTGGATTTCCCTGGTGGCTCAGCAGTAAAGAATCTCCCTGCAATGCAGGAGACATGGATTGGACCCCTGAGTTGGGAAGATCCCCTGGAGAAGGAAATGGCAACCCACTCCAGTATTCTTGCCTGAAAAATCCCATGGACAGAGGAGCCTGGCAGACTGCAGTCCATGAGGTGGCAAAGAGTCAGACACAACTTACCAACTACAAGACAACAGAATTGTGACCCAGGAGGACTTTCACTTCTTTTTTCCAGGGCAAGGGGTACCCGATTTTCCCATGCCTCCATTCTTTGTGTAAAATCTATTTATTTCTGTCCATTGACCCTGGCCAGGTATAGATGAGAGGAGGCAGCCTGTGAGCTCAGAGATCTTTATGATATGTGGAATCTGGGAGTTGACATGTAATCTGTTTTTTCCTGAAAGCCTGCTTTCTCAGTCGTATCATGGCTTTTGACTTAGCCTAAAAGGAACACTGCCACTGCCACTGGGGCCTTAGTTATTCTCTCAGTAGAGTTCAGGTGAGCCAAGAGGGCCTTAGGGAGGTTATAGGGGAAGGTGATAAGGAATGAGGAGGGGTGACAGAGAAACCAGCCCCAAGCAGTAGTTGTCTTCTCTGTGCTGTGTCTCGTGCAGATATCAGGGGGGTGCACCTGGGACTCAGGTGGCCGTGTGTACAGGAGGCTTCTTGCTGGATTCACAGTCTGTTCCTCATTCTTTCATCTCCTTGTGCTAGGCCGCCCCTCCTTGATAGAGGAGCATGGATTTGATCAGTCTCCACTCTTCTTTGGCAAGGATCCATTCTCAGTGTTTCTGTGTTCTGTGTCTGGCAGGCTAGCCGTGAACCCTCCTGCATCCAAGCCTGTTCAGCACAAATGCAGCTCAGCCCTGGCTGAAGCTACCCCTAAATCAGAAGAAAGCTTCAAATCCACTGCTCCTAGTTGGAGGGGATTCCAAATACTAGTGCACAAGAAGGACACCACAGGGAGAAAAGTCAGTGAGATGATTTACGTGGCGGCTGTGCCATGGTTGCTGGGCTACAGGGTTCTGAAGGCAGGTCCCTGGAGTAGAGTGTATTGGCTTCCCCTAAACACTGTCCTACAAAATGAAAACTGCCCTTTATGGACGGCTCTGTGGCTTCCCTTTGAAGAACCTGAGGGTTTAACCTTCTACTTTACTGACATACTTCTGCACTGAAGATGTTGTTAGGTGCTACTGAATGCCCTGATATAGCCTCTGGGCTCTGCACACTGCCACCAGAACAAGGGTACAGCTGAACAGAGATATTTGAGCCCTAGGAATGGGTCCAGAGCCTGGAGGGAACACACAGTACAGTCCCATCCGTGGACAAGTTTCTGTTGGAGAGCATCCTCCTCTGGGGTTTGGACACACTGAAGCCTCAGGGACACTGCAGGTCTGTGTTGTCCCAGAGGCACCACTTGGTCCATTCATCTTCGCTCTCCCCTCCAGGGATTGCATGAAAGGAGAGGAGACAGAGAATAAGAAGATTGGCTGCACTGTTAACCTGATGGTAAGAGAACCTGGGCTGTTCCTCCTCTCTGCCTCATGGAGTGGCTTCTGTCCCGCCCTGTGGCCACCTTGTCCTTTCTGCAATATGTGGCTATAAGCCTGAGGGTTTGCGTCCAGACATCAGGCCTGTCTCTGGAAACTCACATTCCCACTCGAGAAAGGAATGCAGTGAACCTCTCCTCAGACAGAGCTGTATAGCCTGGCCTCTTGGCAAGGTCCCACCGACTCTGACATACTCCCTTTTCCACCACTGGCACTCTTCCTGTTTCGCACCACTCAGGACCCCTGCAGACCTGCCAGAGGTTTTGCCCCCAGCAGGGGTGCCTTATGACTGGTCCCTTCTCTTTCTGGCGCTGGCTGCCCCCACGGCCTGTCTCCTCCTTCCTGTCCAGCACCCCCAGGGTTTTGGCCAGCTGCCTGGAGCTCAGATACGGCCTCCAGAGGCGGCAGCCCCTCTCGCCTTCTTGTGTACTTCCTCCTCTCTTACAGAACTTCTACAAATCGGAGATTAATAAAGAGGAGATGTATATCCGCTATATCCATAAGCTCTGTGACATGCATTTGCAGGCGGAAAACTACACAGGTAAGCAGGAAGGGAGAGCCCGGCCTCCTCCCGCAAAGGACTGGACAGACATGCGCAGCTGACAGGGGAAAGCTCTGAGTTGGGGCCCGCCAGATGTCAGCGGAGTGTCAGCGCCCACAATGCCCATCCCCTCACCCCTTGCCCTCAACTCCTTTGTAATGCGTGGTGGAGAGAAAGCAGGGGGAACTTGCCCTTGTGCCTGGCTGCCAAGGTTCTTCCACTCCCCTTGCCTCCTGTTCCCCCCATCTGAGGGTGACCTCCAGATCCCGGGAGCCAGGTTCAGAGCCTCCTAAGCTCTTTGTTGCTCCTCACGAGCAGAGCCTTTCCGAGGACCTCACAGCTGGGCTGAGTGAGGCCACAGCCCAGGCTCACCACCTAACCCTGGGGCCTCCAGAACATGCTGGCGGACCTGCCTTGTGGTCTGGGCTCTTCCCTTGCAGCCACCGTGAGGATGGACAGTGTGCACCTGACTTTCTGACTGGCTGGACAGGGGCCTTTTCACTGTATCACAATTTAGTCCATTACTAAGGCCTTTTCTAAAAGAAAAATTTAAAAACATACCTGTCACACTGAGTGCTGCTCTGAGTCAGGAAGACAAGTGTACCCACATGTGCCCTGGGTGATCACCTTGTGCCACAGTTCCCCCCAAAATAACCACTTTTTCACCATGGTAACCAGCCATCACATCTTAGCCCTTGAGCCACAGGTGTTGTGATAGGCCAGGAAATTTAGGCTATTCTTGTCCACAGTGTTACTAGAATGAGACGAATTTGTAGAAACGCAGAAACCTCCCTCCCTATTTTCTGTTAGATGTTAGAGATTGTTTCACAGAGATTCCACCTTTCCTGACACAGCTTGGCAAGAATTAAGTCTGAAATGACTGGGCTGAATCTGCCATCCTCTGCATCCACTTCCACCCATGATCCCAGCAACCCTTTGAGGGGGCAGTGAAGTGACAGACTGAAAAGTTCCATGTATCAATATAGGCATTTACTGAACTCCTAGAGCACTGGGATGAGACTGAGAGGCTAGGTCGGGAATTCGGACAGAGAGAAGGTGCTAAGCCTTGCTTCTGGTGACCTCAGGAATAACATCTAAAAAGAATATTGACAGGGAAGAAAAAGATTTCACATGATTTTCTAAGTTCCACAGTTAGGCCTTGCAGGCTTCACGGGCTTGCCCCGCAGTCAGAAAGGGCTTCGCAGCTCCAGTGAGGAGTCATGTGCGTCCCTGGGCAGGAAGACTGGTGGCCAGAGTGTAGGCGGAGAGGCAGAGGTGAGCAGGGCCTGGAAAGTCTGTGGGCAAGCAAGCCTGGCTAAAACTGGAAGTGGATCACAAGATAATTAGAAAAGAGATTCTCCACAGATTTGAATGGGGCCTTGCAGGCCAGGCAGAAGCTCAAGCTAATTAAGTTGCCAATAGGAGATGCTCGCCAAAAAGAAACAAATAGAACAGGACGGAGCAGGCCGTGTGATGAGGACCCAGAGCAGCAGCTGTAATTCAGTGTGACTCACTTCTGGGCTTTAAGAAGCCACGGTATTGAGCTATGGCTTTTTTATAAACCCTCCCTATCAGTTCCATGTGTACGGGAGACGCCACCAGTCCTCTGCCCTGGATCCAGCATCAGCTGTAGTTTCCTCTATGAATGGAGCCCTTCACACAGTTACCACCATACACTACACACTCCTGCTCGCTGGTCCTTTTAGAAATGGTCGAGATGAGGAGAAAGGGTCATTCCCCATGCTGAGGTCAGAAAGTGCAGCTGGAGGTATGGAGGCTGGCTGTGGGATGGCCGAGGAAAGCTTGTCAGAGCTCACCCCTCTGATCCAGTTCTGAGAAGGTTGGGAAAGAAGCACTAGTCCCTTGAGCAAAAGGGAACCAGGAGCTCTCTCTGACATGGCAGTGTGACCCAGAGCAAAGCAGCCTGTGCACTGACCCTGGGATACCTGAGCCACACCTTATTCAGAGCCCAGAGCATGTGGCCAGGCTGAGGGAGGACAGTGTCCACTGGGTCCCTTCATGCTGTGGTCAGGGGCTGGTGGGTGGCTGGACAGCCCCCCTCTCTCTCAGGTGTGGTGTCTGGCACCCCTGACCTAGGCTGTGCACAATGGGTCCCCGGGCACCTGGCTGCCCCAGGACCTCGCTAGAGCCTGTCCCCACAGAAGCTGCGTTCACTCTGCTCCTCTACTGTGAGCTGCTGCAGTGGGAGGAGCGGCCCCTGCGGGAGTTCCTCCACTACCCATCCCAGACGGAGTGGCAGCGGAAAGAGGGACTGTGCCGCAAGATCATCCACTACTTCAACAAAGGCAAGGTGGGTGTCCCCGGGTGAGGCTTCGAGTGCCTTAGCCCCTACTGGGCTCCATGGCACCTTCACCCTGCAGGAATGGCAGCAGCTGCAGAGGGTGCTGTGAGGGGTGATGAGGAGGTGGGTGCCCATGTGCATGCATTGGATTTGGAGGCAGCATGACTTTCTCTGGGGAAAAAAAATAACAGCTTAATTCTGTGACTTGGAAGCCAGTCGCAAATTGAGGGTGTAAAAGAACCCCACACACCAGCTTTGCACATCTGTAAATACTAATGCTCCAAGATCAGGGGCCTCTGGGCCCCCTGCTTGTCTGTATTAGATTTACTTAGGTTACTGTAGCATTCTGATCTGCCATAGAAAATGTGAGCCGTAAAAATGGGTGGATTTTAACCACAGCCGAAGGAGGCCCATACTGCCTCCTGTCCATGTTCTTGTCTTGGGTCTCTCTTCCTTACAACACCATCCAGGTTCCTCTCACAGGCTTGTTCTCTGTTAAATTTGACTGTAGAATTAGCAGGCATTGTCAGCATTGGCTCAGACTTCCTTGGAACTTGCCCACCATCCTGCTCCAATCTCTGGGAGAGTTCCTTGTGGGGCTCTCTGACCACCTGCTGTTGGGTGTGCCCCATACACTGGAAAGGCTAGGTTTGTGTAACTTGTTGAAGCTGTTTTCTCATTACTCAGCTTTGAGCACATCATAGAAAGCCAAACTAGGATCATGCAGGGAACTATAGCGGCTGAACACCAGACTTGAATTAAAAATTTTTTTTAATGAGTTATTTCATCATAAAAAAGATTCAAACATTAATACCTTTTGCCCATAACTCAGAAAACATTCATCAGGTTTACACAGCATGGGAGACTTCTGTTTGTCAAAAACATTCACCCACGTAGGGAATGCATATGCACTGGTCAGTAGGAAAACATTCATCAGGTTTACACAGCATGGGAGACTTCTGTTTGTCAAAAACATTCACCCACGTAGGGAATGCACATGCACTGGTCAGTAGGAACCCATCTGAAACCTCAGGAGCTCTCATTCCACCTAGCCCAGAAAGAAGATCCGTGCCTGCTCTCAGCCAGCCACGCACGACTGAGCGATGGAGCCAGCCCAAAGCATCCTCTCCTTGCTGGTCCAGAGATGGACTGAGGGCTCCATGCCAGCTTGCTTGTAGGCATGTCTTCCTGGCACGCAGTCCATCTGGAGCTGCCACCTACCCATATGCCCAGTGAGCCCTCCCAGCTCGGAGGCACTGGCGTAAGCATGGTGTGAGTGTGCAGGAGTGCTGTCAGTATATTAGGTCTCTTTTCTTTCCATGGGCATAGAGCACAGAGAAGAGCTGTGCTTATCTGATTGAGCCTACCTGTGGATCATTTGAGCATTCATGGTCCCCTTCTTACTCCACACTATAATAGTGTTAAGAAAGCAGGTTTAATGCTAAGTATGAACAAGGGAAGGGTTTCCCAGGTGACTCAGTGGTAAAAGAATCTGCCTGCCAATGCAGGAGATATGGGTTTGGTCTCTGGGTTGGGAAGATTCCCTGGAGAAGGAAATGGCAACCGATTGCAGTGTTCTTACCTGGGAAATCCCATGGATAGAGCAGCCTGATAGGCTCCTGTCCCTGGGATTGCAAAAGAGTCAGACACCACTTAGCAGCTAAACCACAACAGCAGCAACATGGACAAGGGGGGTAATGCAAAGCCTGCCTGAGTATTGTGGATGGGCAGGAAGGGGAGAAGGACTGAGAGACTCCGTAGGCCACCTTCTTAGGAATCTCCCACTCCTTCTGCCTTTGCTGTGAATTGCTGGGGGAGCTGCTTCTGTACAGACCACTCAGTACAGACCACTCTGAGCCTTTCCATGAGTGCATCCTCACAGGGTATTTATCAGAGGCCTTCTCCTGGGCTTGTATAGAAGGTATGACTTTTCTGTTCCTGTTCCTCCATACCTGATGGCACCAATGCATAGGGCTCACCCATTCTCTTAAAAGCATTCAGGGCCTTTTTTCTAAAGGCTCCAGAAAAGCAAACCCTTTCTGATACAGGAAAAGTGCTTCTATAGGGTTCTTAGTGCCAGGAGGAACGCGAGCTTGGCAGTCAGAGGAGGGCAGGAAGAGAGCAGACTGCACGGAAGCGGGGACAGACAGTGAGGTTCTTGACCTCAGCACTTCTAGCACAGCCCGCCTCACAGCCACTTTCCTCCCACTCCTAGTCTCTCTGTTACCCGCCACATACAGACGACCCCATCTCCTTTGGTCCCACATTTCTCTCCTGAGTATCTAGAAGGACTGAACCAGAAGTCCAGCTCACGGCCACAGCTTTGCCCTGGGTCATTCCCTCCGGTGGTGAGGTGGTCAGCCTAGGAAGGTGAATTGGGTTGTGGTCACAGAGGTCAGCTCTCCCAGGCCAGACAAGGAGAGAGGGACACTCCAAAGGGTGTGCCCAGGTGGGAGTTAAAAGAATGAAGGGAAGACGAGAAGATGGGAGGCAGTCCTTCATCCCAGGGAAGAAGGAGCAGACAGGAGGGGAACCCTGCTTAGCTGGCACACAGACCATCAGGTATGAACCAGCCCTCCCTGTGGGGGTGGGCTTGGGGTCTGCTGCCCAGGGCTGCTATTGCTCACACTCCTTGGAAGGAAGGACAGATCTGTTACTTCGATACATTGTGTGTAAACAGAAGTACAGAGACTGCCCCTGTGGAGTCCTGGCTTTTGCCTGCCTTTCCAGTTTGAGCAGAGTGAGCCAAGTCAGTGCAGCTTCCATTCCTGTGAGTGGGGGCAGCATGGATGTACAAACACACGTCTGCCCAGGTGGGTGGAAGTGACTGGATTTCAGACACCGGTTAGGAGTTGTAGGCTGGCTTTGCCTCCTGCCTTTCTGGCAAGGGAAAAGAGGTAGATGGTATGCATCATACCTGCCAAGCATTCCCTCCCTGTGCTCCGAGGTTGCTCTCAGAACCCCCAGTATTCCAGCACAACCCTCAAGGCTCACCCTTCGGGTGGGATGTGGGTGCAGGCTCGGAGCAGCAAGGCTACAAATGAAGCCAGAGATGCCAGCGAGGCAGATAAGCACGGCTTTCTTAGGAGCTGCTGTGTCAGCAGGCAGAGCTCCCTGAGGCTCACGTGAGGCCGTCAGCACCTAAGTGAGCAGTTCCCCAGGGGGTGCTCCTTGCAGGCCGGCCAGCTGTCTGCACACACACTGCTTAGCCAGCCCCCGTGGAATTGCCTGCCCAGGGTGGGCCCTTCACTGAAACCTGCCCAAGCAGCATTTGGAGCCAGAGAGAGGACAGACACGTGCCCCCTTTAAAGCTGCGATGTGGGGGCACAAGAGGCTTTCTGCTCCCTGAGGCAGAGGAGCTGTATTGGAGCAGAGAATCAGGGTCTATTTAAAATTCTCTTTGGTTTGTTTCAACATTTTTAACTGGTCCTGCAGGTCAATCTGTATTGCATTAATTTCTTCAAAGGATAGAAATAATGTGCTCTTTTTAGGAAACACAGTCCTGAATAAAATAGTGTTGTCCTTCTCCGTGATGCTATTTTAAATCTATGTTTTTAATAAAGTCCTTATTAAACATTCATACTGAAACCCTGATGGGTGAAATTACATGATATCTGAGATCTGCTTCCAAAACTGTAGGGAGGAGTAAGTGAGTGAGCTGTGAATGATACAAAACTGACTCTGAGTTGGCCATGGTTGAGGCTGGGTTATGAGTACCTAGGGGTTCATACTTCTGTGTTTCCATAGCTTAAAGTCTTCCTATAATAAAAAAATTTTAATTAGTATTTAGAAGTTGGGGAGAAGAGCCTGTCTAAAATACCAAGTAAACCTTTGATTCCCAATCTCCCTAAGAGAGAAAGTACTATATTAAAAAGAGGAGGAAATGGACAGTATTGCCCCTTGGTGAAAGCTGCCATTCGATGGGCCTGCCACCATAACAGGAGCCACACCACAGAAACAGCCTGAGACCTGATTAGACAAGGATTATCTGAAGCCTCCTCTAAGAGTGGAGTATTTCTATAAAGGAAATTGTCGGATCTACTGCCAAGTCCTTGGGTAGCTACTTCCTTCTTAGCTTCCATAGTTCTTTCTAAGCTTAAATCATCTTCACTTAAGAATCATTATTTTCTTCATTAACTCATTAAATAAATCTTCATTGAGCACCCGTTCACGCCTGGCCTGGTTCTAGGCTCTGAAGATAAGGGCTGTGAACAGAGCCCCTGCCCTCGTGCAGCTTTCCGTCTGATTAGAACAGCATAAAAATAAATACTTCTTAGCCCAGAAATAAACCCGTATACCAACAGTCAGTTAATCTTTGACCAAGGAGGCAAGAATATACAATGAAGAAAAGACAGTCTCTTCGGCAATTTGGTGTTGGGGAAGCTTGACAGCCACATGGGGACCAATGAAGTTGGAACACTCCCTCACAAAACTACACTCAAAATGGCTTAAAGATTTAAATGCAAGACGTGACAGCATAAAGCTCCTAGAAGAGAATACAGGCAAAATATTCTCTGACATAAACTGTAGCAATGTTTTCTTCATTCAGTCTCTCGAGCAAAAGAAATAAAAGCAGAAATAGATAGGGCCTAATCAAACTTAGAAGCTTTTGCACAGGAAAGGAAGCCATAAACAAAACAGAAAGACAGCCTATGGACTGGCAGAAAGTATTTCAAACTATGCAACTGACAGGCACTTAATTTCCAAAGTATACCAACAGCTCATTAGAGCTCAATATCAAAAAAGCAAACAGCCCAATCAGAAAATGCTCAGAAGACCTAAACAGACATTTCTCCAAAAGAAACATACAGATAGCCAACAGGCACATGAAAAGATGTTTAATGTCACTAGTTATTAAAAGAGACAAACCACAACTTAATGTACGATGGGTATCACCTCACACTGGTGAGAATGGCCATCATCAGAAAATCTACAAATAGTAAATTCTGGAGAGGGTGTGGATAAAGGGAACCCTCCTACACTCTTGGTGCAGCCAGTATGGAGAACAATATGGAGGTTCCTTAAAAAACTGAAGACAGAGTACATTTTAGTTACATCATCCAGCAGTCCCACTCCTGGGCATATATCCAGAAAAGAAAATAACTCAAAACCAAAAAGATACATGCACCTAATGTTGACATCAGCACTGTTTACAATAGCCAAGGCACAGAAGCGACCTAAATGTTCATCACAGAGAGTCGGACATAACTGAGGTACTGGACTGAACTGACCAAAGTGTTCATCAGTATATGAATGGATAAAGATGTGTGTGGGGTGTGTGTATACATGCATATGCAGTGGACTATTACTAAGCCATTAAAAAGAATGAAATACCACCATTTGCAGCAACATGGAGGAACCTAGTGATTGTCACACTAGGTGAAACAAGTCAGAGAAAGACATATTATATGATATCACTTACATGTGGAATCTAAAAAATTACACAGACAAACTTATTTATAGAACAGAAACAGACTCACAGACATAGAAAACAAACTTATTGTTAGCAAAGGGGAAAGGGTGGATGAGGGGTAAATTAGGAGTTTGGGATTAACAGATATACAGTACTATATATAAAATAGATAAACAGCAAAAACCTACTGAATAGCACAGAGAACTACATTCAATATCTTATAATAATCTATAGTGGAGTCTAAAAAGGACAATATATATGTGTGTGTGTATGTGTTTATATGTGTGTATATAGTCTTGTTTATACAACTGGATCACTTTACTGTATACCTGAAACTAACACAGTATTGTAAATCAACCATATTTCAATTTTTAAAAGCAAATGCTTTTTTAAAGAAGATGGCTTCAGAGTAATGAAAGGAGAATAGATAGGGTGGGTGCTTGTCCTTGACGAGGTAGTCATAGAGAGGCCTCTTGGAGGTGGAAACATTTGAGTAAAAACCTGAGAGCTATGCACTGAGCCTGAGTGTCATAATTCTGTGTGTCCTGCACAAATCGGTTTTGAGCATGTGTTCTTCATGACATATGAGTTGCAGGAGGCCTTTAGTTGTGCCTTCTGATATGTTTGGCAAGGCTTGGACCCTTCTGAGGATGCCTGCGGTGCTAAAGCCTTGTTCCCGTTTCTGTTGCAGAGTTGGGAGTTCGGGATCCCACTGTGCAGGGAACTGGCGTGTCAGTATGAGAGCCTCTACGACTATCAGAGCCTCAGCTGGATTCGGGTGAGCTTCGCATCAGCTTCTAAGGGAGCACTGACTGAGCACCTCAGCACTGGGTTGCGTGCTGTGGACAGTGCAGGAGAAGCAGAGGCCCAGGTTCCTGTTCTCAAGATGCAGAGCGCACACCTGACGGATGCCTGCGTGATCCAGACCCCAGGGGCCACTGGTGCTTAAGGAGGAGGCGGCAGCACACGCAGGATAGGACGGGGGTGGTTCACGGAGGCGGCAGCAGCCCAGCTGCACGAAGAGGCTTCTCCAGAAATGATTCCGTTCAGATATGCCTCATCTTAGTGTCTCCCTGGCTTGGCTTGTGGTCACTCCTAGGCACCCAAGTGAAGAAAGCTCTTCCCTTCTTTGATGCGAGATATTCAAAACTAAGTGAAATGGATTCTGAAGGTCTCTACCAGATTTTTCCTTGTTTCCGGTGCTGGGTTTTGAATCATAGCAGCTGGTTAAGTCTTTGGCAAAGAGAAGTCAGGAGTCTCAGTTCATCTGCCTCCTGCACCCTTGTCAATGGTTCCCTGACCCTGATCAGGCTCTGTAGAATAGATGAGGTTCTACACCAGGAAACTTTTGCTCTGGTCTTTGAAGGTCACTGCTCCCTGGCAGGCTGGCTTGATTGAATGCATTAGGGACATCTCAGTCAAATTTCAGTGAGTTTTTCTGAATCTGAAGCCAGGTCAGCTAAAACTAAAAAACTTACCAACCTTGGTAATGCCAGACATCATGGATAGTAGTTCCACTTTTAAAGTTTAAAATCTCCGAAATTGGGACCAGTACAGTGACTCTGGTAACTAAGCCTTCCTCATTTTGTTAGCATCTTGAGTCAGATGGTAAATGAACTAAAGCAATGCAGTTGGACTGATGGTGTCACCTATAGGCAACACTTATTGTCAGTTGGTGTAGTGGGTATCATCAAAACAAGAAATCCCTGAACAAAAAAGAGGAAGTCCATGTTAAACATGTGCCCCTGAAAGTACAGGAAGCCTGAGTCTGTGTGGGGCTGGGTCCACTCACTGGGCAGGAGAGTCCACACAGCCTCTTGGGGCTGGCCCACCTCCAGGTGATGATGGGGAGGGAAGGTTTCCTTTCCATCCGGCAGCTCCCTGGCGAGGGGTTGATTGTGGCTAGGGGCTCACTTTTTATCTAGACTGAGTCATCACGTTCTCTTTCCAAAAGGCAGTGTCTGCTTAGGCCTGGGAGAACTTGCTTTGGACACACCACTAGCATCAAGCCAACCTGCAGGCAACTGCCTTTCTCGTTCACAGAAAATGGAGGCCAGCTACTACGACAACATCATGGAGCAGCAGCGCCTGGAGCCCGAGTTCTTCCGGGTCGGATTCTATGGCCGGAAGTTTCCTTTCTTCCTTCGGGTGAGTCCATTCAGGTAGTCACAAGAGCTTCTATCATATTTTACACGTAATTTCTAATCTGTTTGTTTTTTTTTCTTTTTTAACCTTTTCCTATTGCACTGAGTAGTTCCTTACGAAGGACTGATGAGAGTGTTTGGCTTTATTTGACTGAACTGGCTGCCAACTTTAGACTGTCTTTCTCTTTGCAGTTAAACTGTTTTGCAGCCACCTGGAATATACGAGGGTGGCTTTCTTACCAAATCAACAAGGATCCTGCAGGAAATGACCAGGGTTTGAGACTATCCCGTAGATAATGTTTAGAAACCTTCCACCTTCTGTTTCCAGGGCCTGGAATCCTCTGTTGTGACTGTTCTCTGCCAGACCGGATATCAGTGCAGCCTTGACCTCAACAGTAGGCTTTACAGTCAGGGTGGAGAATCACTGAGTTGAGAGATCTCTAAGGATAGTCCCTTTTGCTCCTGGGGTTTGTGGAGCAAACCAAACATTGGGTTTGGCTGGGGAAGAAGGCCTTTCCAAAGCAGCCAGTTCTCTGGCCCATGGTGACTACAGCCATTTTGTTCCACCACTGCTGGAAAGGCTGGGCAGGGATATAAATAGAGTGGAAGGATTGCCTGAGCACAGAAGTACTGACACCAGTTGAACAGTTGTGATTGTTTTTTGTATTTATTTAGCACAATCCAGGGGCTCCCGGAGGAGTCAGCCTGGGCTTGTAGACTATAACCCACAAGTAGCTATCCTCAGATGACCTAAATGAAGCCGTGCTGATGGAAGGACCCAGAGGCTGCAGTTGAGACCTAAGATTAGCTCTGATTGTCCTAAGCTCCAATATCATACTAAGGTTCAGTGTCCACAAGTCTCAGGAAGCTGCTAGGAAAATTCATAGGATTCCTTTGATGTTCTTGGGATCCTATCTTACTGGAGAAATTGCTTTAGCCAATGAGCAGTAATAAGTTTGGTATCTCATTGAAGGTCAACAGAGCTTAATGGCTTCTTTTAAAAAGAAGCCAGCCTGCCAAGCAACAGAGTCCAGGCTGACCGCATTTTGGATGTAATGCAGGTCAACATGCACATTTCCTGGGCAGTAATTATTCTAGGCTAAGAAGAAAAATGATTTCTGTAGGAACTAGTAATAGTGACAAGGACAGCAAATACACCCTGCCTGACTGTGATCCCCAGAAGGCTCAAATTCTGTTCCACAGAAGGGTTGCTAGTAGCAGGACGTGCCTCAGTAAGGGCTCCACGAGCTGCTGGGCCTCCTTCACTCTCTAGGACCATCCAGCCCAGGCTTATCAGACGGGGCATGTTTGTTGCCCCCATCTACATAGATCCTACAACAGCAGTGAGGGCAGAGGTCAGCAGAAGAAGGAATAGTGCAAGAATCCCTGGGTCAGGAAGATCCCCTGGAGAAGGGAATGGCTTCCGACTCCAGTGTTCTTGCCTGGAGAATTCCATGGAGACAGGAGCCTGGTGGGCTACAGTCCATGGGATCGCGAAGAATCGGGCACGACTGAGTGACTGACTCTTTCTTAGAACCAAAAACATCTCTAGAAAGTCCTTTGGTAAGCTAATGATTCTAGCCTTGTAACTAACTTCTTTCTCATTTTATCTTTGTAAGTTATGTTTTATTGTCATTTTACTCTCCTTGTTTAGTCCCGTGATGTGTACGTCATCAACTAGATTTTACTCCAAAGCATTGTTCTTTTGGCTCTTACAAAAATCAAGCACTGGTGTACCCCATTTTTGTCCCTGTCAAGCAGGAAGTCTCCACCATGGTTCCACCTGGCTCCCACCCCCCATGCTCACGTCACAGGGAGCATCAGTGTCTCAGGGCTCTGAGAGCTTTCTGACAGGTAGGACCTGGCATAAACCTGCATCTGAGCCAGTTACAGTCTAAATATTCAAACATGGTTTCAAGGGTGCCAGTGATAGAGGAAGAATAACCGAGAAACATCACCTGTCAGTCCATCCTCATCTCCACAGCAGGAGCTATGTTTCAGGCATACGGGTCTGCTTGGCCTGGCCGCGTGCTGTCCCCCCGCCCCCCTCAGTTGCTCAGTTCAGCTGCAGCAAATGGAATAAGGCCAGCAGAGGTAGCCGTTTGCCTTGTAAATGGCAAGGACAGAGGGGAAAGCAGTGGCAGCCAGATCCGTACTACGCAGGGCTGCCGGGACTCTCGCCTGAGCAGACTGGAAACCAACAGCTAGCCTCAAGGTCAATGTACTGTGCCGTTCTCCTGCTGGGTCCTCCCCAGAGCACTAGGCTGCTCTTTGACCTTCCCTGAGCACAGAGGCCGTTTATTGCTCCAGCTCTGTCAGCTTGAGTCCTCTGGACCATCTGCCTGTGTTGCTTCACAAATGTGATTATCCGCTAATCTGCATGGAGACAGGAAAACATCCAGCCCTCCCGTCTTGGGGGAGTTTCTTTTTCTCTTCATTTTACCCATGAACAGACACTGACGAGGATTGTACATTTTGCATGAAAAGGCCAGTTCTTCACAATTAACCTTTTTTGTCAGTTCTGCTTATCAAGCAAGGAGCTTGTAAATGTCTCTGTCCTCTGACTACTGATCTGTTCCACTGGGGAGGTCAGCCTGCTTCCCCTGACCTTGACTTCCCTTCCACTGTTGCCCTTGCATTCTGATCCATCTGGACATGTGGCCAAACCTTACCTGAATTCTCCCATAGTAAGAGAAGAAGTGAAAAGTGGGCAGAAATCCTATTCCAGAAAGATTGATGTTGTACTGTATAGCACAGGGACTCTGCTCAATGTTATGTGGCAGCCTGGATGGGAGGGGAGGTTGGGGGAGAACGGATGTGTGTGTATGTATGGCTGGGTGCCTCCACTGTTCGCCTGAAACTATCACAACATTGTTGGTTGGCTATACTCCAATACAAAATAAAAAACTTGCTTTTAAAAAAGGCTGAGGTCACCCACAGCCTAGCCTGTGATGACCCCCCTACCAGGAAGCATAGGGCTGTGGAACCTCTCTCTTCCTCCCTCTAAAGACACGTAAATGCCTAACACCACTGTCAGAGTGAATCTGGTCAGGCAGACAGAGGTCACCAGAGGGCTTCTGAGGAGCGCCTCCAGCCACGCACTCTGGCCCAGCCGTGAGGCAGGCAGAGCAGTAGGGTCAGGGTGCCCTCAGTCCCCAGAGAGGAAAACCGAGACCCAACCCAAACCCAACATGGCATAACGTGAGGTCTTAAGAAGTGTGTAGTTGGAATGATGGTCTGCGGACCCAGTTGCAGAGGAATTGCTGCTAGAGGAGTTGGTAAATGCCCACGAGGCGCTGGGCAGCGTTTAGACTGCTTCTCCCAGCTGACAAAAGTCATCCTACAAAAGCACACATCTTACCACCTTCCTGTTGTCAGTTACCTGGTGGCTCCCATAGCGGTACTCGTGGACACACACCAGCAGCCCCTTCGTTGCCTCCCACCAGTGCTCCACAAGCACCTTCCTTCTAGCCGTGCCTTTTCCTGTCTTGGCTTGTTGCCCTGGTTGTCACTGTATGCACATAGATTGACCCCACTTCTCTACTCCGCTGGGTGGCCCAGGTGGACCTTCCAGGACTGTCTCCAGGCGTGGCTGTTTTCCACAGTCCCACCCCCGTCCCCCCACTAGCATCCCTTCCCGTGTGAAAAGCCCTGCCTGCCCACGAGCTTCCTGCAGTTCCCACGCCAGCCGCCGCCACACCACTGCTGTCCTTCACCCTTCTTGACCGTGCTTTCCCTTAGGGCAGAGTAGCGGGCAACGTGCTCTGCCCCAGGCCTGCCCCAGGGGCTCCCAGGTTGAGGAGCTGAGGGTGGGCGGCTGCAGGCAAGGCATGGCGTGTGCTCTCCCCTTTGTGGCAGAACAAAGAGTATGTGTGCCGGGGCCACGACTACGAGAGGCTGGAGGCCTTCCAGCAGAGGATGCTCAGCGAGTTCCCGCAGGCCGTTGCCATGCAGCACCCCAACCACCCTGATGACGCCATCCTGCAGTGTGACGCCCAGTGTATCTTTTGACCCATGGAGGGGAGGAGGGCTGGGACCGTGGGAGGGGAGGCCCACCCAGTTGACTGCCCTGCTATGATGCTGTTGGCTGCTGGTGGCCAGGTTACCCACCAAGTCCCAAAGCAGAGTGTGTCCACATCACTCACTGACCCTTAAAGGGGCACTTGAGCCTCACAGAGGAGGCAGGGGTTTGCCCTTAGCCCTGGGGGGCCTGGTCATCAGCTAGCTTTTCTCCCTCTGGTGAGCTACTGCCGGTACCTTAGTCCCCACCCCGCCCATGAAGAGTCTCCTGGCACCCAGCCGCAGACTCTATGGATTCTCCCAGTGTCCACAGGGACGCTCCACTTCCATTCCCCGCTGCACCCCCACGTGTGTCTGTTGATACCCCGAGCCTTTGTCAGGACTGAGGCACGGGTTGGGGCGGATGGAGTGGGGAGGAAGATGGGGAATTCCTGTGTTCTTAGGGGTACTTGGAATTCTGAATGCAAACACTGGCCTGCCCCTCCTTCCCAGCACTCAACTTCCATGACAGTCACTGTGGCTGTGGCAAGCTAGTCCCAGAGAGAGGAGGGTAGGCAGACGCCCATGTTCACTCTCCACAAAGATCCCAAAGAGTATCTTGTTAAAATGTTGTTTGGCAGTGAATACTGTGTAGTTTACCTGCAGTGGGCCGGCCTAGGCCCTTGCACCTTTTTCATTCCTATGGGGTATCTTCCTGACCCCTTTTCCTTCCTTCTTAAAGGGGCACTGGGGGACCCCTGGCTGCTGATACCTCACCTTGGCTGAGGGCTTGGGGCACTCACTGCTGGAGCAGGGTGGGGCTGGAAAGGCAGAGTCAGCCGAACTGTGTTTGGTCCCTTCTGCTCTTTGAAATTCTGCTGCCACCCTTTTGAAGGGCTCTGCTGGTCTCCTCTCCCTTGGCAGGGGTGATGGGTCAGCCACTCTGGTCCGTCTCTCTTTCACGTCCAGTTTCCCTTCACCTCCTGCCCAGACCTACAGATCTATGCAGTGACGCCCATCCCAGAGTATGTGGACGTCCTGCAGATGGACAGGGTCCCAGACCGTGTCAAGAGCTTCTACCGTGTCAACAACGTCAGGAGGTTCCGGTATGACCGGCCTTTCCACAAAGGCCCCAAGGACAAGGAGAATGAATTCAAGGTGAGTGCATCTAGGGGAGCGGGGTCAGTGCTCACAGCGAGGCTGGGGCCGGCCCCGCTTTCTTGGGAGCTCATCAGTGACTCCCCTGGGGGCAGGTGGGGTGTGGGAAGAATCGCCTCGTGGCCTGAACCTGCCTGTACCCTCCCCGCAGAGCCTGTGGATCGAGCGCACCACGCTGACCCTGACCCACAGCTTGCCGGGCATCTCTCGGTGGTTTGAAGTGGAGAGGAGGGAGCTGGTGAGATGCGATTCAGAGGGGCTAGTTTAACAGTGCTTCCTCAGTTCCTTGCTTGGGGGGCCATCCTCTAAGGAAGGAAAGAGAAGGAGTTCTTCAGCCACCTGCTGCCTGGCCGGGGAGCCACAGGCAGTCCAGTGCTGGAGGCTTTGCTCACCTTCCTTCTCTCCTTTAATCTCCACAACACCCCTAGGCAGCAGGCATTTTTGTTCCCCCAGTTTACAAATGCAGAAATTATTCCCTGAAGCTCAGGAAGCCAGAGACTTCTGCATTCAGAACTGATGTTGTTTAGTATTCACTGTACTTCCGAGTGCCTACAGATCAGAAGAGGAAATTAGAAAGGGTCCAGGGAGCCTCAGGTCCACAGGAACCAGAGTGGGGACTCACCGGCACGGGTCACAGCCCCTTGCTGTCAGGCCTGTGAGGAGGGAGGGATTGTCATTGGGCCTGGGCTGACACCACGTGCTGTGTGCCCCCAGGTGGAGGTGAGCCCCCTGGAGAATGCCATCCAAGTGGTTGAGAACAAGAACCAGGAGCTGCGGGCCTTGATCAGCCAGTATCAGCACAAGCAAGTGCACGGCAACATCAACCTGCTAAGCATGTGCCTGAACGGCGTCATTGATGCTGCCGTCAACGGAGGCATTGCACGCTACCAGGAGGTAAGCTGGCCCAGCCAGACCTGGCCAGGGACGTGGGTCTCAGTGCCTCTTCCCGAGGTTCAGCCTCTTAGAGCAGCCTTCCCAGCACACGCTCGCTGGCTGTGCCTTGCCTGACCGAGCATGGTCCCGAATAGTATGTGTTAGCCGCTCAGTCATGTCCGATTCTTTGCGACCCGTGGAATATAACCTCCCAGGCTCCTCTGTCCATGGGATTTTCCAGGCAAGAATACTGGGGTGGGTAGCCATTCCCTCCTCCAGGGGATCTTCCTGACCAAGGGACTGAACTGGGTCTCCTGCATTGCAGGTGGATTCTTTCCTGTCTGAACCACCAGGGGTGAGGCTTTAGGCTCCCCGTCGTTCCCTGTCTCCATGACTACAGCTCTCCCGTGGGAACGTTTCTTCCTTTTTATTCTCTGAACTCTGACAGAATGGGTAATCCATCTGATCATGGAAGGAGCCCTAGAGCCCAGCCTTTGACAAGGAACGAGTTGTGGCCTGGCTGGGAGACTAACCCCCTCATCCTGGCCACCAGCCCTGCCTGCCCTGCCCAAGCCAGTTGGGACCAGCATTCAGGCTTAGATTACTTGGCCACCTTCAGTCCTCCTTAGACGTAAAAAGCACACATGTGATTTCAAGAGGTTCAGCGGGCTGTGCTAGAGGCGCACTGGTGTGTGCCCCTGTTAGGCAGCCCAGATGCCTTCCAGGTGGCACCTCAGACTGAGTGGTCACCCTGGGAAGTCTTCCGGACTTGGCCGTTTCTTTCACAGGCCTTCTTTGATAAAGATTACATCACCAAGCACCCAGGAGATGCTGAGAAGATAACTCAGCTCAAGGAGCTCATGCAGGAGCAGGTATGCCTTGCCAGAGTTGTGTGGAGGCACTACAGGGTAGCTGCAGCACCCATCATCTGCTCCCGAGCTAACAGCATGGCCTTGTTTATCACCCTGATAGGTCCATGTCCTTGGAGTTGGGCTGGCAGTTCATGAGAAATTTGTGCACCCAGAAATGCGCCCTCTGCATAAGAAGCTGATTGATCAGTTCCAGATGATGCGGGCCAGTCTCTACCATGTAAGCTGAGCCCTGTCCTGGCCCCACTACAGTCTAACCAGTGTCACCTCCTCCAGGCCTGGGACCTGTGCAGCAAATCAGAAGAAAGGGGTGGGGAAGGGAGTGGGGAGAAGCAAGACTGAAGGAAGATCTGTTCCCGCCACAGAACAGCATGAGGCAGGGGCGGGTGGTTGAGCCAGGAGGAAGATGCCAAGAACCCCCTTATCCACTTTCCCCTTAAGGAGGAGCCATATTCAGGACAGAAAACGTGTTTTTCAATGCACTGTGCTGGTGAACAGCGGTTTTCACATGAGGAGGAAAAGAGCTAAAGTGTATGGCCCACATACAGGAATCCCTTCAGGGATACTTTTCATCCCAGGAACCTACAGAAGTAAGGCTTAGCTGGACCAGCCTTCTCTCGTCCGTCTCCCTCCCTCTCCATCCCCTTCCCCTTTAGCTCCCTGCTTCCCCTCCCTCCCTCTTCCTCCTGTCTGGTGATCCAGGCTCCCACCTGAGAAAGCCTGGGGTGGCAGTACTTTTGTACTGGCTTCTCTTTGAGGGCCCAGGCAGATCCTGGGGCTGGCCCAGGCCCTAGAAGATCTCCCTGACTCTGGCCTGGCTCCTCAGTCTCACTAGCAGGGTTTGACCCAAGGACTGATGCACACGAGCAGAAGCAAGGCCTGTATCCAAGACTGGTTTTCCTCCAGGGGTCTTACAGGGAGTGCTAGCTGTCTGAGAGTAGGGTTCAGGTGGTCTTTTTTTTTCCCCTTTGGCCGAGTTGGGTCTTGGTTGCAGCATGTGGGATCTTTGTTGCAGTGCATCATGTGGGATCCTTCATTGCAGCTCATCGACCGTCTAGTTGTGGCGTGCAAGCTCCAGAGATCATAGGGCTCAGTAGATGCCTGCGCAGGCTTAGTGGCTCTGCAGCGTTTGGGATCTTAGTTCCCAGACCAGGGCTAGAACTCATGTCCCCTGCACTGCAAAGCAGATTCTCAACCACAGACCATCGGGGACGTCCCTAGGTAGTCTTGAGCTCACACCTCTGGTCTCTGTATGTGAACTCCCCATCACAGCAGGTGACTCAGGCAAGCTAGAGCCTGCCCCCTGGGGGACTGGGAACTCCCTAGTGTGCAGGCTGTCAGGTCACTGCAGGAAAAAGCACAGAACGCTCACTCACGTGTCTCAGGGTCTCCACGGCACACATGGAAGTGTCCTGTCCAACAAAAGCACATTTCCACCTTCTACATGCTTTGGAAGAAGCAGGTGGAAAACTTACTGCTTTTTTCAGACCAAGCTTAGAAACATCCCCAATAGATGTAGGAACCACAGATTGTGAAGGGCTTCTGGAAACATGAGCAGTTATGTTTTGTTTCCTCAGAGTTGCAAATAGTGACACAAACCAATGTGCTGTCCCCCAGGAGGATTTGGGACCAAAAGTTTCTGCCAAGATGTCTACGTACTTAATTTAATTATGCTAAAATAGAAGCGTGCTGTTTTCAGTTATCTGCATCAGGATTTTGTGTCCTGACACCCCACAGACTGTGTCACAGACAGCTTAACCAAGGTCACTAAGAGTGGGGCCATTTAGCAGTCCAGTAAAACTCCAGTCCTTATGTCAGAGGTGCCCACTGCCTGACAGGTGATCACCAGCTCTTTCTCTCCTGTTCCCCAGCTCTTCTTCCACTTTTTCTCCAGTGAAAAAGCCTGTTAATACATTTTATGAACTCAGACCAACTCCACAGCCTACTCCATATGTGCTCTCAGGGGTCCACCTAGGCCTCATGGCCTCTGGTCTAGGCTGTGTTGTGGTTAGGAGGGTACTTTAGTCATGGCAGGGTGACTGCCCAAAAGAAGGCAGGAGTTTAAGGTTCAGCCAATAGTATATGATTCTTTTTTTTCTTTTATATTCCTGCTACCAGCCTGCCTCTTCTCTTTTACCCCTTAATTACTTGGGGGGAAAAAAAGTGAAGTGAAACTGTTAGTCACTCAGTCGTGTCTGACTCTTTGTAACCCCATAGACTGTAGCCCACGAGGCTCCTCTGTCCATGGGATTCTCCAAGTGAGAATACTGGAGTGGGTTGCCATTCCCTTCTCCAGGGGATCTTCCCGAGCCGGGGATCGCACCTGAGTTTCCTGCATTGCAGGCAGATTCTTTAACGTCTGAGCTACCAATTACTTATCTATTCCCAATTATTTATTATGAAGGGGCACTCATGTCTCAACAGGAGTTTCCGGGTTTGGACAAGCTAAGTCCTGCATGTTCGGGCACCAGCACCCCACGGGGAAATGTCCTAGCATCCCATAGCCCCATGAGCCCAGAGAACATCAAGATGACCCATCGGCACAGGTATGGCCTTAGGGCTGAGGAGGGTCCCCTCCACAAAGGTAAGTCTGGACGTCAGAGGTCAGAGCAAGGGCGTCCAGAACACTGATTGTGTGCACTCACGTGCCCCCTCCCCCACACACACAGAAAACACACAGCTCCTGCCACAGGATCTGCACTCCACATCTGGTCATCCAGGGTGACAGAGGAGTATACATGGGCATCGGGGTGAGTCCTGAGGGGTGAGTAGAAGTTTGCTGGGTGGAAAAGAACTGGTGTTAGGAAGATGACGGAGCAAGATCCAGGCAAAGTCACGAACATGTGCAAATGCCTCAAGATTCTCATGCAGGCCAGTGTGGTCAGTACTGCAGGTAGAGCCAAGTGGCTACAGTGCAGGATTCCAGGGCCTGGAAGGGGGCCAGGATTTCTCTGGATGGGCCCTGTTCACTCAGGCCTTGGGACCTGATCCCAGGGGAGCGAGGATCCCCAGTTGGCTTTCAGGAAGAACAGCATGGTGGTGAAGGCCTCAAGGTGTGTCTGCTCTGCACTCAGCAGACCTGTTACCGGGGCTCTGCAGGGGAGGCTCCAGGTCGCCAGGGCAGGAAGGCCAGGCAAGCGAAAAACCTGGAGAGGGGCCCTCACCGGGATTTGTTTTCCACTGTGACCAGGAAGTCAGCACAGGGTGGGCACTCAGCAAATGAGAAGGAGCAAATGAATGGGGGGAGCTGCTTAGAATTGACAGAAAAGAACTGCTGGCAAGGCTGTGGCCACAGCCATGGAAGGAGGCCAGCAGATGGTTCACAGGCAGCTGCTGTGACAGCTTCCCCAAGTCAGGAAGACACCCTGAGCTGGGAGCAGATCCCAGTGCAGAGTGGGTGCCGGCTTAAGTACACAACCCGTGGCTAGGAAGACCTGGGGTCCTTCACCTGATTCAGTTTGTCTCCTTCATTCCTCCTGAGACACTGCTGACATCATCAGACTAAGTGGCCACAAACCATTTAACTCTAGGTCAAGGCTCTGCCTGGCTACTGTTGGCCCTCCCACACCAGGGGCCCCCGAGCAGCAGGGTGGGGTTCAGGACAGCTCCAGGCCTCAGGCAGGTATGAAAATTGGCTGTGGAACCTTCCCAACCAGAGAGGCTGAGGCTTGGGGATGACTGTTTTACACACACCCATCTGTGACTCTTGCCCCCACTGCCTAGCAAAGCATCTCAGCTCCAGCCCTGACTCCTGGCCATCTCCCACTCTTGTCCGCAGCCCCATGAACTTGATGGGCACTGGCCGCCATTCATCGTCCTCCCTCTCCTCACATGCATCTAGCGAAGCTGGGAACGTGGTGATGCTGGGCGACAGCTCCATGGGCGAGGCTCCTGAAGACCTGTACCACCACATGCAGGTACCAGCGCAGTCCAGGAAGAACGGGCCAGGGCACCGTACCCGGAGGACTCAGCTCTCTGCTGGCTGGTCTAGCCTGAGGACTGGCGTTGCTGCCTAGTTCTCCAGTTTCTGAATTCAGAATACCCAGAGCTAGCAGAATAGCCTTCCCTCCACACCTCCCTGTGTTGCACTTCCCAGGCCTTATTTCCCAAGAAGGAACTCTTCCTTCAGTCCTGGCTGCTCTTAGAGATCCCATGGGAAAGCTCCTCTGCCAAATTGCCCTCCTGCCTGGCATTCCTGATGGCTCAGTCCAGTCTCCTCCGTGGGTACCATCGCTAGAGTCTACCCAGCAGCCCTGTTCCATCGGAGTTATAGTTGACCCCTAGTGCTGGCTATCAGCCTGGCCTTCATCAGGGCAAGGGTACAGCATCAGACACTGGGTCTGGACACCTAGTGGCATGAAGAAGCCAACTCTGGGCCAGTCCTACCATCCTGGCCGTTTGGACCTCTATCCTGCTAATTTTTCTCCCTTTGCAGCTCGCGTATCCCAACCCCAGGTACCAGGGCTCAGTCACCAACGTCTCTGTTCTGTCCTCGTCCCAGGCAAGCCCTTCTTCCTCCAGCCTGAGTTCCACCCACTCAGCACCATCCCAGATGATTACCTCTGCCCCTTCCAGTGCCCGAGGTAAGGACGGCAGGGCGCTGCTTGCAGAAGGGAGAGGAGAGAGCCTCATGGGCGCCCCTTGTCCTCCTCTCATCTGTGGCTATGTCTTTGAAAGCGGCCCTGTGACTTAGTGAGTGCTCACCTGTGCTTTTAGCATCAGGGACTCGAGGGCTCTTACCTCCATATTTTTTTCTCTGGCTTCAGACCCTGCTCGGGGCAGTGGCTGCAGCTGTGCTGCAGTGAGGTAGCCAGCCAACACATCTCCACTTCAGTAAGAGGACACACAGCCCAGGAGAAGGCGCAGCTCTTTCTCACTGGAGTGTTTATGAGGATAGAGCACAAAGTTAAGGCAAAGTGAGTTTTGTCTTGGGTGATCAAACATGATGAAAAGGTATGAAAACTAAGTGTGAAGACTAAAATTAAGCCTGGAAAACATTATTCTAAGTGGTAGCAGCAGCCAAAAAAACTTTGTTCAGCTGGGAAAGGCTGAATCAGGAGAGATGGCTCTGTAAAAGGCTACTTATTATTATTGCTTGATTTCTTATTCAATTGAATAAATACTGTTCTCTGAGAGGCAGCAGCTTTTTCCGACTCTAGTTCCTGCAGTCAAGTTTGGTCCTCTGTCCTTTTAGATAGAGCTACTTGCAGTGGAATGGACATTAGCTGTGGTGACTAAGACCTGGTGCCCCCGGGGTGGACTGTGTAGCACAGCGGCAGTAGCCAGCTACCGGCTGTTGCTTCCAGGCTTCAGACAAATGGAGTCTGTTCTTCTCAATATTATGAAGACAGGGAAATAACACAGATGTTTGACATAGATGATCATTAGGGAAAAAAAAAAAAAAACAACCTCTTCTTTCAAAGCACACAAACCTGAATGAAAAGAAGTTGCTTAGTTGTGTCTGACTTTTTGCAGCCCCATGGACTGTAGCCTCCCAGGCTCCTCTGCCCATGGAATTCTCCAGGCAAGAATACTGGAGTGGATTGCCATTCCCTTCTCCAGGGGATCTTCCTTACCCAGGGATCAAACCTGAATCTCCTGCATTGCAGGCAGATTCTTTATCACCTGAGTCATCCATGACCCACAGTAGGAGTGATGAAGAGAGAGATGCAGTGGCCAGTGGGGCCATTGGGAAAAACCTCAACAGACAGCAGAAGGAGGGTTGAGGTCACAACAAGAGCAGTTACAGACTTTCCCCAACACTGGCCCAGCCCCTCATTTCCTGTGGAAGAAAACAGGTCCGATGGGGGACTTAAGTCCATCCCATCAGTTGGTGGCCAAGTAGAATTTGGAGCTTTGAGTCTTTACACTCGCAAGCCCCCAGTCCGGTGCCCATTCCACTTTGATGACTGCCTTCCCAGCGTGGACTAAGGTGCTAAAAAAGGGGAGCCAACATCTGGGAGCAGGTATTTCTAGTGTGAAAGATGATAAATGACCCACCCAATGGTACACCTGGAAGATGTGTCAGTATGTGAGGGCTGCAGACATAGAGAAGGGATGGTGATTTGTATTGGCAAAGAAGGCACATGAAAAGGTGGTTTGAGGAAGGAAACCCTGAGAAATAGGCTGTGACTGCTCTAGTGCAGGTTAGCATTTGCAGTGTCTAGTGAGAGCTCCTGAACAAAGCTGCAGACTCAGATTTTGTAATCTAATCTATTGTGTGGGTTCTTTCCTAACCTGAACACTGTCTCAGATATACTCAGCTACATCTAAGTCTTCATCTGGGTATTGTTGCTGAAGTCAGATCTCTGACCCATGATTGTTGATAAAAAGAACAATGGCAGTGAGGGGTGAGCACTGTACCTCACTTCCACTGAGCGCTCAGATACTTCCTCTAGGCAGTGCCCGGTACTCGGTGCCCTGGAGAGGACAGAGACGCCATCAGGGACCTCACAGGCTGGCTGGTACCACCTTTGTCCTTCCAGCTAACTGTCTACTGGTGTATTCACTCATCAAGCTTTTACGAGTGCTCAGTGAGAAGGGGGCATTGCTCTTGCACGATCAGAGTTGAATAGAGAGAAGTTATGTTCTCCCTATTGGAAGTAATCTTTATTTCAGATGACTTGGTTATCAGTTGTTGTTGTTGTTCAGTTACTAAGTCATGTCTGACTCTCTGTGACCCTGTGCACTGCAGCCCACCAGGCTTCCCTGTCCTGTAAAACCGCCCACCAAACCTTAGTGACTTGAAACAATTTATTATCATCTCACGTGGTTTTGTGGGTTGACAGGGCTTCCTGAGTGAGTTCTCAGTTACAGTCCCCCATGAGCTTGCTGTCAGATGTCACTGGGGGCTGGAGTCATCTCAAGACTCAACTAAACTGGACATCCAAGACAGCTCTCTCACATGGCTGGCAGTCAGCAGTGCCTGTCTGCCAGAAGTTCAGCTGAGGCTGTCAACCTGAGTCCCTACGTATGACCTCTCTGTCGCTTGAGCTTTTCACAGCATGCAGCTGACTTTGCCCAGAGCAAGCATTCCAAGACACCCAGGCAAAAGCTGCAGGGCTTCTTACTCTCCAGCCTTGAAAATCCCAGAACATCCTTTTTGCCACATTCTGTCAGTTAATGCCATCACTGAGGCCAACCCAAATAGCAGGGTAAAGAATAAGACTGCACCTCATGATGTGAGGATGACATGTGTGTGCTAGAGAGAGAAGGCATCAATCGTACCCTTGTCTGGAGATAAGCTATCATGATGGCGAAACTCCAGAATATCATATAGTGAAAGGCTGATAGAAAAGTAAACCAAATGGTTAACTAGGTGGTGGTTGGCGGTTTAGTCACCAAGTCGTGTCTGATTCTTGCAACCTCATGAACTGTAGCCCACCAGGCTCCTCTGTCCATGGGATTTTCCAGGCAAGAATACTGGAGTGGATTGCCATTTCCTTCTCCAAGGTTAACTAGAACTTGGCCCAAAGCAGGGTACTGTGATAAGAGCAGAGGCTGTTAAGAAAGAGCGGGCAGTCACTTCTAGGCTACAGCATCGATTCAATCTATGTGCAGGTCCATCCGGAGAAAACCAAGGGTCCGGCAAGTGTCAGGCCTACATGCAAGAGAAGGTAAAGACCAGACCCAGTGTCACAGAGGAAGACTGAATTTGTTACTGTTTAGTCGCATGGACTGTAGCCCGCCTGGCTCCTTTGTCCATGGGATTTCCCAGGCAAGAATACTGGAGTGGGTTGCCATTTCCTTCTCCAGGGGATCTTGCCAACCAGGGATTGAACCCATGTCTCCTGCATTGGCAGGCGGATTCTTTACCACTGAGCCACCTGAGAGGCCCAAAATGTGGTAGGTGCAGTAGTAGGTGCACGGGGCGCAGAAGAGATGGGATGGCCCACGCTGGGGTTTGTGTCTGATGTTACAGACGAAGGGAGGGCTTTCATGGAGAAAGTGTTCCAGAGAGTCCTTTCCATTGGAGTCACTTTCCCCACTCCCAGGAGTGGTCATGACGCCAATAGCTTCCTTGCTGTGCCCGTTGATGTTCTGCAGTGGTTCTTGTTGCTTTGGAAACCTTCAAGGTGAATGGCCTGCAAGGCACAGTCTTGTAAGTCGGCAGCACCCCCTGGTGGTCAAAAGGCTGAGCGAGGCTAGGAGATTTTGATTGAACCTTGAATATACTCAGGACTTCCCTGGTGGCTCAGATGGTAAAGCGTCTGCCTACAATGTGGGAGACCCGAGTTTGATCCCTGGATTGGGAATATCCTCTGGAGAAGGAAATGGCAACCCACTCCAGTACTCTTGCCTGGAAAATCCCATGGACGGAGGAGCCTGGTAGGCTACAGTCCATGGGGTTGCAGAGTCAGACACGACTGAGCGACTAAACTTTCTTTCTTTTCTTTGAATATACTCAGTCATTCTGGGGACTCAGCCTCCCTGGAGTTCACCGGACTACAACTGGAATAGTTTGGAAGTCCTGTGACACAGAAGTCATTGCGGTATTTAAATGTTTTCACAAAAGTAGCCACCACTCTCACGTACTATGGTTTTGGCCGCCTAGGGAAAATAGCAGTGGGAAGGAAGCTAGAGTTGGAAAATCTAGTGTTTGCACAGAGCACCTGACGTGGATATAAGCCCTCAGCACAGCCCTTGGGACCTGCCAGGTGCTGTCCCTCCAGCCTCGCCCCACAGCACGTATCAGGATGTTGAGTGCTTAAATCCCGGTTCGGCCTGGTGAGCCAGACTGTGAGCTCTGTCATGTCAGGGACCAGGGCCAAACTGAGCAAGGCAGCATACCATGTTCCAGCCACGTGCCTGGTACAGGATAGGTATGTGACAACGTTACATGCGGGCAGCTCTGTCCAGGGCTGTGGCCAACGAGACCCAGGGAGCCTTCAGAGTTCCTTGCTGGGAAGGCACTGTGAAAATCAGTGGGATTAGGAACCCTTTTCCTCTTTTCTTTACACAGCCATCTTCGTGAGATTTCCTCAGAGCACAAGTTCTGAAAGAAAATATTGATAGGGGAGAAAAGTCACCAAATAGTAGAAATTCAGGCCTAGTTTGTTTTTTTTTTTTAAAGCGTAGTTTACTCATCCCCTTATCAATGAAGGATGGTTTTTAAAACCAGTTCTGAGGCTCCACAAACAGTATCACTCAGACCAGCTATGGAGTAAGTTTACATTAATAATAGCTGCATTATTGGTTTCTAGTATGCTGACTTCTTCAACATACTTAAGCCTCATCTTTGGGACTAAAATGAGTATTTAAGATGCATTTCTCAAGAACTCCTGGCCACCTTTTCGGTTGTGCCCTGACAGTGCCTAGAGGGCACCCCCACAAGAAGGCCCATGCAGAGCCCGCAGAGCTGCAGGCTCACCTGTCAGAGGAGCTTCACTAAGAGAAACCACACAGAGGGAGTTTACCCACTTGAACCAGTCAGAGGCTGCCAGCGGACAAGTCGACAGGACTGGGGTCCAGTTAACTCTCCCATGAGGGATCCGGAAGACCCCACTAGTTTGACATGGACATGCCGCTGTCTGATACAATGAGATGCACATTTGGAGGGCCTTCTAAATTATATATTCCCAAGGGAAGCCTGCAAGTTTCTTCTCACCACTTCTGTGGAAGGTCCCCTTGAGGACCGCTGGTTGACAGGTTCCTGGGTGTGTGACCATGGCCTGCATCGATGGGGACTAAGCCACACCACATCTGGCTTCTGTAACAGCCCCTCAGTCCTGAAGGGGTCTCGTAAGCGAAGAGCACGAACCAAGTCAACTCGGGAGCCTGGGTTAAGGCCCCACAAGTCCCAGAGTAGCTCCATGACTCCCGCGTTCACTGGAGGGCAAGTCTCAGAGTGAGGAGCCCCGGAGAGCCCCCTGTGTGCAGGGCCCCGGGCCCCGAGCCGCTTGGGCCGAGTCTGCAGTAAGATGGCCAGGAAGGCAGAGGCCAGGCACAGGAGGCCTGGAATCTGGGGAAAGGTGGTAGGGGCCAGCTGAGACAGGGCCAGTGGTGTCTGGAGAAGGTAAGTGTGTGGAAACCGTGTCCAGTAAAAACTGTGCCTCTCTGTTACCTGAGTGTGTTTGTTTCTGTGTGATGGCTCCATTGCAAGCTGGCCTGGGCCCACGCCTGGGCCCTGAGAGAGCCCAACACCCAGGCCACCCCCATTTCCCCTGAGTGCCGGAGACGCAGGGTTCCCAGGGCCCCAACTCCAACCCCCAGCTCTCCTCATGATCTACCCCCGAGCAGGGATATGGGGCCGCGTCAGCGAGTCCACATCACCCTAGTCTGCAATGTGCCTGCCTCGGCTGGGATGCCCAGTACAGCCCCCTCCTCCCCCACCACCACCTAACCGCCAGGCTCCACTTCACTTCTCCTGTGCTTGCCGAGCTCATCCTCACCCCAGCTGCAAGGAGATGCCGACCCTGGGTCGCTGGCTCCCCGGGATGCATGCCCTCTGGGCCCTCCGTCTGTGGCGTGTCATCTGTGCGTGATTGTTCTCACTTGGTTACAGGCTCTCCCTCTCTGCCAGATAAGTACCGCCATGCCCGGGAAATGATGCTGCTGCTGCCCACGCCCCGGGACCGCCCGAGCAGCGCCATGTATCCAGCAGCCATCCTGGAGAACGGACAGGTAAAGGAGCCAGCCCACTGACCGCCCTTTGCTGCTACTGTGCTGGCCTGAACGCCCCTCATTGCACTCGCTAGGCTTTCTGCATTGTCCATGCCTTCCTCATGCTGCCGTGAAGACCCTCCTGGATGGGAGCGGCAGTGAATGTGGGGACCAGCATCTGTACTCAGTCCAAACAGAGTACAGCTAGGAGCAGAATGGCGGCGGGGTTGGACCCAGCACTGTCTGTGTGGCTATCTGTCCTTTTGGCCAGCCTCTTGAACTCATCTAAAAACAACCTGGCAGAGAAAACTGGTTCTTTTCTGTCCAGAGAAGGCAGTGGCAGACATGGATCTAGAGACTGGCCTTCCTCCATGTGTGCATGAAGGACATCCCCACAGGGGCAAGCTCTGCCCCTTCCATCCATCTGTCCATCCATGCATCCATCTGTCTGTCCATCCGTCTGCCCGAAGCCCCTCTCTTCCCGCTGGGACCCTCCCCACACAATTTGCAGAGCTCTGCAGATGTCCCGTATGGGGCCTTGAACAGGAAGCTGCAGCAACTAGCTCCTTCCCCCATCCAGTCTACCCTGCCCTTCTCTCAGGGGCCATGAGGGTCACCTCCAGTGACCGTTACCCAGTCCCAGAGTGCCAGGACCTTCTCAGCTCCATGTGCCTGGGCAGTTCTGCCAAGTGGAAGGAACAGGTCTGCCTGGCAGCTACTCACAGAACAGCGGGTCATGTCTGTGACCTCAGGCCTGAGTGCTGCCCTTCCCCTCACACGGGCCTGTGCGTGCGGGGCGTCTCTAGGAGGCCAAACCTGCCAGGGCTCAGGGCTGCGACAGGTCCCCGTATCCTTCCTACCCATGGGTCTCCTGGCAGGACAGGAGGATGCAGTTAGATGCCCTCAGGTGCTGGTGTCCTCCTTGTTAGCCGTGTGCGGAACAGCCTGGAGCCCAGCCAGGCGCGGGGGGTGGTAGGGGAGCCCCAGACACTGCACAGTCGCACAGGGAAGGACTCGGAGCCAGGCAGCATGGACGGCGTTCCAACCAGCCTGACATTCTCAGCACATCTCAAGCATGAACTGTCCCACTGCTTTGATTTTCCTGGTCTGATCCTAGAATGCCCTGGCTCCTGGGGCCCATGACACCCCCAAGATGTAACTGATTGTTGTCACCTTTTGATACGTTTCTCCTTCCCTCAGCTGCCAAACTTCCAGCGGGCCCTGTTCCAGCAAGTGGTTGGAGCCTGCAAACCCTGCAGTGATCCCAATCTGTCTGTGGCCGAAAAAGGTACGCTTCCTCTTCCCAGGTGGCAGCCTCTCCTGTCTGTCCCTATCCTGAGCGTCTGCCTCTTGTCCCTAAGCACCAGCTGGCCAAGGTTGAGCCATACTTTTAACACCCAGGCCAGTCTGTCTGTCCAGAGTCCTGACCAGTTCCTGTGTTCATCATTTAATCCATGTTTGGCTTGATGCTGAGGTCTAGATCTTGTTTGTTTGTATCTTCGGCTCCCCAGGGCCCACCCTCTGAGACTCCCCCAGCTGCCACCTGCCCTGAGCTCACCTTCATGGAAACTCAGTGGGCACCCACTCCCCAGGGCTCCTCCCCACCAGCCCCAGAATTCAGCAAGCCCTGTGGCTTTGGTCCCTCTCCACTCAGGCCCACGCAGACCTCTCCTTGTTGTTCAGAACAGACCTGTGGCCAAGCACGTCACCAGGAATAATGAGAAGGACAGGTCATGGCAAAGTGAATTTCCCAGAGACAGTCCCAGGCACCCTGCGGGACTTCAGTCCTCCTTAGCCACCCAGGCCCGCAACAGCTGAGCATCCCTTTTCCACGCTGCAAGTCCATCAGCTGTACCATGAAACCAGGCAGTACTTAGAACAGAGGCTGGTTACAAAGAGTGGAGTTCTACTCTACGATCTGCTCCAGCCAGCTGATGGAAGAACCAGATGTGGGCCCATATAACCCCAAGCCAAAGTCCCAGACATGAAGACCTGAGTTCCTTTTAACACAGGACAGTGCCCGTGTGGGGCCTCTGCCCAGCCCACCTGCCACGCACAAGCAGGCCGAGCATATTGGCCCTCTCCCTGCAGGTCCCCCTCCCCCTCCTCTGCCTGGTAAGTTGAGGGCACTCTTAGGCCCTAGCAGTACGACCTGCTGGCCCATCTGGACGTGTCCCTCCAAAGTCGCTGTCATGTGGTCATCACACCTCCTCACCACGTGCCGTCTGCTGTCTGCTGTCCCCACTGTCACTGCTCCTCCTTTGCTCAGTGTGGAGGACGCGCCTCCCCATCCCGTTTGAGACCATACCCGGCTCCATGACCTTGGTGCCTGGGAGGCCTCAGTGCCGGGCGCTCGACCACAGCGGGCGTGAAGATAAGGTTCTGGCTGAAGACGCCTTCTTAGCCTCAGAGTTGCACATCCCCAAAACACGTGGCTTTCCTGGACCCCTGCACTTGTGCCCCCAAACCGAGCGCTCTTGTGGCCTTGAAGGCCGGGAACCACAGCAGCTTCTCTTTGCTTGAGTTGTGGAGCAGTCGCAGATCTAGCCAAGAGCTCAGAGCTCAGATCTAGCAGACGGGCTCAGATCTCAAGTGGGTGCTGGCGGCCAGACCAGGACCTGACGCCCACCAGACCCAGAAGAGCTTCAGGCTTCAGACCGAGCTGCAGCAAGAAGCCTGGATACGCCCACCCACTGTGTGTGGGGAGGAAAGAGGGTTGTCTCAGAGCCAAGGCTGAGCCCAGAGCAAGCACATTTGAGCCACAGGCCAGAGCTTAGTAGGCAGTGGGCTAGAAATTTGCCTTGGGGGACCCAGAGCCAGAGTTATAACTCCCCAGGTCTCTGCTGGCTCCTCCAGAGCAGGAGCTGTGGGCACTTGTAACCATTCTCTCATCGTCGGGATCTTGAGTCCCATGAGGGTTCCACTTCTCACCTTCATGGATCTCTTTCCCAGGCAGTGACTCCCAGACCAGGCCAGCCGACCCTCAAGGCTGCTGTGCACAGGGGAACTCAGACTGGTGGTGGTCCACAGCAGAGAGAGAAAAGGCCAGGACACAGGGGGCATTGCCGCTCTTCTCCTAGGATAGGTGCTGCATCTGAGATTCTCCACTAACCCCTATGTACTGGTGTGTGTGCGTGCGTACTCACTCACGGCCGACTCTTTGCAACCCCATGGACTTTCGCCCGCCAGGCTCCTCTGTCCATGGGATTTTACAGGCAAGAATACTGGAGTGGGTTGCATTTCCTTCTCCAGGGGATCTTCCCGACCCAGGGATCAAACACTTCATCTTTTGCATTTCCGGCATTGGCAGGCAGGTTCTTTACCACTGAGCCACCCAGGAAGCCCTGGTGCTGTATGGCAGAGGTTCACTGGCCTCACTGGTCGACAGGAGGCCGAGGGTAAGCTGGATGATTTCTGGTTGATGTGGAGTGAACTCTGGCGGGTGCCTTTTGTAAACCACTGCAGCCTTACCAGCTTTCTCCCCCTCTAGCGTTCCTGCCTGCTGTTTCCTTTGGGCGCTTGAGGGTGAATTTGTGCAGTCCCACTCTTCTTCTAGGGCCAGGATGTGCACATGAGCGCTCACTCAGGCTGTCAGAGCCCCTCTGAGGAAGCTTCCCAGACGTGCCTCCAAGCTTCTTACTCCTCGAGGTGTGATGGCTTTTCGTGGAGATGGAACTTTTCCTTTGCAGGAGAGGGCGCCTCAGTGCTGAGGACCAGGAAGCTCCTGCCGCATCTTGGGGAGAGCCTGTATGAAAGTAGGCCTGTCCTGGTCTCAGGGTGGCTCAGGCTGTCTGGGGAAGGCTTTCTGGTGGAATCCATCTAGCACTCACCAGACAGAATGCCTGTCCACCCAGTCACTGCCTCTCCTCCCTTCCGCCCCCGCCGCTGTCAGCCAGTCTGTGAGACTAAGCCACGTTCCTGAGACAGGAGGCTGTGAGGCAGCTGAGTTCTAGCCTGACGTTCTTCACCAGCGAGGAGGACCAGGGTGGACATCTCCCAGCACCTCATCTTCGACCATGTGGGGCCCAGCCCCTCCTGGCCACATCCTCCTAAAAGGCCAGGCTCCTTCCTTCCCAGAGCCTCTCAGGTGCCCTTTAGGCAATGAAATTGCATTCCTGACTCAGGACCTGGAGTTGGAAAAGCCCAGTCCCCAGCCTCCTCAACGCCCCCTTTAGCTGTGACTGCCTCACAACAAAGCCAGTGGGTCAGCCTCTTGTCTCTCAATACTGAGAGCTCCGTCAGAAAAAGGGCATAGTTCTCATCAGTGGCAGTGGTTCTCTAGCAGTTGACCAGTGGCATTCACATATCTGCTGCTGCTCCTCAGACCCGGCGGTCCAGCCATTCCACCTCTCCCCTCCCCTCCTACAAAGTCCTTCACCTCCACTGTCGCTGAAGGGCCACTGTTCCAGCCCTGGACTCCTTCCCATGCACGGATGGGCACCCTGTGTTACTCTTCATCCAGGGCCCACTCTATCCACAGCATCCACGACGTGTGGGGGCCAGTAACTGGGCCTCTGTATGCTTCAAAGCACCCAGGGGCTCCACCGCCCTCCCTCCTCTCTGGAAGCAGAGGTCCCTGCTGGACCCAGCCTGACCCCTGGCTTCATATTCTTTGCTGCAGCAGGCACCGTATGAACACCAGTCCTGCCTAGAAAACTCCCGAGCATCCCAGGCCCAGCCAGTGGGCTCAGAAGCAGCAGAGTTAGGCAGAGCTTATAGTTTACCACAGGCTCTTTAAGGGCCCAGGCCGTGCACCAGCTGTGGACACAGGCATCTTCTGCTGCCCACCCATCCTGCTCCCTGCTTCCCCATGGGGCCAGGCCCTGGGAGAGCCCTGACTCTTGACTTTGGTCAGAAGCGGCAGGGGTGTGCGGGCACACCTGTTCTCGCACGTGCTCACTCACCTGCACTCTCCCTCTCCCTCTCTTCTGTCAGTCTTACCAGCCTGTTCCACACTCCTCACCTCTTCTGTTCTCTTTTCTCCTCCTGGCAAGGCCGGGAGGCTGCCTCCTTGCTCTTCCTTCCTCTTGGCTTGCTCCTGCCAAGTACTCTTAAGACAGCAGCTGACTCAGTAGCCATCCTCTTCAGTGGCGTCTGCCCCGGCCACTCTCCTCATGGGCCACCACCATGTCTTGCTTGGCCAGTGTTTTCTGTCTCAGGAGCTGGCATGCCATGCCTGTGTGCTGTACCAAGTTCACACCTGGAGAAGTCCCAGGCAGTAGTAGAGGACTTCCCCCCTCAGAGGCTGGCTTGAGAAGTAACCTCCCTTCATGCCATCTGTTTTCGCCCTTCAGCGGTGCCAGCAGCCCCCAGCAGCTGGAGCCTGGATAGCGGAGCCCGAGAGGCCCAGCCCTTCCTGTCTGCCCACACGGGGTGCATCCTGGCCCCCCCAGTGCCTCCCCGAAGCCTGCTGCATGGTAAGAAGACCTCCAGCGGGTCCCCCAGGTAGTCCCCAGTCTCAGATCCTGCTCAGGGGTGAGGGCAGGAGCCCTCCGGGCTGAGAAGACCAGCCGACTCCACTGAGGAAAGAACCCCCCCACCGCAGCCTTGGGGTCAGTGAGGTCTCCAGGTGCAGCAGGTACACTCAGTAAGGCCTTTCTGACCGCGGAGGCTGAAGACGTCGGAAGTGACTGTGCCCAGCGCGACTCCCCAGGCTGTCATCGCCCACAGCAGGCAGAGGTCCGCTGCTGTCTGTGGTCTGTCATTCTCTGGGCTCTGATGCGCTCGGACTTCTCCATCTCCTGTGTGGCATGGGTGTCTTTACTCCAGCAGCCTGTGTTTTGGAGAACGTCAGTGAAGAGAGGTTTTCCCGTGGCCACCAGTGCCATGGGGTCACGGAGACTCCTGTCCGTGCACTTGGCCCCGGCAGCTCTGCTGTGATGCAGCCCGAGAAGGGCCCAGCTGAGGCTCCGCTTCTGTGTCCTCTGCAGGTCATTACTCCCTACACTTCGACGCCTTCCACCACCCCTTGGGTGACACCCCCCCAGCACTCCCCGCCCGGACCTTGCGCAAGGTAATGTTCTGAGGCGACAGCCCCCAGGCTGTGAGGGGAGAGACCCCTGAGGTCTGCCTGCCCTGTTCCTTCCGACAGCCCAGCCTGACAGAAGCTGGGGGTGTCGAGAGACATACTTGGGGTACAGGTGACCCACGTGTCCTGAAACAGACGTGATGGGGGTGGGGAGGTCAGAGGGTCCTGCAGACAGCAACACACGGTACCCAGTGTGTGCGCAAAGAGCAGTGAGAAGCCAGGGTGTAGGTATCAACACACCATAGTTCACAATGTGAGGAAATGTTAACTGTGGGAAGTCATAGAGCACTTTAAACTGGAGTCCACTCAAAACAAGAAGCATCAGATACCAAACCTTTATGCGAAACTCATTAATTGTTCTGCAAATTGGAAAAGACTGTCACAGATTCTAGCAGCAGAAGGCACTCATCTGGTCCATGGCCCACTAGGGTTCTTTCTGCCCTCCCCGACGGGCCTGCTGACCCAGCCCTTCTGTCTGTGACCCTAGAGCCACAGCCAGAAGCCTGGGACCTGGCTTCATGGGGCACAAAGGCAGGGCCATTTTGGGGCCACAGAAATGCAGGTGATCCTGGGGCTCCATAGGCTTGCTGGGGCCAGGGAGAAGGCAGGGGCTTGATGACGGCGAAACGAGAAACATGCTGTTGATGTGTTTTAAAGTTCATTAACATAGGAGACTCTTGGTCTTCTCATCCTGTGGCAGGTATGTCAGCCTGTCTGGAAAAAGGGCTTCTCACACTGCCCCCTTCTCTTTCAGTCGCCCCTGCACCCCATCCCAGCCTCCCCAACCAGCCCCCAGTCGGGCCTGGATGGCAGCAACTCCACGCTGTCTGGCAGTGCCAGTAGCGGCGTGTCTTCCCTGAGCGAGAGTAACTTTGGGCACTCCTCGGAGGCCCCTCCTCGAACCGACACCATGGACTCCATGCCGAGCCAGGCCTGGAACGCCGACGAAGATCTTGAGCCACCCTACCTCCCCGTCCACTACAGCCTCTCCGAGTCCGCCGTCCTGGACTCCATCAAGGCCCAGCCGTGCCGAAGCCACTCGGCCCCGGGATGTGTCATCCCTCAGGACCCCATGGACCCACCTGCGCTGCCACCCAAGCCCTACCACCCCCGCCTGCCAGCCCTGGAGCATGACGAGGGTGTGCTGCTGCGAGAGGAGGCGGAGAGGCCTCGGGCCCTGCATCGCAAGGCCTCGCTGCCTCCCGGGAGCACCAAGGAAGAGCAGGCACGCATGGCCTGGGAGCACAGCCGAGGGGAACAGTGAGGGGCAGGGAGGCAGCTGGGACACCACCGTCAGTGAGCGGCTTGCCCAACCACCCTGGGTCAGAAAAGCAAGTCCCCCCGCAGGGAGTCCAAGAGGCCTGGCACTCAGGAGAGAACCGCCCCAAGTCTACGTTCTTCTACTGCCGTGAACTCGTGTGTTGCCATGTGCAGAGGCCACAGCAGCATGAAGGGTTGTGGCTTCTCTTTTTATTTCATTTTCTACATTTCCATTTCTATGGGTTTTCCTCTTTCCTTTGTGCAGTAGATGCTGTCTTCCTCCTGCAGTTTCAGACCACATGGAGCTAGATGGAGGTACTGCACCACAGAACCGCTTTGCAGCTTCGTGGGGCCCCTGGGGCAGGAGCCCAGGCCCTCCCCCCAGGGCAGCAATGCACAGAATGGAAATTGCACTAGGGACCTCTTCCTTTGCTGCGTAGACAGAAGAGCTCATGGTTGTATTCAGGGATTGCAGAGACCTCGTGGACTATGTCACAGGTGGACAAGGGGGCTACAAGCCATTTTGCACAAATGCCTGCCCACCTGCTCTTCCATCCAGGAGTGTGCCCGAGGGGCTGGCGAGGCCAACCTGCTGGCACAGGCATGGGACAGCCTAACTGCACGCCCAGGGTGCACTGCCAAGCTTCCGTGGGCCAGCCCTGCCTCCTCCTCTACTTGGGATTTCCCATCCATCGTTTTTATTTCTGACCCTTCCCTCCCCTCCACTCTTAACATACCCCATGCCCTGCAGGAGGCCCGTGGTGCATGGATCTGCAGTGGTCGTCTCCTAGCCTCTGGAGCTTGAGTGGGGGTTGGAGCCAGAGGGACTACCCTCACCATCTTCCTCCCCGGGCCCGGGCAGCCATGTGTTGAGAGACAAGCTGATAGAGGAGTGAGGCTGGGGTGCGGCAGGGCCGGAAATCCTCTGAGCTTTCAGAAGTGGCCAGCATGCCTGTCCTCCAGCTCCTGAATCAGGGATTTTCAGCACTACCTCTGAGCAGCGGGGTGGCTGCCCAGCCAAGCTCCGAAGGCCTGAGAACTTGCAATCAGGTTCAGCAAGCTTCTGGGTAAAAAGGGCAGTTGGCAAGGAGGGGGACTCCTCCTAGAAGCAGAAAGCCACACAGGTTGAATTATCCCCTCCCAGTAGCCAAGTGCACGATCCCAGCTCCAGGCCCATGGGACCACCACTCAGGGTTCAGGGCGAGCAGGAGGGCAGTTTCTCCAGCCTCTGCAGTCTGTTGGGCAGAAGGCAGTGGTGTCTTTATAGGAAGCTTTCAGGTCAGGGCACTGATTTTCCTCTTGGTTTATTAGTTGGGGGAATAGGGTGGGGTGGCAATAGTATTTTACCAGGGTGCTTCTAAGTTACTTTTAAAAACTTTACAAAAACATTTATTTGCTTGAGTTCACAACTTGACAGTCACAAGGCTGCCTTCTCCTCGTTGAGCAGGTACGTTCTCCCTTAGTTCCTCTTCCACTGGCCCATCTGACTTCCCTGGTTAGGGTGTCTTTCACTTGTAAACAAATGCCAACTTGTTTAACAGGAATGCCAGCAAGTAATTTATGAGCTAAGATGGGGGGCCACGTTACCTTCAGGGAGTCTGGGAGTATTTTATCACCAGTGTGGGTCCTTTCTGATACTTGAAGGGTGACTCCAAGCAGAGTGGGTCAGTCCAGGCAGGCCTGAACCGTCTGGTGTCCCCAAGTGTAACAGTCGGGGACTAGCTTTGGATTTCTTAGATAGTTTATATTTTAGGTTTTGGGGCACTCCTGAACCTCAGTCCCTGGACAAGGCAGTCCTCATGTAAGAACATCTTCCTTCTCCACCTGGGGGCATGGGAGGGTAGAGAGGGGAGTGTGGGTTCGTTTGGTCTTGCCTTCTACAGGGTGAGTCAGGTTTGTTTTCCCTCTCCATTTTCCCAAATTCAATGAAAAGGACATATTCCAAATCCCTTTCCTTGGAGAATCAGCCAGTCTGAAGGGAAGTGGGAGGCCAGAGATGAGAATTCTCTGAAAAGATTGTGAAATACTGATTTTCATTCTTTCAAGCTTATTTGTAAATACTTATTTGAATGCTGTGTATTTGTACAGGAATTTGAGCAAAAAATGTATAGAGTGTGCTGTCCAATTGGTATTCAGCCCTATAAATGTGTTTTTAACCTCTGGCATTCTGTGCTTATTTAAAATAAGAAAACTTCTAACCATTTCTTTTGTGTATTTATGTTTAAAATAAGAAGTGACTTAATGGTCTTACCTGTATCAGAAAGCAAAGTTAAAAGAAAAAAAAAAAATTTGTACTAGTGTCCCAAAAAAGTATTTTACTGTATATATTGTGGTAGCATGTTCTCAATCCAGCAAGTAATGTGAAATTTTAGATGTAAATATCTGCCACTTGCCTTCCCCCGTTTCCCCACTCCCTTGACTGCTGTTATGTGAATTAAAGATGAATTCCTGATACTGACCCACTGACTTCACTGACTGGGAGGGAGCAGCGCAAAGTGCCCCCTCCAACCCTTGCCGCTGGGCTCCAAGCCCTTTCAGCCCCATAGAAATCTCATCTCCGTCCTGAGCACAGAGCCAACCTTTCCCACGTCCGGCCTTCAAGCACAGGGAGCCAAGACTTGCACCGGGAAGGAGGGCAGCCGAGGGCCCAGAGCGCTCAGCTAGAAAGCAAGAGAGCGAGGACCAGCCGCCTTGGCCAGGCTCCCGAGGCTTGTGAGTAAAAGGGGGAAGAAAGGGTCTTCCTGGCGCGGGGCGGGGGGCGGGGGGCAAACCTCCGACGCAGCCAATCTCCCAAATGAGGCGGGATGCTTCCGATCTCAAAGCCAGGCAACCAGTCCGAGCCCGGGCGCCCCTCTGAGCTCTGGGAAGACAGCCTGGAGGGGGGCCCCTCCTACGGGCAACCCCTCCTACCCAACATCTGTCCACCCCGACCGGGTCCTCCTGTCGACCTGTCGGAGCAATCCCGACTCTCCTCAGCTGTTCCCCAAAGGCTGGTTCCCCAGCCCCCGTGGTCCCTTAAGAAAAAGGAAAGAAATCTCTTCAGAGCCTTGCCTGCGGCCGGCCGCCCTCCCTGCCTGTAGGGTTGCGGCTGACCACAGAGCCCCTGACCTGCACCACGAGTCGGGACCAGAGCGGAGAAGTCCGTGGGCTTCTTCGGGAGGACTTGGGGCCCAAAACAGTACACAGAGCAACTGAGCAAACGAAGGGCAGCAACCGAATCCCACTCCAGCCTGCAGCGCTCCGGCTCGGCCACAGCCTCTACCCCTACCAAAGATGGCGACTGAGCCGCTTCCGCCGCCTCTGCGGCCGCTTCCTGCGAGCAGCCCCGGTTCAATCAGCGGTCGACAACTGTCTAGGGCGGAGGGCGGGCGATGCCACCAGCCAATAAGAAAGGGTAGCGTGGAGCCGCTCTTGTGGGCTCCGAGGCGCGTGGACCAATGGGGGAACGGTGTGTGGGAGCGCGTGGGGGGGCGCCAGCCAATAGGGAGCCACGGCGCGCGGCCGGGACCTGGGGGCTGCTTCGCACGGCGGGCGCGGTTCAGTCCGGCGAAGGCGGCGGCGGCGGAGGGTGGTGGAGGATGTGGGCCACGCACGGGCTGGCCGTGGCGCTGGCTCTGAGCGTGCTGCCGGCCAGCCGGGCGCTGCGGCCGGGTGACTGTGAAGGTAAGGCGGAGTTGGGGGTCCGAGCGCTGTGGCCGGCCTGGCGGCGGCGCTGAACCCAACCAAACCACCAGAAGGCTGAGAGGCTGGGGCTAATGTGGGCGGGGGCGGCCGGCCCCAGCGGGGTCTGCGAGAGGAGGGACCAACGCCGAGTCTAGAAAACATTTCCTGGGCCTAAAAAACATTGTTCCGACGAGAACGTTAGGACTAGATCGTACAGACAATTTGGCCTGAAACTGAGATAACGCCGGAGTTTTGGTCCTTTACCATCACTGGGCAGAGGCTCCTGGGAGCGATTCTGGCCCAGGTTGGGGAGTCTTGAGGGCCGCCCGTGGTCACAGCGCCTGGTGTGATAGGGTTGCAAAGATTCATGTTGGGGTTCGGTGTTGCACTTGGAAATGAGTAGCATTTGCATCGTTTTTTTCTCTTCGGCCTCTAGTTTGTCCATTTATGAGGTCACAGTGAGCCTAGCTCAAGGATACGTGTTCAATCTCGGTTTAAACTTTATGGAAAGCAGGGAGGGGCCATTTGTGGGTCATTAGGTGATGCTCGTTCCCCGCATCCCCTGGGTGTACTCGGGGACCCAGCAACCCGGAGCACGGTTCTGTCTACCTGTGGGCACCCGAGAAAATCCGGTGGTAGAAAAACTCCCCTTTCTCCGTGTCTCCTATTTAAAATTGCTGCTGGAGTTCCCGCCTGATGAATTGGCCTGCAATTTGGTGATGACTGGAGCATCTTCCTTCTTTCTCTTTTCCAGTTTGTATTTCTTATCTGGGAAGATTTTACCAGGACCTCAAAGACAGAGATGTCACATTCTCTCCAGCCTCTATTGAAAAAGAACTTACAAAGTTCTGCCGGGAAGCTAGAGGCAAAGAGAATCGGTTGGTAAGTAGCTGTTTGGCCCTCCCCAGGCTGGCCCTTGCCAGCGTTTTAAGTATCCACTTCCCAGGCCTGGAAGTACAAGACCCCGCCCACTTGTCTGTTGAGGAGGCCAGCTGTCCTGTCAGTGAACTAATGTGGGTCTGAAGTGCTTTCTGTATTCGGCCACTGGGATGTTATTCTCTTAGTGTTAATTAAGCACCTACTGTGTGCTGGACACCGGAAATATCAGGGGAGACTAGTGACAGGCAAATGATGCAGTGGGTTGCAAGTTGTGCAGAAAATGGACCAGGAGGGTATGGTAGAGAGGGTAGGCACTAACTTAGACAGTAGTCAAGAATTTTTCTGAGACAGGGTCATCATTATGGAGGGGGAAAGAACATTACAGGCAGAGGGAACAGCCAATGTGAGTGCCCAGAGGCCAGAGCAATCTTGGCATGAGCGAGGACCGATGATGATGACGGAATGGGCACAGGGGAGGCTAGGGCTGAATTAAGGACAAGAGCCCTAATGAAACAATAGTTTTGGTAACCTCAGCTTCCCTGGCAGTCTCTGGTTTGTCTTTCTGTTTAAAGGTTTGAACCTTGGTGACTTAAATTCATCTGGTGGCTGTCAGCTCTGGGACCAAGTGTGTACTAAGAGCCTGGGGTTTATGCTGAATCTGACTGCCAGTACAGGTGGGGCGTGGGAAAATGAGGTCCTGACAGAGACAGAAGATGTGTGCCTTGGAGGAGATAGCTCTCAAGGGGCACCTCCTGAAGGCCATTGTCCTTTCTTGCCACAGTGCTACTACATTGGGGCCACAGAGGATGCAGCCACCAAGATCATCAACGAGGTGTCCAAGCCCCTATCCCACCACATCCCTGTGGAGAAGATCTGTGAGAAGCTCAAGAAGAAAGACAGTCAGATCTGTGAACTGAAGTATGGTGAGTGTGGCATTATTTAACCAACACTGAATCCTCTCTCTGCTCAGGCATTAATGAAGTGTACTTTCTAGCGGGGGAAGGCAGGTGATAAACTAGAAACTTCATGAGTGAGTTACGTAGCAAGGTTGGTGGTGGTAAATGGGCAGGGCCACAGACTCAACCTTGCATCCTGGTGGGTGGAGGTCAGAAGAGGCCTCAGTGAAAGTGCAAGTCGCTCAGTCGTGTCTGATGCTTTGCCACCCCATGGACTGTACAGTCCATGGAATTCTCCAGGCCAGAATACTGGAGTGGGTAGCCTTTCCCTTCTCCAGGGGCTCTTCCCAACCCAGGGATCAAACCCAGGTCTCCCACATTGCAGGCGGATTCTTTACCAGCTGAGCTCACACAAGGGGAGCCCAAGAATACTGGAGTGGGTAGCCTATTCCTCCTCCAGCAGATCTGCCCAACCCAGGAGTCAAACTGGGGTCTCCTGCATTGCAGGTGGCTTCTTTACCAACTGAGCTGTCAGGGAAGCCCAGGAGGTGACATTTCAATAGACTTTGAAAAGGAAGTGGGGGATTAGCCACTGGCACAGCTAAGGGAAGAGCATTAGAGGCAGATGCAAAGGCAGCCAGTGCCATGATGGGTGGGCAGATCATAGAGGGCCTTGCATGTTAGTGAAGATTTGGGTTTTAGTCTGAGGGAAGATGAGAATGTTGGGATTTGAGCAGAGAAGGGATGTTGTCTGACTTGGCTTTAACAGGCTTGTCCTGACTGCATACTCTGAAGGCTGAGTGACTTTTACTATTTTGAAAAGAACAGCTGTGTCCCAACAGGAAAGCCTAAGGTTATGGGCACACAGCATCTCTTTTGCCGAAGTATCCAGTGGGAAAAACAGTTCAGGTCTTCAGAAGGAATCGGGTCGAGGAAGAGTTGTTCTCTTCCATAAAACTTAGACAGCACCACCATGTTTTACCATGAATTGAGTGTCCCAAGGCCTGCGTTTTACCCTGTTGTGTCAAGGATAACTTGTCTTCTGAGAGTGATCCTAGTTCAGTGCCTCTGGCACAGGTCTCTCTGTGATCACAGGTGGTCATGGAGAGTAAGCTCCTAAACTCAAGAGCCCAACCAGGGTCTGTGTTGGGAAACTGAGGCCAGGGGGTCTGTCTGCTCTCTTGCCCTAGAACTGTCATTCTCCAGTGCCGTGAGCTCTACCGTGACTGTTTAGTAAGAGGCACTTGGCGTGGGCGCCATCTTCCTCCTAGAAGGTTCCTTCTGTAAGGACCACATGGCCTCCATGTGTCCCTGCTGACACCTGCATGCGTCTCCCCCCTACAGTCAGTAGGTCTGCTTGTTTTAAGTGACAGTTTGGCTGTGCAAGGACTGTTGGGGTCCACAGTTGCTCCGACCCAGCTGGTTATTCTCCCTGCTCTCTCCTCCAGACAAACAGATTGATCTGAGCACAGTGGACCTGAAGAAGCTCCGAGTTAAAGAGCTAAAGAAGATCCTGGATGACTGGGGGGAGACGTGCAAAGGCTGTGCGGAAAAGTCTGACTACATCCGGAAGATTAATGAACTGATGCCTAAATATGCTCCCAAGGCAGCTAGTTCACGGACTGATTTGTAGTCGGCTCGATCCCTGCTGCTCCTGAGGGGGCAGACACTTCATTTGTGTCTACCCCAAACAGCCTTTTTGTAATTTATTTTTTAGGCAGGCTCCTGACAAAGTCAGGTGTGAAGCCTGGAGCTTTCCTGATGATGCTGGGTCTACAGCGTCCCCTTGGGGGAGATTCACTTTGTTCTGTTGCCGATTTACTCTAGGACTTCAAAGTATATCTGGGATTTTTTTATTAAAGGAAGAAAATTTCTAGCTGTCCTTGAAGAATTAAAGTGAATACTGAAATAGGGTTTTACCCATAATGAAGATTTCACCGGTTTATGCTTTCCGGTTTACAAAGAGTCTTCAGGTATATTCAAATTTGTCCTTCAACCACCAGTCAATGCTGGGATGCCAGGACAGGACAGGGGCCTGTGGGGCTCTGCAAGAGTAGAGGGGTTCTCAGGGAGGAGGTGGGGCTTGATACCCCTGGCCCACAGGAACTGTCTAGAGATGGGGCTGGGTTGCAAGCAAGACTGAGGTTTAATGCAGTTTCCTGCAACGATGACGTCAATAACTGAGTATGTTCAGTACTGTCACATTTCTGAAGCTACTCATGGCCTGGCTACCTGCATCAGTCACTGTCCAGATCTGGCCATCTACTTGCTCAACTCAGTTTGTGGGTCCACTGTCAACCCTAAGCCTCTGGTACCTAGTTGGAGTTTTCCAAGACTGGCAGGAGTTGGTTTGTACAACGAGCCAGTGAGAGGCTGTCCTTTGCCTTTGTTTACCCAAGATAAGCCTAACAGTTGAAGTCCTGAGAGGGTGGCCCTGGAGTCTGGTTTTTTAGTTGCTTTTTTGGGGGTTGGTGCGTGGGAAACCCAATGAGCAGCATGAACTGTGACTCGGTGGAGATACCTCTGCTACTCATGACCACCACAAGGGAAGGACTAAGAAACAGTGCTTCCTTGCTCTGACCTCAGGTCACATCATTTGTGCAGTTCCTAAATTCAGATTGCCGACGTAAAGGGCCCCCTCAGCCGTCTGTGGGGTCCACTAATGGCTGGGAGCAGCAGGCCCACAATTTTCATATCTGAGAAAAGAAAGAATGCACCTCTTAGGCCAGGTGTTTCTTATTTTGAGGAATTAGATGGGCTGTTATGGTCAGACAAAGTTTTCTGAGCCCCTGAAAGGTGTTGAGGAAATGCATGACTGGAACCAGAAATCTAGTAGATGGAGCTGTTTCAACCTAGCAGCTGTGTTCTGGTGGCCTCTGTGTCCTGCAGGCTACACCAAACAGGGAAGACAGCCCAACTGCTACCCGAGGGTGACCCCCATGGATATCTTTAAAAGGGTTAACTCCTTTCTGGAAGTTGCCTAGGAGGAGACCTGGAACGTTAACAGGTGTTTCTTGTAAGACTCTTAATCTAGTGCACCTGCGTTAGCGGCTGTAGGCGCTCCTCGCAAAGGCTTCTGGTCGTGGGAGGACGGGAGACGCGCATGCGCTCTTCCCCACGCCACGGTTTCTGTGGCTTAAGTTGGGTCAGGTCCTGTGAAGCCTCCGGTTAACTCCATGGAAAATGAAAGCCTCCCTGAGGGTGCTTGGCACCCGAGCAGGATTTCCCCTTCATGTCACCACCATGGAGGTGGATACGAGAGTACTCGCCAGGGAGAGGTAAGCGTGGCAAACTGGGTAACCGCTGGGTTCAGCCTTCTCTTCGCCCTTGGTTCCGTGACCCTGCTCTTACAGCCCTCTGTACTCGAATGCCCACGCGGAGGGTGGGCCCTGTTGCTCTAAGGAGCCTGTTCCCACCCTAGAAACCACAGGTTTTGTATTTCTGTGCCCAGCCAGGGACCCAACAGGTCTCGCCGTCTGGGTGCATAGCCACAATTCTCAAGGCCTTTTGGGGGGGCTGCCACAAGTGAACCTGAACGCAGGGGATACTCAAGATATGGGGTGTGGGTTTGGGTTGTTAATGCTGGACCCAGTCAGTAGATGCCAAGGCAGGGCTTGGGGGTGGTCACCCAAACCTAGTCCTGGGATTGAGGGAATGTCCCATAAAGTTCAAGGCCTGGCACACCCGCGCCTGCGAGGCCTCTAGCCAGGAGACCGAGGCTTCTGTCCCTCTCCAGAGTTCAGTTTCTGTGGAGCCCCGGGCCTCGGCCACGCCAGCCGCACGGTGGCGCCAGAGCTCACAGTGCGGGCGGGCTCGCCCGCTAGCCACAGGGTCACGTGGTACGGGCGGCGCGGCCCGATGACGCACGCCCGGCGCGGGCCCCCGCCCCGCCCACCATGGGGGTCACGTGGTAGGCCGGCGCAGCCTGATAACGCGGCTCCCAGGCACTCAGCGCAGCTCCCGCCCCGCCCCGTCGCCGCGCCGAGTCCTTTTGTCCAAGATGGCGGCGCCGGGGGCGCTGCCTCCTCGGCCGCCGCCGCCGCCGCTGTGAGGGGCCTGCGGGCCGCCCGCCCGCCAGCCGCGCCGGCGCCATGAAGAGGCAGAGCGAGCGAGACTCCAGCCCGAGCGGGCGCGGCTCGTCATCGTCGGCCAAGCGGCCGCGGGAGCGCGAACGGGAGGCGGAGGCGGGCGGGCGGCGGGCGGCGCACAAGGCCTCGGGCGGCGCCAAGCACCCCGTTCCGACGCGGGCCCGCGACAAACCTCGCGGTAGCGGGGGCAGCGGCGGTGGGCATCGCGACGGCCGAGGCGCCGGGGACGCGAATCACCGTGCGAGCAGCGGCCGCTCCTCGGGCTCGGGCGCCGGCGGCGGGGGACGCGGTGGCAAGGCCTCAGGGGACCCAGGCGCTTCGGGCGCGTCGCCCCGCGCATCTCCGCTGCCACCACCTCCGCCGCCGCCCGGGGCCGAGCCCACGGGTCCCGGCTCCTCAGCGGCTGCACCCGAGTACAAGACGTTGCTCATCAGCAGCCTGAGCCCCGCGCTGCCCGCCGAGCACCTCGAAGATCGGCTCTTCCACCAGTTCAAGCGCTTCGGCGAGATCAGCCTGCGCCTGTCGCACACGCCTGAGCTGGGCCGCGTGGCCTACGTGAACTTCCGGCACCCGCAGGACGCGCGTGAGGCCCGCCAGCACGCCTTGGCCCGCCAGCTGCTGCTCTACGACCGCCCTCTCAAGGTGGAGCCCGTGTACCTACGAGGCGGCGGCGGCGGCGGCGGGAGCAGCCGGCGAAGCAGCAGCAGCAGCGCCGCCGCCTCCACTCCGCCCCCGGGCCCGCCCGCGCCCGCCGACCCGCTCGGCTACCTCCCGCTGCACGGCGGCTACCAGTACAAGCAGCGTTCGCTGTCCCCGGTTGCCGCCCCTCCGCTGCGGGAGCCCCGCGCCCGCCACGCTGCCGCAGCCTTTGCTCTGGACGCGGCAGCCGCCGCCGCCGCTGTAGGCCTGTCTCGGGAGCGGGCCTTGGACTACTACGGGCTGTATGACGACCGCGGGCGACCCTATGGCTACCCGGCCGTGTGCGAAGAGGACCTGATGCCCGAGGATGACCAGCGTGCCACGCGCAACCTCTTTATTGGGAACCTGGACCACAGCGTATCAGAGGTGGAGCTGCGACGGGCTTTCGAGAAGTACGGCATCATTGAGGAGGTGGTCATCAAGAGACCCGCCCGTGGGCAGGGCGGTGCGTATGCCTTCCTGAAGTTCCAGAACCTGGACATGGCCCACCGGGCCAAGGTGGGCATGTCGGGTCGGGTGATAGGCCGCAATCCCATTAAGATAGGGTACGGCAAGGCCAACCCCACTACGCGGCTCTGGGTGGGTGGCTTGGGACCTAACACCTCACTGGCGGCTCTGGCCCGGGAGTTTGACCGTTTTGGGAGCATTCGGACCATTGATCATGTCAAGGGAGATAGCTTTGCCTACATCCAGTACGAGAGCTTGGACGCAGCCCAGGCCGCCTGTGCTAAAATGAGGGGCTTTCCCTTGGGGGGTCCGGACCGCAGGCTGCGCGTGGATTTTGCCAAAGCAGAGGAGACTCGGTATCCCCAGCAGTACCAGCCCTCCCCCCTCCCTGTGCACTATGAGCTGCTCCCAGACGGGTACACCCGGCACCGGAACCTGGATGCCGACCTGCGGGTGCGGGACAGGACCCCTCCACACCTCCTGTACTCAGATCGAGAGCGGACCTTTTTGGAAGGGGACTGGACCAGCCCCAGTAAAAGCTCTGACCGCCGAAACAGCCTTGAGGGCTATAGCCGCTCAGTGCGCAGCCGGAGTGGTGAGCGCTGGGGAGGAGATGGGGACCGGGGCCTGCCCAAGGCCTGGGAGGACAGGCGGAAGCGTCGGAGCCTCTCCAGTGATCGCGGAAGGGCCACCCACTCCCCTTATGAGGAACGGAGCAGGACCAAGGGTGGTGGGCAGCCTGCGGACCGAGGCTCCGACCGCACCCCGGAGCGTGGCCGCAAGGAAAACCATTCCAGTGAAGGGACCAAGGAGTCCGGCAGCAACTCCCTCAGCAACAGCCGACACGGGGCGGAGGAGCGGGGCCACCACCACCACCACGAGGCTCCCGACTCTTCCCACGGGAAGAAGACCCGAGAGAGCGAGCGCAATCACCGGACCACTGAGGCCGAGCCCAAGCCTCTGGAAGAGCCAAAACACGAGACCAAAAAGCTCAAGAGTCTCTCAGAGTATGCCCAGACGCTGCAGCTGGGTTGGAACGGGCTCCTGGTGTTGAAAAACAGCTGCTTCCCAACATCTATGCACATCCTAGAGGGGGACCAGGGGGTGATCAGCAGTCTCCTCAAAGACCATACTTCCGGGAGTAAGTTGACCCAGCTGAAGATTGCCCAGCGCCTCCGCCTGGACCAACCCAAGCTCGATGAGGTCACGAGACGCATCAAGCAGGGGAGCCCCAACGGCTACGCAGTGCTCCTGGCCACCCAGGCGACCCCCGGTGGGCCTGGCTCCGAGGGGGTGCCCGCGGTGGAGCCTGGCCTACAGAGGCGGCTTCTCAGGAACCTGGTCTCCTACTTGAAACAGAAGCAGGCTGCAGGGGTGATCAGCCTGCCAGTGGGTGGATCCAAGGGCAGAGACAGCACAGGCATGCTCTACGCCTTCCCACCCTGTGACTTCTCACAGCAGTACCTCCAGTCAGCACTGAGGACATTGGGCAAGCTAGAGGAAGAGCACATGGTGATAGTTATAGTGAGAGACACAGCCTAGCCCAGACCTGGCCTTTGCAGCCTGTTCGTCACTAAAGCAGTTATTTTAAAATCTGACCACCGCCGCCCTGCACCCCCTGGCCCATCTTACACCCTTGATTTGAATTCTCTGCTGGGTTACTCTGTTTCATTTGGTAGGGGACCAAAGTCCTATCTCCCCATCAAAAACTAAGTTCTTAGGTTTGGGTTTTTTGTGTTTTTTTTTTTTTCTTTTTACCGTGATGAGAAGGGACTCCTGTCATGTTGGCTTCTAGTGTATGAAATACTGTCTGCTGTGTTCTGTATTTTTTTATTTTTTGACTAACTGTATGGAAAATTGTCAGTAAAGCCTTTGTCAGAGGATGGATTTTTAATCCTGTTCAGAGTCCTGGTTTAATCACATGATTTTCTCAAAGGATGGAAGACTGTCCCCCGCTGCCTGCACACATGCCTTCCGTCATCTTTCCACTGCCGGCGGGTGTGTCCCCCAGCCCTGCTGCATTGGTGCCTGTCAGCCCCCAGCTCCATTCACAGGCGTTTCTAATTTGGGCTGAGAGCAAGTGAGTTTCATTTCAGACCCTGCCATACCAGTCTCCACAGGGCCCATTGGACAGGAAGGGGTTAAGCCTAAGTCTAGCCAGCCGCTGTGGTAGTTATTGTTTTCCTGCCATGAACAATGTGTGTGTCCGTTAGATTGAACAAAGCACCTAGTTTTCAGGCCTTTTTGAAAGCAGGTAGACCTTAGCAGTCATGTGGTGTGGTAGTCATGGGCAGTGCAATATTGGGGTCTTGGTGTCTGCGTCCAGCTTCCTTCTCTCGTTAGCCTCCTTTCTCCTCTTAATGCAGCAGCCCGGGGATACCCAGGTGGAGACAGCGTTCCTTCGGACTCCCAGGGGCACTGGTGGTCAAACGTTGGAGTGGAGCGGGGGAGCCCACTTTCCTTGGTTAATCCTTGAACTTTTCCCAGTGCTTGTGAATTGTGGCTTTTCCTGTGATGGTTCAGGGCTGGTGTTGGCCTCTGCCCGGTCACTGGAGCAGTGAGGGACACGGGATCCCTGGCCTGAAGAGTTTTTGACGGCGGACAGTGGGTCAGGAAAATGCTCTTGTAAACTGACGTAACTTTCTCAGGTGCAAAGTGGGCGCTGGTGCCTCAGGCCTCCCGCCCTGATACTGCTGAGGTGGGAACCACTGGAAAATGGGGTTCCTCTCTGGGGAAATGTCACAGTTGCTGAGGTATCGGGCAGTGCTGGAAGCCAAAGCCATGCAGGCTGGGGAGGAATGGGGAGGCACCCCCAAGCTGGGAGGGAAAGATGGCTTGCAAACAGCCCCAAGGTCTCTGACCACGTGTCTCTACAAGCAGTACGGCCAGATGAAGCCAGCAGTGTTGGGGACCAGGGAGGGACACCAGTCACACAGCAGCGGCCACCACAGAACACTTTTTCGGAATGTCTGTGGCAGTTTAGATGGTCCAAAAGCATCACTGTCAAGGCTGCGGGAGAACAGATGCTCCATTAAGGGAAGTGAGCCCCCAGGTGACCGGGAACCGTGGGTTCTATTGACGTGCTGTCCCCTCTCTAGGTTTGGTCCACTACCCTGCCTGCCATGAGACAGCACAGGTGACAGCTGAGATGTTTTGAGAGAAAGTTCGTGAGATGGAGGCTGGGGCTCTGTGTGGACCTCATGAGAATACAGGCCTCTCCCCAGGAACAGTGAAAGAGGTGACTTTTTAAGACCTTAGAGATTTAAACGGGAAGGAAGGTGCCTGGGGAAGTACTGCTCCCTGGGCTTCAGCTGTTGCTAATGAACAAGCGCATTCATAATGTGAAACCCAGGAAGTGTTGAATGTGTTTGTACTTGAGTTTCAGCCACATCTGCCAGGTATCTGAGCAAAGCAGTGTGGGGTGCAGACCACAGCTGCACCATCCCAGGCAGTGGGGACCACCGGGAGCCGGAGTGGCCTCATCTTGCTTAGAACAGGTGGTGGTGTTAAGTCATTCAGTTGTGTCCGACTCTGTGCAACCGCACGGACCGAAGCCTGCCAGGCTCCTCTGTCCCTGGGATTTCCCAGGCAAGAATACTGGAGGGGGTAGCCACGCCATCCTCCTGGGGATCTTCCCGACCCAGGGATCTCCTGCATTGCCAGGCGCGTTCTTTACCACCAAGTCTTCAGGGTTAAAGCAGGTGAAGTCGGGACAAATGCCCAGATCACAGGCAGAGTTGCTTTGCTGCCGTGAGCCCCAAGTGTCTTTGGGCTGTTCTTTTGTAGAGTAGGTGGTCAGGACCCAGAACACTACCTGGCTTTCCCCAAACAGAAACCTGCTAGGAAGTCTGGTTGGAGAGGACACTTGAACCCATGCCTTGCTCACCCTTGTCAAGGATAGGTGCTCTCTGGCCCCAAATTGAACTAGTTTTCCTGCAGTGTGACCGTTCTCTGCCTCAGACCCTCACCTCTTTCCTTCTTCCGCTTTTGACTTTTAAATTGGAGGATAATTGCTTTACAGTGTTGTGTTGGTTTCTGCCACACAGCAAAACAAATCAGTTGTAAGTATGTATGTGTGTGTCTATCCCCTCCCTCCGCCATCCCCATGATTTACGATGCTTCCCCCACAGGGAGAACTGCAGGCAACCAGTGCCTCCACCTGCGGTTCCTATCTGAGGTGTGACTTAAAGGCAAAAACCAACGGAAGGTGAAATTTGCCTCATTGGTGGTTTGGTACTGTTCTGCATGTTTCTTCCTAAGGGACTGAGATCTTCGGCCTTGGCAGATAAAGAGAGGGCCGATGTTTCCTTTGCCTCCTGGGGCGCTTCCCTAAGGGTGCGTTGTCAGGTCGACCAGGATTCTGCTCTCTTATGGCCGGCCCCCATCTCCACCCGAGAGACCTGTGGGTGGGTGCTCCCAAGGGCTGCTGGCAGAGTTCAGGGAGACTGGGGCTTGGTTGAGTTAATGGCTAGAATAATAGTGCTTTTAGTGCTTCTTGACTTCTAGCCTTTTTTCCTGTAATGCACCAGCAGTCAGACTAGCCTACTGGTTAGGTGTTAGCAATCCATTTCAGCTGAGGCATGAAGCAATTTCCGAGCTGAGACCTCTGCCCTCCAGAGGACCACGAGGTGCCTGGCGACACAGGCCCACTTCGGTGTGTGTGAGCCGTGTGGTGCCAGCCCAGCAGGGCTTGCTTTACTCTCCCCCGCTGAGTTCTAGCCATCTTGTTTACTTCACAGATTCGTCCTCACCTCAGCAAAGGGAGAAAAATCTCTTCAGTTAACAAATGCCTACAACAGAAACTGGATAAACTCAAAGGAAGAGAAGACACTAGGGTCTTCTTCTTGTGGGAAAGAAGGGGATGAGGTGGGGTGAGTGAAGAGGTTAAGAGCATTTGGTACTTTGCTTGGTGGGAACAATTTAACCACAAGGCCAGCTGTAGAGGCCAGTGAAGTACCTGCTAACCCAGCCTCGGCTGCCCCCAAACTGCTAGGGCCCCTCCTTGTGCTCCTTTAAGAAAACAGTAACGAGGGTCCCCCAGCCACAAGGATGGCCACGATGCTATCACTCCTTGGGTCCATCAGCTCATGGCTCACAGCATCCCAGGAGGTCCCCTAACACTTCAGCTCCCCCACATCTGTACTCGGGAGCTGCCTTCTTGCTTCAGAGCCCAGGATACGCGGCGGGGGTGGGGGAGCGGCATGCAGTGGATGGTGCCTTGAGGAGCCCTCTTCCCCTGCGGGGCGAGCAGGAGACCAGGTTAGACGCTGACAAGGCTGCTCTTCTCCCAGAGCACTTTGGGCCGAGCGCGCTCTCACCCTGTCTCAGGCTGCCTCTGGGAGGCATCTTCCCTGTTGCCTGGGCTACAGCTGCAAGGTAAGGAACCCCACCCCACTTCAGTAAAAAGAGAACAGGGAAAGGTCATAAACAAGCAAAGACAGACTTGTAGTTTTATTTTGTATTTTTTTTAAAATAAATACACTTTACATTAAAGAAAAAAGGCCTTTGATTTGTAATTTCCACATTGGGGAGAAAAGGAAGAAAAAAAGATTTTTGAAAAACTGAATCACAAAGAAAAATAGAGGGAGTGAACTTATATCCTAAGTTCCCTCAACTCCACAAAACCAATATCCACAATGACCTTGCTGCCCCCAAGCCGTGAAGGTGGATGAACCTAGGCATTTACTCAGCAAACAAGCAGCGCCTCCTCCCCACCTCTGGCACAAAGGAAAACAAATTAACCTGACGGCATATGAGGCAACAAAACAGGTTAAAAAATCATATATTATATTTATAATAAAATATTCTTAATCCTTATCAATTTAAGAAACCACGATTTTCCTTTTCATTTAAATATGTGTGTAAAAATGCCTCTATATTGTTCTTTAGACATCATTTTCTTTTGTAGAAAATGAAGTGCAGGGACAAGAGACCTGGTGGATATAAGTTCATACCCTCAGTTATAAATGCCTTTTTTTTTTCTTTTTAAAGTTTTATAAAAAACTATTTCTTGTTCTTTAAGTAAAGAACATTATACAAAGAAAATATATTGTGAAATAACCCCAGAGACATGTTTGTTTTTTTTTTTTCCCTTGAGGAAAGATATGTCCATCCTAGGAGAAGGGGAAAGCAGAATAGGGCCTAACCCCTGTTGTCTTTTTGTGGTTGTTATTGTTCTTAGAAGGACTCTCAGATTCCAGTGAGACTCTAAACCATAATTCTCTGAATGCAGGGCCAGGGCATGCAGTTCCTTAATAGAGCCCTGGGAGAGGGAAGGGAAGATGTTCTGAATTAATCTGACTCAGTTTCTCTCCTGCCAAGAATCTCTTCCACGTCGTGCTGACTCCTCACTCATTTAGAGATAAGATGATGTCATCTTCCAAATCAGAGTTGTCAGAGCTGTCGGCTAAAAGGTAAGGAGAGGAGAGACTAGATTACACACCAGGCTTCCAGAAGAAAGCACCTGCATACACATTTATGCCTGAGCAAGGTTCATTACCAGATTCCAGAAAGAAGAAAACACTCCAATTAACTCCTTGGAGCTGACTCTGGAGACTGTACTATTTTGGCATTGGTGGTTACCCCTGGGGTCTCTTGCTTCCCTTTCAAAAGACTTGGCTCTGTGGTGCCATCTTGCTTCCTAGAGGTTCCTCCTGCCTGAAATTCAAGCCCTAAAGGGACAGGCAAGCCCCCTCTGAAGCTCTTGCCCTTGGTGCTTCAAGTGGCTGCAAAGGGGTGGGGCTGAAAGGGGGGGGTGAGTGAGCCCCAGGGGTCCTTTGGCCTCTGGAGTCCCTGGGCACAGGCTGCCAAGCCCCCAGGACCCCTACACAAAGGCAGGCTGATCCCAGTCAAAGATGACATTTCTGTTCAACTTCTCAGCCACTGTTCTCAGAAGACTTCATAAAGACACAGGTAGGCAACCCAGGATTCATTCCTCTGGAATTTCTAAATAGAATCTGCAGGGAATGTATTTCTAAAAAGATACAGGCCAGAGTGAGCAGCAATAGCAGAGAAGGGGTACCTAGAAGCTAGACCAGTAGGGAGTAGGTGTGACACCTGAAAGGTGACACTGTGTCTCTGGCCTTCTGCCTGACCATCTGCCCACCAGCCAGTGAACAGACCACATGAATACATCTGGAAGGATTGAGGAAGAGGTGAAAGTAGGTGATAACAGAGAACCCCGAAAATGACATGGATACACTGTGTAACAGTACCTAGCTCTAATATTTACTGAGTGAAGGTAAAGAAAAGGTTCTTCGTGCCCAGTTTGACTGCTCACAGCTCAGGAAGCTGTGGGACAATTTTAACAAGGTTTTCAGGGAAGTAGGCCAACAGGTCCTGAAAGCCCTGCAAATGCCCACAGGCCCTGGGGTTCCCACGAGGAGAGGGACAGCCACGATTCCAAAGAGTTCCTCGCTGGCCCTTTGCCAGGTACCTTACTCCTCTGGGGGACAGTTGAGGTAGAAGGGCATGTCCCCAAACCTTCACTCAATACAGTCTCCTTTAGGAAGACAACTGAACTGGATAAAGTGAAACGGAGAAAGTGTGCTTGTGATAAAACGAAATCCTGAAGGTAAGCAAAAGTAATGGCTGGAAAAACCAGTGTTCCTGGGTCTGACTGGGCACAAGACGGCCTGACCTCATTGGTGAGGAGTGGGGAAGACAGGATAGAGACCAGACTACTAACGGACACGGCTAAACTACAACTACGCCTCCGCAGCTTCCTTGCTGAAACAGCTCCAGGAGGAGGTGTCAGCAGGGAAGGGGGTGCCCAAGGACAGCACCATGTCCTGGGCCCACGGCAGACCTGGGGAGAGTCCCTCTGTGTATGTGTGATCTGTGAACCCACAATGCCAGACCCACCTGCCTGAAGCTATCTTAAGCATCAGCTGCAGGGCTATTAATAATCTTAACTCATTACTAATCAGGAGATTTTTGCAGAAACTTGACGCCTGTAGCTGGAAATTTTTGGTTTGGCTGTCCAAAAATGATTTCCGTTATTTCACTAACACCTTGCAGGTTATTACATTTCAGTAGTTACACCTGTGTGTGTGTCAGCTGCTCAGTCATGTCTGACTCTCCAACTCCATGGACTGTAGCCCACCAGGTTCCTCTGTCCATGGCATTTTCCAGGCAAGAATATTGAAGTGGGCTGCCATTCCCTTCAGGACCTTCCTTACTCAGGGATCCCACGTTACAGATTCTTAGCCATCTCGAGCCACCAGGGAAGCTTCACCTGTAAACCTTCTCCATCCCGTGGGTGTCATTTTCACTCTATCAGAGTCAAGTCACTGTGGATTTTTGTCTTTGTTGGTCTAATATCCATGCTGTCTGAGTCAAAACTATATTCTGAAGAACTATCATGAGACACTAGTATATATGTCACTTGAACAATCAGAGAAACTATCTGCATACAATTCACCCAAAAATGCAGTGTCATTTTTGAAAATTTTAACAGTAATAAATATGCATTTATAATATACAAGGCTGGGGGGGGACCTAATGGAGCAAAATGTGAATGATAATCATCCTAAGTTTTATAATGAACTCTTGATCATTTTTTAAGTGTGGAGCATTTTAAAAGTCTTTATTGAATTTATTACAATATTGTTTCTGTTTATAGTTTGGTTTTTTGGCTACAAGGCATGTGGGGGTCTTAGCTTCCTGACTGGGACTGAACTCACACCCCTGCATTGGAAGTATGGAGCCTTACCTCTGGATCACCAGGGAAGCCCCATCCCTTAATTAATTTTAAAATCTAGCAACTACGGATGGTGCTGTTAATTGTATCCCTCTTTAAAAACATATTTATATGTCTCTGGTCAATAATGTGTCACATGTAAGGACTAAGTGTAGCTGGATAAGTAGAACACAACCTTCTTCAAGCAAATGACTCTCAGGTACAAGGTCTGACAGCCTCAGGGGTCAGGTAAGGGACTTCTTTCTCTGCCTTCCTTAGCCTTTTCTCATCCTCCAGAACAGAAAGAGGAGTAGAGTACACACTTTGCACAAGCCATCGCGATGTCAGCACAATTCTAGAGCCCAGCTTGTCATCTGTAATGGCATTTTCACGTTATAGATGCTCCCACCATGTTAAAGTAACATTCTCTGATCGACTCAGGGTTTCCCAGATTACTTCTTGGACTTGAAAGAAGGAATTTCCTAGAATAAACAGTAAAGGCTAAAAGAAGCAGTAATTTTACAGACCAAATAAAAATGTATATTAACTGAAAATGGGAAGATTAGTGATACTCTTAGGTCAGTCAGGGGTACCAGCTGTTCCCCTGACCCACCTAATTTTAACTGAGGGAAACAAATCTGTGCCCATGTGTCACAGGTAACAAAAATGTTCAGTAAAACTTTCCTTTTTATTCCCATCAATACTGTCATTTTTCCCTTGCTCCTTAGTCCCTCTTACCTGGCGCTCTGACCATCACTAGGGAAGAGAAGTCCTCCTTGACTGAATCACCTCAACCTCCAAGTACGAAAAAGTGTAAGTTGGCAAACAGCAGATGGGCAGATACATACAAGGCACACCCTCCCAGCCCCATAAAGCGTCCTCAAAATACAACTTGGCCAAGAGGACTTAATGTAAGAAAGTCAGTCTCCTTTCAGTCAACTGCCTTCAATCCTAAGAACTTGATGTGTAAGATCCCAAAGAAAACAGATTCAGGTCACTGTGAAATAGGAGAATCACTCAGACACACAAACACACACACCCCTCACACCTACATACATAATGCCTTTCACCCCAAGCACCAACCACCAATGACTATAAAGACCAAACATCTACTATGAAGAGGACTGCATTTGTTAGGTTTAGACCAGCATGGTTAAATTGTCTGTGAGGATGTAGATGTTCTGTATCTGTGCTATACGATACTGTAATGAGCACTTGGAATGTGGATGTGGAAATGAGGGACTGGACATCTTAATGGCCTAGGTGGTTACTGGCTACCTGGTACCTACCATGGCTGTGAGAATGCTGCCAGTGCGCTGTGTGAACAGTGGCTAGATGTCACAGGGTTACGCCCAGTCAGGCACTAGGAAGAACCAGGACCACAGCAAGCAGATGCTGCCAAACATGTCCTCTTAAAACACGGGTATAGCTGCAGACCCCTGGGACTAGTAGCTGGTTTACTCAGGGCCCATTAGCATACTCGGGGGGACAATCTGACTTTAGAGACATGTTCTAAGTGAGAAGGACAAGCAAAACTGGAGCCTGTTCTGTAAAACGCAGAATGAGAAAGAGGGGCGGGGGGAGGAGGAATGAAACAAGCCAAAAAAAACATTTGTCCCCCAGCCTTTAGGAGGAAGCAGGCAAAAGCAGAAAGTAGGCGTTCCAACCCGCGAGACAGCTTTTATTTCCCACAGCTTTGGGAAGGAGTAGGTACAGAGCTCCCTGTGAGCAGCTGCAATTGACAACCCAGCTCTAACCTCTCAGGAGAACCGCACTTTCGGCCTTCCAGGCTAAGGCTAATCCTCTGAATCAGGTCAACAAACTCCAGCTCGTGGGCCAAACCAAGCCCATCAGCTCCTTACTCTATAGAACAGAGCCACGTGGTTTATTTACACCTTGTCTCTGGCTGCGCTCACACTGCAACAGCAGAGATGAGTAGAGAACAGAGAATGGCCCACAAAACCCAAATGATTTACTGCCCAGACTTTACAGAAAGTACCGACCCTTGTTTAAACGAGGTAAGACACATCTGGTGACAGACGTAGACAGGGACACAGCGGAAGAGACATGAAACTACTTTTCCTCAAGGGCCTGGGTGGTGACTCGTTCCGGGCGCAGAACCCTGGCGCAGCTGCCCTCGGGGCTGGGTGGGCACAGGGAAGGGCCCTTCCCTGGCTGCCCAGGCTCACAGAGAGCCCCAGACTTACTGTCCCCCAGGATCAGTTCCACTTCCTCGTCTGCATCGGAGTCTTCGTCCTCCGCGTCCTCCCCCTCCTCCAGGAGGTTGGCCAGCTCCTCGTCAGAGGGCGAGAAGTCGTTGTCGCCGTCCTCCCCCGCGTTCTCGTTGTTGTCGTCCTCCTCGAGCTCGGCCTCCAGCAGCTGGTCCGTGTCCAGCTCATCCAGGTCGTCAGTGTCGTCGTCGTCCTCGTCGTCGTCTTCTTCCTCCTGCTCTTCCTCTTCCTGGTAAGAAAGCATGAGTCCATTAGCTGAGACACCAAGACCCAGTCCACCTCAGCCACACAGGGAGTCTCTCCCCAGCTTCCCGAAGGACAGCAGTGGGAGCGAGCAGTAGAGAGTGCGGTGATCCAGGTTTTAGCACAGACTTGACTCGTCAGTGAAGGCTGAGACAGGCGCACACAGGTCCCCCAAGATACGAAGGACTGCTGGCCACCCACAAAGGCAGTGCTCATCACACAGCCTTTCCCCAAGGAAACGGATAACACACTTCACAGAGGTCTCTGCCATCAATATTCTATGTTTCTAACTAATAATACACCCAAAGGGGCTCTTCTCTCTCTCTCGCATCAACCAAACCAAATGAAATCAGTTGAGGTACTGGAATAAAAGCTTCTACCTGGAATCTAAAAAGCAGTGCTTTAATAAAACAAGACAAACACAGTTGAGTCACTGGCTCCTAAGCCCTTTCAGTCCTTGTCCTCAATCTTATAATCAAGGGCAAAATCTCTGACACCGCTATCACAAGCATCCCATGATCTGAAGGTCCAACAAAATAGACTTTTACCATGTATATAACCCTAAGATACAGTATTTTCTGTTAAGCCACACACTACCCCCCAGTATGCAAGAGAAACTGTCCATACTTCATTCTTAAGAGCGCTTCCCAAAGGTAAGAAGATACCAGAAAACCAATGAAATGCTTGGCTCTGGGAACCCTGGGCTCTGGAAATGATACACTCTGGCATCTGCCACATTTCAGTTTTGCACTAAAATCCAAACTGTTTCCCTTCAACCAAGAGAGGACACAAAGACACCTCTGCTTTCCGAGGGATGGCAGCTGTCCCCAACATTCAATCACTAATCCTGCTGCTTGAACATCAACTGTGAGCATTGCCAGCAGCAACAGGATTCTAATTCCTGCAGTAATAAAATACAAGATTCATTGAACCAGAGCCTAATGAAAGTCACAACAGAACAAGCCATACACAACAGAAAAAATATTTTTAAAACGTGTTTGAAAGTGCTGCTCCATGCCAATCACTTAAAAACCAAGGACACAACGTATCCAGCCACTGGTGCTCACCAGCTGCCATGTGAGCCAGGCTCGCTTTCGGCACCGTGGCTCCGCTCTACGAACCTCTCATAACCGGAGCCGCCATCTAGAGATGTTTTGCTCTACTGTTTGGCCACTGATTGAGACTTTTCAACAATTTCTGGCCGCTACACGGGAAAAACTTTAAATTCCCAGTATTCCTGGTGCCTGCACAAACACATTCCATACTGGAGTATGTGTGTACAGAACCCAGGCGTCACCACACATCACTGGAGTGTGTGTGTGTGTGTGTGTACACAGAACCCAGGCGTCACCACACATCACTGGAGCGTGTGTGTGTGTGTGTACAGAACCCAGGCCTCGCCACACATCACCTACACATCAACAGCTACTTAGCATTTATCCACTGGAAATGAACTGACAGTGCTTGGAGGAAGTAAAAGTAAACTGAGGCACGGACAAGCTTCTGGCCCCAAGTACATCAGCTCATAGAAATAACTGCGAAAGGAGAGAAGGGTCAAAATTCAGGGAACTAATTCAAAGTGTTCACCAGATTACAAGAGTATCCAGGGCCCTGTTTCTTAGGCTCTGGAACAGAAGATATATATGTTATTCCACATACAGACAGTACTATTTCTGATTCACAAGTGGCTATGTAGTGAACGATACACACACTCATCCCCTGTATTCAGAGTACATGACAGGAAAAGATGCCCAGGCTTTGGGATCCAACAAGCATGAGTTAGAATCCTGGCTTTGCCAATTATGTGTTTTATGAACTTGGGCAATTTATATAAACTTTAAGTGTCTCAGGATGGCATAACTTTTAAAGGCCCGCAGTTGAGTAAATAAAAGGGTAAACTGTTCACACAGGCATCTGTTATCCAGCAAGGAATATCAATCTTCATTTCTAAAAACATCAAAGCTCAGCTGATCCAGGAGAACTAAGAAAAAACTCAAAAATCAAGAGCAATTCTAGAAAATAAGTCAACCAGTCTATTCACCATTCCAGATTCTTCCAGGAGCCTACAAACCCAAACTTAATCTTGTAGCAGAATAATTTATATTTCTTCATGCCAGAAGGCCATGACGATAGATGTGACCATAACAGGAAAAGGGAAATGAACGGGAAGGAAAGATCTACCCGAACCTCCAAACACATCACTTAGTCATTTATACTCTGGATTTAATGGCCAATGCTTTAACATGTATTTTGTTACACGTGGATATGACCATAAGCTCACTTTCTAACTTTTAAATCTGAAAACTGGAGCATGAAACAGAAGCTCAGATCTATCCAAAATGCTGTGGTAAAGTCTAATCCTGTGGTTGAACTCAAAAGAGAGTTGAGGAAGCAATTTTAAGAGCATTCTTGCAAGTTTCAGTACCTGGTTTGTAAAATGAGGCCCTCACCTTCTATCTACAGAACAAAGCTTCCACTAATTGAGTGGTCAAAAAAGTGATCCAAAAATTATTACTTAATGAAAGAAACAATCTTGCTAGAATCCTGACTCAACTCCAGCCACATTTAGATCAAGGAGTATTGTTTTAATTCCCTAAGACCTCTCTTTCAGGGCTTAGAAACACGAATTCAGGGCCAGGCTGTTTTAAACTAATAAACTGTACAGAAAGAATTTCAAAGCTCTTTCCTTCTGGGTTCCATCTTAAGTCAATTTCATGGTTACCCAAAAGCCCCAGACTTGCAGATAAACCAGCCCACTCCCCTCCTGTTCAGGGAGCAGATCAGCTGGTGCACACTCCCTCCAGCCAAGCATGGGTGTTGAGTCAGGACTCAACCCTAGTGTGAGAGAGAAGCCAGTCTCCCTTCCTGTTCCTGACCTCAGTCCAGCCCAGGTCCTTATTACCACACTGCACCTTTCTCATGCCCACTCCACTCACAACCACTCTCACATCTGTCTGCACTAGCTTCTCATCTCTGAAGAAATTCAGCTTCCCCAAAGCTAAACTTATCAATCCACACAGGCTTCAAACTCTTTCCACCTACAGACTTTTGAAAAAGGTAACCTGAACCCTCCCTCCTGGCCTCCAGGTCCTCAACTTGCTCACTCATCTACTCCTTCAGTCTTCCACTCCTCTTAAAACTTGACAGCCGGCTTCTGCCCACAGCACTCCACAGGAAATGGTATGTGCCCTGGAGCCAGGCTGCCTTAAAGAATCCAAACTACTGGCACTGTGTTTGACTCTGGGCAATCAACTTAGCCACAAAGGGCTGTTAGAATTTAATGGGGGGAAGAGAGGATATATGTATGTAAGCTCCTTGGAAAGTCCCTGGCATATACTAAGTGGTTGGTAAGCCCGCTGCTCCTATTGTAGTAACCAGAATCTTCCTAAAGGAACATGAAGGCCTGAACAGCCAACCACAGGGCTTCTCTACAGTGACCGACACTGACCAGTACTGGCCTCTGCACTGGGCTGACAATCTTGACCTCGTCCTGACCAAACCTCCTAAGCATAAAGGTTCCTACAACTTAAAATTTACTTCTGCCTTCCTATTTCCTTTAAGTCATAAATCCTGAAACTCTCATTAGATAGCTCTACCCATCTGTACCACAGAAACTTACTTCTGAAACTGAGCTCAAAGCACCTTCTAAATCTAGCACCTTTTCCACACCTCTCCCAGTGACCCGATGAAGTCGTTCTCCCCTTGGACAGCTCAACACCCAGGTAACTCCCGCCACCTACAGACAGGGGCGCCCAGCACTCCTCTCACTGCACTCACCTACTGCATTCTCCCCAATCCTGTCTACCTGCAGTCTCTAAGTCTCTGTGGTCTTATCCCTTCCCAGATTAAAAAACCCAGGAAAGCTCCATAATGCTGCCCAGGCTGCAGAATTACAACAGAGGCAGTGATGACTAAACAACCATTTAATGCCAACTTCTCTAAATAAATCCTAATTTCTTGTTACAGGACATAATTTACACTAGTGGTTCCTACTCATGTATGGCCATCAGAATGTGTATTTTGGAGAATGGGGAAAGTTCTCCAAAGTAAACATGCCTAAACTCTACCCAGCGTCCAGGCTGACAGAACCAATCTTTACAAATGAGGCTTCCACAGGAGGATTTTGGAAAAGTACCCCAGGAATTGTGGTGTGCACCATAAGGAAGAACCACTTAACAAAATGGTTTTAAGTCAGCCTCTGGCTCTAAGTCACACTTTTCTGTAGTAATATATCCTACTCCTAATGACAGAACCAAAAAGGTGAATACAGGCATACCTTGTCTTTCTGCGATTATGCTTTGCAGATACTGTGGTTTCTTCGTATTTTAAAACAAACTTCCAGTTTGAAGCAACCCTGTGTCGAGCAAATCTATCAGCACTATTTTTCTAACAGCATTTGCTCACTTCATGTCTCATGCCACATTTTGTAATTCTCAGAATTTCAAACTTTTTCATTATTATTATATTGATTACAGAGATCTGTAATCAGTGATCTTTGATATTACAACTACCACTCACTGAAGGCTCTGATGATGGTTAGCATTTTTCGCCAATAAAATAAATTAAGCTATATACACTGTTCTTTTTAGACACAGTGCACACTGTTAAGAGACACAGTGCAGTGACGTAACACTTACATACACTGAGAAACCAGAACGCCTCATGTAACTGTGACACTGCACCACTGGCTTTAATGCAGGAGTATGGAAGTGAACCCACAGTACCTCCAGGGTATTCCTCCACAGGCACTACCACCGACCTGCCCTCCTCCTCTCAAAGCTGCCTTGCTCTCTAGGACTTAGTGTGGGTTTTTAATTAGTACAGCATTTGTTTCTAGACCATTCAACATTCTTTTTAAATAGATGTCTATTTTTCAAGAGAAATAGCTTTTAGCCTGTACTGCCTTTGAAAATACAACCAATCTCTTAGAAAACCAAATCTCTGGTCCTACTTTAAAAACTGTTTCTGTAAAAACTAGGATTGCTT